GAATACCGTTCAAATAATCTCACTCGGTTTCTAAGCGATATGTCAGATTTAATCAGGTGGATATCTTCAAGGAGTTGAGTTATAAATTCTCATAGCTATCTTTCACTAATTAGAACTTAAAACTCTTGTAAATTAGAATCTAGAAAGCGGCAATTATCTTGGACTATTTCAAAATAGCAATGTAGTACATAATTCAGAAAATCAATGGAGTACCAACTACCAAGAAGATTCAACACTAATAAAGCAACATCAAAACTCGTCTATAGGCCAAAAAACGAACGACACAGCGAAATCATAAACCTTGATCGAGGAAATACCTATGATTTCATTTAATAAAGCATACTTGTATAAAGCAGTAACATACAATTGATCAAGTTTCAGATCAACATATTCTTAATTCACAAGGCATAACACTTAAAAAAAAAAAAGAAAATTAATCGAATTCTTTCTTCAACATCACACCTTCAACATTGTAAAACAAAAGGAGAATGAAAGAACTACATACAAACATGACGAACACGACCTTCACCTCACCAGACCCCACCTCACCTCATCTCATCTCACCTCACCGCCATGAAAGATCTCAAATCAACGGCGGAGATCAAACGGGAAGCGAATCAACGGAGGGAGAAGGGTTAGATGAAGCATTAATGGCGGAACGAGGAGCAGGAAGAGCGAAGCGAGGATCATCATGACGAGTAGAATGGTTGAAGATTAAGCCGCGATCCATGGCGTCTTCTTCATCGTCGTTGTCGGAGGTGCTGAGATTGATGCAGGAGCAACGTTCGAGGGAGGTGAAGAAGGCGGAGACGACGCTAGCGCCGACATAGTTGGCCACCATGAAAAGCTTGCCGGTGGGAGTGGTGGTGGTGGTTATGGCGGTGTTTTCCTCCATTGATGAATGTTGAAGAAATTCGAAGGTCAAAGGTTCTAGGGTTAGGGGGAAATTGGGAATTGGGGAAATTAGGGATTTGAAGCGGAGAGAGAGTGGAAATCGGAGAAATTGAAGGGGAAAAGGTCAGAGAGAGGAAATTTGAATTGTTATTGAGAATTAAGGAAAGTTTGATTACTATTCAAAAAAAAAAAAAAAAAAGGGAAAGTTTGATTAGTTTTTAAGTGAGATTTTTTAAGGGAGAAATTTGAGGAGGACAATTTCAACATTATTACTACTAGTGACTAGTGAGTCGGCTAATTGATTTTGATTAGGGGCTCATTGTTTTATAGAATTGTTATTATTGAGTTTGGGGTTTTGGGCTCTTCTTTGATTCATACTGTTGGAAATCTTGGAATAGGTCTTTGGAGGGTACGAAATTTTTCGTTATTTGATAATCAGTCGGCGTAAATAACTCAATTCAAATGTAAACCGTTTTTCTAAGATTAAACCGTCAATTTGATACTAACTAAAATTGATTTGATAAAAGTTTGTATACACTTAACTGTTGTTGTTTTTCTTTTTTAGTTGAGAACTAGATTAGATCCCGTGCCATGCATGGTAATTTCAATATTTATCATTAGTTTAATACAATTATTGTACTATAAAAAATAATATCAAATTGCAAAATAGGATGAAAGTTCTGTAATTACGATTTTTTTTAAATCATTAAAGAAAAGTTGTATACACTTAACTCTTGATTTTTTTCTTTTTTAGTTGCGAATTGAGAAAATAATCCATTGATATGAATTACTCAATCCAAATGTAAATCATATTTCTATGACTAAAACTTCAATTTGGCACTAACTGAAATTGAATTGGTAGATTTGGATTTTTTTTTCTTTTTTTTTGTATAAACAAGCACGTACATTGACCTGAATTTGGGGTACATAGAATTCCATTTTGTTTTATCATATTAAATGCCTTACTTTTTAAAAAATAAGTCGACTTTCGTCGTCATACTTGTTCCAAGTGAATTGACATTACTTTACTCTAAAGAGTAAGTCAATTTCATTGCTTTTGCCTCTGATTACTCCAACTCGTACAGGTCTTTTTGTAAATCCAATAAAGATTTTGTATGAGTTAATTTACTTTTGCTCTTTTTCTTTTCTTCCATGCTTTTATATTTCTCATCGTATCAATAAATCCAAAACCAAAATTAAAATCGATTGTCTTCTTAAGGGTGAATGTTCCTAACCCAAAAAAAAAAAAAAATTTTACTCCGTATTAGATAAGAGATTATACAAAATGAAATACAAAAAAAATCATGCACTTAATACTTTATAATAGAGATTTATTTCTAATTCCAAACCCGTATACTTTATAAATGACGACTATATAAAGACCCGCCCTAATTATTAATTGAATGATTGACCCATATATAACTGGGGGCGAATCAGGGCTTTTAATGGGGGTCCAAGCGTCCAAGCCCTCCAACCCATTGAATTGCTCTATTTGTCAGAAACTCAATAAGAACTCTCTCTCTCTCAGTTCGTGCTCCATTGAAGCTCAGTTGACGTTCTCCATTGACGCGCCTTCTAATACTTGAATCCCCCATTGAAGCAGCTTCAGAGGTAAGTCGTTGTTTCCTTTTGTAATCGTCATATGAATTTCACAATCTAGGGTTTAATTTAATCTAATTGTCTGTGTAGTAAGTTTAGGGTTCGGAATTCTGAACTATTGGTTCTGATTAATAAGATTATTAAAGATCAGAACCTGCAATTATGTTGTTAGAAACAAAATTATGAGTTCAATTGATGATTGAATCAAATATTCCTAATTATTGGATAATTGATTCAAAGTTGGTTGCTAATGATTGCAGAACCCTTTAATGTTAGGTTTTAACTATGAAATTTGCTTGGATATGTTTTAAAATATGCTTAGATGATGATCAGGAGTAAGAACTATAGCAGTGACCTCAAAGATGTCTGTATGATGTTGTATAATAGTGGAAATTATCTAGTTTGTGTTGCTGTCTTGCTAGTTTGAACATTCTTTAAGGTGGCCTTAGAGAGCCAGTGTTGTGTAGATGATGTATGTTTGTTACGTTTCGTGTAACGAGGCAATTGTGTGGAAAAGTATACCTGGATGAATATGCTGGAAGTTATCCGTAGTTTCTTCTGAATAGATGTAAACTAAGGGATTCTATATTCTAATGGAGTACGAGTAGTAAACAACTCGTGTCATATGATTACTTTTCAACAATTATCTACTTGAATCACCCTCTTTGAATTTGATCAATTTATACATTAATTCGTTATGGCCACTATAATTTTTTTATTATTTGGGGGGACTAAATATACATCTATTTTAGTCATCACAACTTCTTTAGGTCGTATACTTACCTTAAGCTGATGCAAATAGTGACTAATTAACCTTAGATTGGCACACTCAATTATAATTGATAGTTTATGTGATTATGAAACGAAAACCCTGAACTTCGTCATTTACCCTTTTTTACAGATCAATCATCATAGAAAACAACTATGGCAGGAGAAAGTGACACCCTAACCTGTAAAAACCTTCCAAACCTTTTCTCCTCATTCGTTGACACCTTTGTCGACTTCTCTGTTAGTGGCCTCTTTCTTCCTCCCTCTCCTTCAAATTCTGACCCTAATAAGCCATCACCCACCTTCTACCCTTCACCAGACCCGCCTCATTGCCGTTGGTGATATCCATGGGGATTTAGAGAAATGCAAGCAATCTCTTCGTCTTTCCGGAATAATTGATGCCACAGGGAACTGGTCTGGGGGCTCCTCTACTGTTGTGCAAATTGGCGATGTCCTTGACCGTGGAAATGATGAAATTAAGATCCTATACTTTCTTGAGAGATTAAAACGACAAGCAGATAAAGCTGGTGGGAAGGTTATCACGATGAATGGGAACCATGAAATTATGAACATTAATGGTGATTTCAGATTTATTACAGCTGATTCGTTGAAAGAATTTTCGAATTGGGCCTTTTGGTACAATGTTGGTTTTCAATGAAAACACTATTTTCTGGAATTATGGATGTGCCGAAAGATCCATTTTGTGGTGTTCCTGTTGAATTTAAGGGTCTTAGGAAGGAGTTTCATGAGGGATTTAGGGCTAGAATTGCAGCATTGAAGCCAAATGGGCCATTGAGCACTCGATTTTTAGCGAATAATGCAACAGTTTTGGTGATGGGAGAGAGTGTGTTTGTTCATGGGGGTTTGTTAGCAAATCATGTGAATCATGGATTAGAGAGAATTAATAAGGAGGTTAAAGATTGGATTAATGGGGTCAGAGGAGATTTGTGGAGAGATATTGGAAGGGGTAGCAACTCAGTCGTTTGGTTGAGGAGGTTTTCGCATGAATTAGCGGAGAGTTGTGATAGTGAAGCACTTGAGCATGTTCTTACTACAATTCCTGGAGCGAAGAGGATGATCATGGGGCATACCATTCAAGGGAAAGGGATCAATGGTGCTTGTGAGGGCAAGGCAATCAGGATTGATGTAGGTATGTCAAAGGGTTGTATTAATGGATTGCCCGAGGTTTTGGAGATTGCTAAGAATTCAGAGGCACGAGTTTTGACAGCTAATCCTGCTTATCAGGATAGTAATGGTTCTAGAGTTGTGAGAATTGGTGGGAGAGCAGGGCTTGGTGCGTTGCTTGAGGACGATAGACGCAAGCAAGTTCAAGTTAAAGCTTGATTTTTATATGATCTCAAAGAGTTGCATATCACTTCTCGTGGATGATGATTGAAAGCAACTATAAGAGGATGGTTCTGATTATGATTTTGGAGAACTATTTTTTGCTCTGTGGAAGTCTGTGTTGCTTGATAGGGCAGATTATTTGAATGCAAATATGCAAATTGACTTTTTTTTAGTGAACACTATTTTGTTTTGTTAGAATAATATTTGGTGATTTATGCAAGCACAGAATGCTCAAAGTAAGGAGCAGTTGCTCAGTGTCTTCAATTCTTCATAGACCTAATATTAAACTTTGCTGTATATATCTTCATACTTGGCAGACTCAAGAATCTGTGTAAAATTGACTCTTCCAGCAAATCACTTCTTTTTTTTTTTTTTTTTTTTTTTTTTTTTGGTGATCCATCTTGTCTATTGCTGTGTGCAATGCTATGAATGAGGTTCTTTTGCTCAGGGTATGATGTAATCCTCAATTTGATTACACATGCTGTGATCCAAGATTAGTGTTTTGAGCCATGCATGCCATTTATAGGGGTCATGACATCGCTTATTGATCTTTTAAGATTGCCACAGATGTATTCTCTAGCATATCATTATATATAATTAGGATTTAACCTAGTGCTTGTAGTGGAGCATATGGTGATGACTCTGAGTGTACATTTAAAATTTGATTTTGAGTTGCCAATGTAGTCTCAAGCTTTTATTTTGAAGACCTGATTATTATGGTTGTGACATTATCTTATGTGTCCTTTATATTTTGGTGTTTACAAATTATATGCGTTATTTTAAAGATCTTTGTTGTGTATATGTTGTCATGGGAACTATTATATTATTTGACTGTCTCTCTTCCGTGGACCTGAACTTCCTTAGTAACTCATTTTCTGTGGAACTTGATGTTTGTTGGACAGGAGATGGGGTACAAGGTGAGTCCAACTTATATAATTCGGCTGCTATTTTGTTAGCTACCCTGAACTTTGAACATAAAATTGTTGCATTTCGAGAGCAAACACTAGGATTTTTGGTTGCATTTTTATAATGAATTTCTCAGTACTGTTCAATAATACCTCTATAATCCAATCCTTCTCTTGAGTATGTTATTGGGTAACTTTTATTTTCCGTGGGCAAGCCAAGTTTTATCCATGTCTTATACAAGTAGATTGCTGTGATCTCAGCCTTCTTTTCCCTTGTTTGGGCTAATAATGTTCTGCATGCCTTGTCATAGGGATTTGCCTCTGAGCATGACTCTTCATGTGCAGTCCACCTTGGAAACATACTATGATATCCTTCATGTAAGGGAGGACGCAAGCTTTGATGAGATCCGCCAAAGCTATAGGTTAGCCTTACTCCAGTCCCACCCTGATAAACTGTGCAAATCATCTGAAATGCCAAAATCAGTTGACAATGTAGATGATAGATTCATGAAGGTCCAAAAGGCTTGGGAAACCCTTGGGGATTTACGATCACGTGCTCTCTATGATGACAAATTAAGAAGTTTGAGATGTGATGAATTAGTTGCGGAAGATGTTGCTTTGGACGACATGATGGTTGAGGATGGGGAAGAATTGGATTTCTGTTATCAATGTCGATGTGGTGATTTTTTTATGATTAGTTGGTCCGAGTTGGAAGAAATGGGTTATGTGCTGTGTAGGGATCCTGAGGATGAGATTTCTGTTCGGACCGTTGAAGGTTTGCCAGGCTGTGTTATTCTTCCCTGCAGTTCATGCTCTCTGAAAATCCGCTTATTGATCAATACCAATAGTAAAGTAAAGCTATAGAAGCTGCATAACCCTTGTTGGTTGGCCCCGAGCTCTCCAAATTTGTCTTTTGTGAATGTTTATGTCAGTGCCCCAACTGTAATGAACTGATATTTTTGCCCTTCAGCATAGCAAAAGGCTTGTGGACTTGTGGTCAGCAATCTCATTCTTTACCAGAATTCCCTCATTTTTTAAAAATCAATCTCTTATGGGGTGGATGGCGCAATAGGAACTTTCACCATGGGTATTGCAGTGGCAAGGAATTTCCATCTACTCTGTAATATATGGTGAATTTGAAGTCTGAGATACCTTCTGTTTTCTTGGTTATATGAGTACTCCGTAATAACATAGAATCCCCTGAAGCCATGGGCCTATATTCCCAGGTTAGGGATCTAGTTTGATTGTTTCTGGATGCTTTTAGCCTTCAAGGTTCTTTTCAAAAAAAAAAAAAATAATAATAAAAAATAAATAAATATCTGTTTATTTTCACCAAAATTTCCCGTTTGATATTATAGCATTTTTGCATTTTGGATATCAACTTGCATTTTGTGTGGTCTCTTATATACGCGTTTGTATATCAATATCTTTAGTTTTAAATTACTCTGCAGTAAATAAATAAAACAAGAATAAAAATTGTTAAAAAAGCACACATAAAGATAAATCTAGTGGGAATTCACATGATTACATTTTTTTTGTCTCGTATTTGATGTTGAAGGCAATCAAAGTTCTTGATGAAGTTTGTTAGTATGAAATGTAAATAAGTGATTTAAAAATGAAATACCAATATTTAAATTAGGAAAATATCATTATGGTAATATCTAATTATCTATGTCTTACCTATAATTATCACCAGATTTTAAATGTCATTGAATTGTGCAAAATACCCACTTCTAGAGGGAGGGGAGGAAATACTAAAAGTCCCAAAAAAAAAAATATTAACAATCCAAAAAAAAAAAAAAAAAAAAAAAGGTCTTGTCAAAAATTAAAGAAAAGTACAAGTAAGTTTGAGTGCCACGTAAGAAGATAAGCTCACCCAATAAGGGAGAAAGAAGGGAGAGAGAAAAAGATAGGAAATGGAATTGACATTGTTAATCATCATTTGAAACATGGCTAGCTTTGGCATTCACCCAAATACCATCTCTTTGAATAATTCTTCTGCCAAACGCCATCTCTTTTCTGCTCGTAAACTTCATCTTTCTTTCCCAATTTCCTGCTCTGGTACGCACAATCTCTCACTCTCTCTTTATATGTCAAGTTGTTTTGTTGCTTTAGTTGTTGTATTGGTTGAGCTTGACTTTCTTATCTTTAGCTTATTTGCAAATGCTTAAAGTCCCTCTTTTGCCTGCTTAAGTGGCGCGCTCCCTATGCTCTCGAAAAATTGTGCATCTCTTGTATTTTAAAGGGACATGTTCATATCTTTTTCTTTTGGTTATCAATTTCGAATAAAATGTGCTTTTCTTGACATGTTTTGATTGATCGTGTGGTTGCCTTTGTAATTTTGTTTATAATGGGACGTCACAAGTTTTTTATTTTGTTTTTAGATGCTTACTTATTACTTATGAAAGGTTAGGAGAATGCGACACTTTATGTTAAACAATCATTGCATACATCTAACACTAGTTCCAATTGAGCTTAGATCTCTTGACAGCCGCGTCTCTACTACAATTTGGGTGACGTAGAGTACATCTAACCCTTTTTAATTACCATAGCAATCATACTTTGAAACCAGGGCAGGTGATTCTTTTGAAGACATTGAAAAATATTGAGATAAATTGATGCAAAACTGCTTTACTAAGTGTTATAATCTTATAATATCCAAGCAAAATGAAAGTTGAAGGGTATTGTGTCTGCTCTGGTGAAGTCTACTTCTTGGTATATATATCTCAATCTTTATAAGACAGATGTTTAAATTGAGATGGTCGAACGAGTTATCAATACCTCTGTTTTAGTTAGTGTGTTCACCAAAATACCAACATGGTTGGACTCACAGCGGTCAAAAACTCCTTGAATTGTAACTAAAGGAAACCGTGTGACACTCTATTAGTACAGTTCGATCCATCACGTAACATTGGTAAGTCAATTGATAAACATTTTCTTTCACCTTACACCAATCCAACAAATGCCTTGAAATAGAAGTGGATTATAACATTTGTATGCTTCTTGATGATACATCAATGCTATGCTGCATCATTAAACATACCACTCATTTCGTTCCCTAACCTGTTTCAGAGTCTTTAACAGTTTGCAGAATGCTTATGCTTTGCTGTTATCTTGTTCTTCATTCTTTTGGGCTAACGGTGATGTGAAATGAACTCATAAAAGTTTTCATTTTTGGTGCAGCTGTTGGAAATGGATCTCAGAAAGAAAATTCATCTCAATTCAAAGAACTTAGGAATGTGGCGTTTGGCCTCCTGGCCACGTGGGCTGTCACAGCTGCTTCACCTGTAATAGCTGCTAACCAGGTTAGGAATCAGCCATGATTTCAGTATCAATTGCAGATGCCTTCATTTGAAACAATTTATGATTTAGGATTCTGTTCTCATGCTTCTAAGTTTTCTAGATACAACTACTGATTTACACTCTACTGCTTGACATTATCCAAATGAAGTGTTTATGGTTATAAGATAATTAGAGTTCATTAGTTGAAAAAGTAGGGGTATTGGAAGTTTGCTGTTGTTGAGTTGATCTATCTTTTGCTTAGGACGCTTACATTTCTTGATTGTCGTGAACTCGTGATCAAAGCCATATCTTAACAAAATTGACCTCTCATGTTCTCAGTTGAAGTTTGATTGTCTGCATCTCCATTCTCTCTGGGCTCAAACCTCAATTGTTTGATTTTAAAGCTTATGTTTCATAATTTAGACTGTATAGCTCTCTCATGTCAATCTCGCAGCAAATTATGATATCAATCTATCATAGAAAGCTCAGATTAGATGCTCCATCGCATCTTGATAGGCATAATTATTACCATGTTAGTATTCCCAAATTCAAGTAACTTATAGCTTCATGCCTAAGAAGCTTCATTTATCTGGTCTGTTTGACTCTTTTGTACTCACACCCTGTATAGTGGGTTCAACAGATAACTTCTTATTTTTCAGTACCTTTTAACATGTTTTCACAGAAAACATTCATTTCTCCTAATAGGTGGGGTGATATTGAATCAGCTGCAGAACAAAATATTATTGCACAATTCAACTGTTTTTTCAAATATGCATCATGTTTCAGTTACTTATACTTGTATAATTCTCCTCAACCTGTGAAAAGAAGCTTACTTTGTTATAAACTCTAATGTATAAATTTAGAGGATTGCTAGTTGTTTTTCTCTGTTTTTTATTAGTACATAATTATTCATTTGCAGAGACTTCCTCCATTGTCAACCGATCCTGATCGTTGTGAGCGTGCATTCGTTGGTAACACTATTGGTCAAGCAAATGGTGTATATGACAAGCCATTGGATCTTCGCTTTTGTGACTTTACAAATGAAAAGTCTCAACTTAAGGGGAAGTCTCTAACAGCTGCTCTCATGTCAGATGCTAAGTTTGATGGTGCTGACATGACAGAAGTAGTCATGTCCAAGGCTTATGCTGTGGGAGCTAGTTTCAAGGGTATATTACTCCCTATTTCTCTTCTACTGATCAGTTCTATTTAATTTTTGAAGCCACCTTGAAGCTAATCACTCCCTTCGTTCCCAAAATAAGTTCCGTAACATAAACTTTTGCACGGAGATTAATAAGTCAATATAAAGAGATGAATATCCTGTGAAAGACGTATTCTGAGTTTCTGACTTTCGAGTTATATTGCAGAATGGAAGATGATAACTATTTTTAGGAATAGAGGGAGTATTTGCTTATTAACCAAGTAATAGAATTCCCGTCAAAAAAATAAAAAAAAAACAAGTAATAGAATAGTGCTGTGTAAAGTTTATTTCTTGCTGAGCTCGGAAGATTGATTTTTATGCAGGTACTGATTTCACAAATGCAGTTATAGATCGCGTTAATTTTGGGAAGGCTGATCTACAAGGATCTGTGTTTAAGAATACCGTGTTATCAGGCTCCACTTTTGATGAGGCCAATCTAGACGGTGTTGTATTTGAGGACACCATTATCGGCTACATTGATCTTCAGAAGATCTGTACAAATAAATCTATCAGCGAGGAAGGAAGAGCTGAACTTGGGTGCAGATGAACCGTCCAACCTATGCTCTCCGAACCCAGTTCTCTTTTCAACAATTTTTTCGTGACTCGCAGTGTCAAACTGAGAGTAAAGAAGGGGAAGAGATCGTAATCGACAGCTAAAGGTTAACAAGTATTGTTATGTATAATAGTGATGCACTTAATACTGATAGAATGAACAAGTTCATAATTCTCTCTTTTTAGTCTTTTTTGTATGAGTTATGTTACTTGTACAATTGTACCTATCATTTTATACAAATCATAAGATTCATAACCACCAATTACTTGAGTTTCTCATGTGTATAGTGCATCTGTTATTAACAGTTAATACTGTCCTTGGAGTATCGTCTGTCAGTCTCTCATCAGAAAACAGGAGAAAGAAAAGGATTAAGGATCAATTTAAGGGTAAAGTAGTTAAGAGTTGGACTGTACAAGTACAATACAGTAAGTTAAAGATCTCGTTTTCATTGGACCTAAAAATGTACATCTGAATTGTTACATTTATGGAACCTAATTTGGGGACAATTTGTTGGTATACTGGGAGGACCATGTCATGGTTTAGAATTTTTTTTTCTACGGAGTACTACGTGTTTTATTAGAAAGAATTCACAACTAGTGAAAAAAAAAAACTTTAAAGTTTTACAAAAGATTTGTTTGGAATCGGATTATACAAAGTAAAATTGAGTAGCTCTTCAAACGTATTTTCATTGAATTTGTCAATGCATTATCATAATCTTGAATTTGCACAATCATCTTAAATTTATGTGGTGCGTTTGTAACTCGACATTAGAGGCTTTGTAAAGATAATGGTTGCTTGCACCATGTGTCCATGTCATATATACACTATCCACCGATGAAAGTAAGAGTTAATGAAGTAATACTTTGATGGGTGAGAAATGTTGTATTATTTGAGTGGGAGATAGCTCAAGTGATTAAAGCTCTCCTCTTGTTTTCAGGTGATCCTCAGATCAATTCTCATCACCTTGCTCTAGTGAGTTCTTGCGGCTCTCTAAACCCCTTTAAAAAAATGTTGTATTATTTTGACTTTCTACAATGTACAATAGTTAAATTGTGAATGAGTTAAAATTATATCAATAAGCGCATCTAGTGTAGTGGTATCATAGTACCCTCCCACGGTACTGACCGGGGTTCGATTCCCCGGATGCGCAAATTTGTCTTTTTTTTTTTATTTATTTATAATATAATAAACTTCATATTCTATCCTCTTTTTTATTTTTTTTCTTTTTAAATTCTTGGACTGGATATTTATTCCTTCTTCATGAAATCTTATGGCTCAGTTGTTCATTAGATTTATTTTTCTTCTACAAAATATAACATCACTTCATGATCTAGCAACTTATGATCTAAATTTACAAGATTTAATGATACATATAAAGAGTAAGTACTATAACAAGATGCTCATAATCCGATCCTTTTTATTCATTGTTAAATAGCTGAGGTAGCTTTCAAAAAAAAAAAAAAAAAAAAACTAGCTGAGGTAGATCTTAACAATCTAATACGTATACAATATTTTTATTTTTTTTTGAAAGAAAATACGTATACAATATTAAAAGTAAGTAAAAGCTCAAAAAAAAAAAAATGCTTATCAAGTTACTAGTACATATCATCTTCTCACAATCAACTAGTTCTTAGGCTCTTTTTGTCTCACAAATTATTACTAATTGATACTCAGTAAAATATAATATTGATAACATCAAGAAATTTTGAATTGATGTAATATACTTAATATAATGCTCCGTACAAGTATGTAAATCAGTAAATCTCGGAGGAGACATTGATTTATATGTATAAACTTGATTGACAAGATAATTGTGTACAAACTTTAATTTATGGACGAACTATTCAAAATGATTAATCATATCTATTATTTAAATTACATATTTCAAATAAATCAAAATGGAAAATTACATATTTAATTTGATGATTTACCTGTAATTGGTAATTTGGTATAGATCATCAATCGTAGTGGAGGTAGAGCACAAACTGGAAAACTAACCTCTTGTCATAATACTGCTTACTCAAATGAGCATCTCAATCAATCATCAACAATTTACAAGAAATCATAGAAAAAAAACTTTCTTTTAAATAAACTAGCTCACACCTTTTCTTTTTTCTTTTTTCTTTTTTATCAAAAATATCACTCCAAAATGCACTAATAATTTGCCTCAAAAAAAAAAAAAAAAAAAAAAAGCACTAATAATTTGTAGTAGTAATAAAATACAACAATTTTCTAATTTTTACCTAGGCCCTTTGCTGCAGTGATTGGAATACTCATTTGAGCAAGAAACATTACAAAGAGGTTTTCATAACACCTAGGTTTTCATGAGGAATTATTGAACACAATTCATAAGTTTAAGTGTAATAACTCTTATGTAGTTATATCACTTATATATGTACCTCACAATATATATCGTCAGCCTTAGGATGAAATGACGAAAATACCCTTGCCAAAAGTCGGGTTTGTTGGTCCAAGATAGGGATGGGAGGAACGTGATAGAAGTTTTCACAATTGAAAGTCAGTTTGGGAAAGTTTGATGATGTAGAAGGGAAGGGAGTTAGTTTGTTGAGTATGTAATTAGGGTGTTAGTTTAGAGTTACTCCTTGGACTGGCAGCTCCCACGTACTAAAGTACTAAACACCATGTAATTCACCCACCACAATATACGACACCACACAATACTCCTAGGTTACTATACAAACATTAAATATAATTAAAGTTGCATTTAAATATGATTAAAGCTACATTAGTAATGAACTTTTTCCCTTTAGAGATAAAGCTTTTAAAATAAACTACAAAAATGCTTTACCACTTAACATAAAATATCAAGAGTCAGCGTGACAAGACAATTATAAATACAGATCTCATAACTTGTGGCCTAATCTTGAAATATTCCTAAAATTCCCTTCAATAATTTTTCCAACTTTTTTTTTTAATAAATTACACCAAGGTTATTAGAAGAGACTTACCATACTATATTAAGAGAATTTTTTTTAAAATTAATATATAAGAAAATATATAAGTATTTTTCTTGATGGGTTTGACAAATATGTCCTAACGCTTTAACATAATCTGCTGCACTATTAGCTTCTCTGTAAATGTGATAAGATAAGATCTGGGCCGGGTGAAATGACTCAACAAACTATAGAGACATTGTACATGAAATTTAACGGGACACGGACTACGAAAATATTAAAAATGAGTATATTGATAGGCGTGTCGCATACCTAACAAAAATAAACCTAACTAGACCACTACTATGTAGACGAGTAAGTAAGGGTCGGATCCTAAGAGACTGTGGTTCAACACTTCAACTAGTTAAATAGACTCAAGCAATTACTAAACAAGTAAACAAATCAAATGAATGAGAATTAATTACGAAATAACTAATTAAAACGATTAAATCAAAACAATATGACAAATCAATGCTAAAAACATCCAAGATCAAGCTTCACCACGAATACGATGAATGCAATAGTCGTTCTACCCCTAACACATAATTCAATTGATTAATGAGGAAAAGTAATCCATGAATAATACCAATGGTCTCTCCCGAGTTATCAATGGCTTCTCTAATCACAATCAAGCCTACTTCCGTGGAATCATGTAAATTAAAGACCTTGAGCACATTACTCTAACTTCCTAATCATCCATTCAACTACTCCCGTGATGAACTTCAAACCCTTAATTGATTTACTCAAATCCATTAACACCCAACTCCCGTTGCGATTAAAACAAAGGATTAATAACAATACTAATTATCTCTAATCTAATATTGGCATAAGCATAATCAATTAAGCATATCAATTACAATTATTATTAGAGAATTTAAAGAATTAATTCATGCTACTCACACATATTAACGAAAACAGAAACAATATTCAATGAAGAAAACATGATTAAAAGGCAATTAAAAGTAAAAGAGAAAGTAAAGATGAATACCAAATACTTGAATGAAGAAAAGTACCAATTGTTGATGAACAAGAATCAAAACTTGAAAGTGCAAATTAATCTAGATCTAGAGAGAATATTAGGGTTCTAATGAAGGTTTAAAAACTAGACAATAATAACTAAGTATATTTAATCGGGGTTTACAATGGGTATTTATATCCCTTAATTAAGAAATCCCGAAAAATAAGAAAATGGGCTTCGCGAAACCGTGCCCGGTCGGGCGCGAGAAGCATCAAGTAGAGAATATGACTTTCGGAGCTTATAATGTTGATAAATTCACTTGCCCGGTCTGCCCGGGCAACCCTGCCAGGGCGACGGGGGTAAGATACATCTATGTACTACTTTGTTCTTCTCTTCTCCTTCCTTAATTTCCTTCTTCGCCCTGGCTGCCAGGGCAATGTTGCCCTCCAGGGCGGACACGGGTAAAATTATCTTCATCTTAATAAGCTCTCATGGCTATCCAAAACAAGTCCAAATCATCCGAAAATCTTCATGTGCCTACAAAATCAATTAAATAGACCAAGCCACGCTAGAGAAGAGAATATTAGCAAGAAGTAGCTCCGTAGAGCTTAAAAACCATACAAAAATAGCTATAAAATGAGGGTAAAATATGGTATAGAACGTGTACATCATATATTATCGCCAAAACAAATTATGTATGTGAAGTATGTGACATTTTGATCCAGTTGACATAGATCATCTTCATTTGTAAAGAAAAGCTTGAATCATACTCCATATAATAGTAATAAAACAATTATGAGTTAAGATGTGGTGTCAAATACACTTTACGCAATGCACAAGCTAGCTAAAATTGCATCATGCTCATAAACTCACCAACAGAGAAAAGTATCTTTCATTAATCCATTTTGATACTTATTCTCTTAGACAATTATGTCCAAGTACTTCGTAACAAGCTAAAGTCATACCCTGCAACAGTTAGCATACAAGCAAAACTTCCCATGATCATGGCCTTGAAAACACTAATCTATGTCATTGTTCCCTTGATCATCCGAATCTTAGGTAAGCGCGAATCTTAACTCTCTACACACAATCATTAGTACTAGTTTAGTACAATTAGTACAGTTTTTAACATGTTATTGTTGTGTTGGTATTATGTAGGAGTTGAATCAAACATTGGAGTAAATTATGGAGTGAATGCAGATAATCTTCCACCACCAAAAGAAGTCGCGAAATTCCTTGTTAACTCAACAATCATCAATCATGTTAGAATCTTCGATGCAAACCCTGATATTCTTCAAGCCTTTGCACATACAAGGGTTAACATAACTGTTACAATCCCAAATATTATCATTCCTCTGTTTACTAATTTCACATTTGCTCAACAGTGGGTTAAGACTAACATTTCTTCACACTTACATTCTACAAACATTAAGTGTATCTTGGTAGGTAATGAGGTGTTGGCAACAGCTAATAAACTCCTCATTACCAACCTTGTCCCTGCTATGGAGACCCTCTACACCGCCCTCGTTGTAGAGTCCTTGGAGCGTGAAGTTCAAGTTTCGACGCCTCATTCTCTTGGGATACTTTCTAGCTCGAACCCTCCCTCGACGGGGAGGTTCAGGCAAGGGTATGATGTGCATGTTCTTTGGCCGTTGTTAAGCTTTTTAAGGGTTATAGGTTCACCCTTTATGGTGAACCCTTATCCCTTTTTTGATATTGATTCTAATGATACCGACCTAAACTATGCATTGTTTGGGCCTAACTCGGGGGTATTTGATGAATATACGGGTAAGAACTACACTAATATGTTTGATGCACAACTTGATGCTGTTTTCTGTGCCATGAAGAAATTTGGATATGATGACGTGGATATTGTGATAGCTGAAACTGGTTGGCCTTCTCAAGGGGAGTCGGATTATGTTGGTGTGGACCTACGAACCGCAGCCACGTACAATGGCAATGTAGTACGCCACGTCACATCCGGTTTGGGGACCCCACTAATGCCAAACCGGACCTTTGAGACGTACCTTTTTGCATTGTTCGATGAAAATCTGAAGATGGGCCCGGCCTATGAAAGGCACTTTGGGCTATTTAGCCCCAATTTCGTGCCAATCTACGATATTGGGCTCCTTCGGCCCAATATGGCATATAGTGCTCCTCCTAATGGTTTCTTATGCTTCTTCATGATCATCACCATTATATGCTAACTTATAAGTTGATTACTTCTTGTGAAAGCTATGTGACATGGCTTGGGTTGAAGCAAATGAAACTCATATATTGGGCCATTAAGCCCAATTAGATCTTGGTCTTGGGCTGTTCTCAAGAGATGTGCTACAAAAGTCAAAGGAACAACGATTATGCTACTGGGCTAAGCCAGCTAACAGGCCCATCATTATTCTGGCTCATGCAGTCATGCTACTATTGCAATTTTGGACACACTGTCTAAAGCAATTGCCTCTACCAATCCAGGTATGTTTGTATATTCTTTCTTGGGAAATTCTACATCATACCCCTGAGTTATTGACTATTCCACGTTATATCCCTCCCTTTGAAAAGTTCCACGTTGTAACCTCATGGTCCCAAAAGTGATTGTTATACCCTGCCGTTATCCCTCCGTTACATGTTGTCGTTAGTGGGGCCCACTTTACACCTATTTATTATTTTTTTCTCGATTTTCGTGCTAAAAAAGTCCTATTAAAGGTTTTAGCGGTCATCTTAGGTCTAAAGGATCCAAATTGAGCTCGGATTTTGCAAAAAGTAGCGTAAAAGCCCCGTTTTATGAATTCTAAATTTAACTGTGAGAATTCAAATTCACAATACGAGGCTTTTACGTTTTTTTTTTTTTTTGCAAAATCAAAGCTCAATTTGGTCCCTTTAGGCCTAAAATGACCCCTAAAACATATAATGGGACATTTTTTAGCACGAAAATTGAGAAAAAAATTAAATAGGTGTAAAGTGGGCTCCACTAACGGCAACATGTAACGGAAGGATAACGACAGGGGTACAACTTAATCACTTTTGGAACCTTGAGGTTACAGCGTGGAACTTTTCAAAGGGAGGGGCACAACGTGGAATAGTCAATACCTCAGGGGTATTATGTAGAATTTCCCTTCTTTCTTTTACATTCTTATTAAATCCGATAAATAAATTGTACGGACTAAGAAGTATATGAACGAGGTACGAGTAGCATTACAAATTTAATAATTAGCATTACAAATTTAATAATTCACTCAAGATGAAATTTAAATAACCTAAATTTTGAACCTTATTCCTTTCTTTTAGGGGAATTGTTGTATATGCAAATATTGAGAATTGACTAGATTATGTAATTGTAACTTGCTTGAATGATAAAATTGTGTTATACATAAGATTTCTGTTGAATGATTCAAAACTCTTAGCTAGCATATTTCAAGTAAAGTTTGACTAAGTTGTGAAATTTAAAAGTTGATTTCATCTTATCCCAACTATTCTTCACAAGCTAGGACCACCACGGCACCACCTACGTTATGCAAAGGGATTGTTTACAATATTTCTATCTTTTAAGCTTTGGAATTTTAATTACTACAACTTTTATGCTATATCTTTCAATCTATTTTGCCTTTGTATTTTGGTTGATTGGCTAAGCTAGCCTAGCTCTCTTTGCTAGAGAATCTTGTCCTTTTTAAAAAAATTAATTGGCCATGGAAGGGATAAGAATTATGCCATTATGAAAATAATTGATAAAGACATACAATTTGTATTCTTAAAAGTACTTCGAGAATTTATCAAAATAAAAAGAATACACGATTTTGATATGATCTCTATGTATTATTAGGTTATCATGCACTTTTAAGAATTTTTGTGTATTGGTAAACGTGATGAGTTCGACCACTTCGACAACTTCTTTATGCCACAAAAAAAAAAAATTATTAGTAGATTAAAATTTTAAAGTCACATTCAAAACAATAATTTTAAAGAGAAACAAAACACTACAAAACTAATCGTTAAAAAAAAAAAAACAACTTATAGTAATGGCATAAGCTATCAGCAATGATATTCAACTTTAAAGCTTTCAACCGCACGATACCATATAGTCATTCATGTTAATAGATAACGCTGTAAAGTGTAGTTAACATCTTATCTAGACTTCTACCTCTTAAGTTAATATGTTTGCAGTAATCATATATCGGGTATCACTCATTGCAACATTACTATGATGCCCAAAATTTCACACCCAAATCAACAACGTTTGTGCAAGCAAGATTGCATGACAATCATGAGTCCCCAATTAATCCTAGCTACAAAAGTACAAAGGACAAAGAAATTATTAGGTCTTGACTCTTTCATTCATATTTTTTTGGCTTTTTTTGAGAAAATTGAAAAAAAATAAAAATGTTTTCTTTTCCTTGGATTATGTTACCAATTAATTAATTAAAATACAAAATCGTGACTCAAAATATACACAAAGAATATCCAACATTTGTTACATTTCACATTTGACAAATTATTAAAATTTAAAAAACGTGGTACAAGCTCATCGTCCTCATCTCAATTCTGCACTTTTCTCTATCTTCCTTCTTTGACACCTCCTCTTCTTTCTTTCTCTCTCTTCTTTCTTCTTCCGAATCTTTTCTCTCTCTCTATTTCTTCGATCACCGATTAAACAATCAATTAATCAAGAATTCGATCAAATTTTGTTCAAGATTAGGGTTTTGCGATTTCGATTCAATCGCAATCACCGCCATTTTTCCCCAACTTTTGAGCTTCTTAGGGTTTAAAGTTTAGGGTTAGGGTTACAGAAAAATGGGGGGCGAATGGCAGCAGCTCTTACAATCGGTAATCATTGGATTAATCTTCTCTTTCTTGTTTGCGAAGTTGATCTCGTTTGTTACTGCATTTCGTGATGAGAATCTCTCGATTTCTCGCGCACCTGACGCCGACGTTGATGCTGATGCTGATGCTGTAGCTGCGGCGGCGCCTGCGCCGTCGAATGCGCGCCATGTTCGGAAAGCGTCGGTTCAATCGGAGCCTGATTCGACGGTTTCTGAGGGAGAATTGAGTGAGATTGCGTCGAGAGTTAGTGATGATAATGCGTCGGTATTGGCGGAGAAAGGGAGTGTGACCGCTGGTGATGCGTTTTTGGATGATGTTGATTCTGATGATGATGATTGGGAAGGTGTGGAGAGTACTGAGCTTGATGAGGCTTTTAGTGCTGCTACCGCCTTCGTCGCGGCGTCTGCTGCTGATAAGATTATGGCTCAGAAAGTGGGAAATGATGCTCAGCTTCAGCTTTATGGTTTGTATAAGATTGCCACTGAAGGTCCCTGCAGCGCCCCGCCGCCACCGGCTTTTAAGTTGACTGCTCGAGCCAAGTGGTATTGTTACTTCTGTCAATAATGTTGTGTTTTATTTGTGGTTTATATGTTCATGTTCTTGTTTCTTGGTGGTTTGATTTGGCTGTGATTTGGTGATTGTCACATTGACATACTAACCCCTTATATGGCATGAATTCACCAAGAACTGATGTGATTGTTGATTAGATCTTACGCTTTACCATATCGAAAACATAACTAGAGGCATGTTTTGAGAAAATCAAATCATAAATTAGGACAGTGTTTTTCTGGGTATTTAAGTATAGTTTGTGTGATTATTGTTTCTGGATGGAGATAGTATGCTGTTGGATTATGATGTGACTAAAAGGAAGTATTGGGTGGTAGGAGGCTTGATTTGTGTTGTTGTGATAGGAATTTACTATAGTTGGAGTTGAACTAAACGGGGTCTTTATTTAAATAGTTGGTGACGGAGATTGATTTTGGATTGTGATAAGAAACTTTGGTTTAGTATCGAAATTCTGATGAAGAGGATATCCTATTTTGATTAAGACCAATAATTGATACGGCTAGTACGTTAATGTCATTATTTAATTTTAAGAAATATTCTTGTAGCTTGTGTGAGGATTATTTTATTGTCGATTCAGGCAACATTACCGAGTTAAAAAAATTTAGGTGTTGCCTTTGTGGACCTTTTGATTAAGATCAATTAAGCATTTTAAACAATAGCTGAAGTGAGGGATGTCTTTTTCTATCTTAAAGATGTTGCCTTGATGTGTTCTATATTGTTTTGTTCTGGTGAAGTTGATGCCACAATCATTCATGGAAGCCTTGTACATTACATACTTTGTTGATTTCTGAAAATGTTGGTCTTATGTGGAGTAGGACGGCTCCCTGTGGTTGACGTGCTGCTTGTATAAATGTGTGGAGAAGTGGATGCTATGATCACTCACTCTAACCTCTTACATTAGGCATACTAGATAGGGAAAGGGAGTTTTTCAAGAAGTAGACACATTTTTATGTTTGTGCTGTGCTAGTGAAAAAGTAATGGAGTTGAAAGTAAAGTAGATACATTTCTTGTTCTCTTGCGTTTGTTGTGTGTGTTGGGGTGGGGATCAAGGCATTGCAGTATGATGATCAAAATATCAAATTTAGCAATCTTCTCTGTATAACTCTTGGTGGACATGAGTCCATACCTCATCCATCGCAGTTAAACTAAGAATAATGAAACTAGGAGAATATGATGACCTAGAACTGACCCCCCATGATCATGAGAAACTCTCCTAACTAACTATAATTTGTTTTGGGATATAATATAGGAATGCGTGGCAGAAAATGGGTGCTATGCCTCCTGAGGATGCAATGCAGAAGTATGTTGATATTGTGACAGAGTTATTTCCTTCTTGGGCAAGTGGTGGAGCAGAGGTGAGATTATACTTTTAGAAGGCACCCCCCCCCCCCCCTTCCCCAGACAACACCCCCTAGTTTGGCTAATGCTAATGCTAATGACTTTTGGTTCCAATTTATAAGTTCCTTTATTCTTCCTTCAACCATGTTGACAGAAAACCAAAAATGGAGATGCCGAGGAGCATAGTTCAGATCCAAAAGGACCTATGGGACCAGTTTTCAGCAGCTTCATTCATGAGGAGGATTCTGGAGTTGAAATGTAAGTTTGCCAGAACTATGAAACTTACATACAAGTATTGCATTTTTTGTTTATGATAATTTTGTGGGGGTGGGGGTGGGGGGTGTGTGTGCGGATTATGTTTGGTCAGTATGCTTTTCAATGTGCTGTGAGATCTTATCTGAAATCTATATCATTCTTCTGCTGGAAAATTGCAATGCCTTCTGTCCAACCATTGGTCCTGTTTATGTCATGAAATTGTTTAAGTACTTGCTGGGCTGAAAGACATGTTCAAGGGCGTAGTTGTATACATAATGTCTCACATACTTGTGAAATGTAAAGCTAAGAATTCATTATTTTTAGGTTTCCATCTTACAAGATCATCATTACTAATATGCTTGAATTCTCGTACATTTTCAATGTCTATTGGAGTCTGCCTGGTTTGTCGTTAAACATAGGCTGTCTGGATGAAATTGTATGAATTTAAGACATCTGACATTAAAAGCTGTTCCAGTCACTGAATGGCCCATCCTTTCTCATGCATGGACATGTTTGGTGCTATGTCTTTTCATCGATGCTTAGGTCTGGAAATTCTTTTTTTTTTAGTGTTGAAGGTATTCAGTGTGTAATTTTTTGAGTATTTATATGGGAAATGGGCAACTTGGTCGGTTATTTCTTATGTTATTTCATGCTGTTATTTCTTTTTAGGAAAATGGATGCTATACATGCCTTTGCTAGAGAAGGTGATGTAGAGAATTTGCTTAGATGCATCGAGAACGGCATTTCACCAAATTCAAAAGGTTTGCGCTCTAAGTCTATGAATGTTATCTTAAACTAAATTTAAAACAACTACTGAACGATTTATGTAAATTCACGTGTCTCTGCACAGAAGAAGTGCACACAAGAATTATATGTGATTTATGTGAACCTATTGGTTTTATAAATCTGGATGATTAGATCAGAGTCTAGGAAAAAATTATAAAAATTTGACAAGCAGTTGTTATGAATGATGATATTGTAGTGATCTATATTAATAAGGTCTGGCAGAAGATAGATATTTATTTGTTTTAACTCTTAATTTGAGCGAATGAAGTTGTCTGTATTGGAAGTTTTAGTTGGACCAGACTTGTAGATACATTGGAAACTATTCAAAGCGAGGTAACTATATTTTATCAAAAAAAAAAATTACTCCTTATCCTTGGAGGTGGTGGGAAAATGTAAACCCAATCAAATAGGCGAATGTGGTTAATATATATTCCAGTTTACTTATTATTTTGAGCCAAATGCATATGTAAATAGAGCTGGCATGATTTATTGCAGGACTATTTTCCTCTAGTCATTTGTGTGAGAACATCTTATACATTATTCCTTTCTTCAGATAGTGAAGGCCGGACTCCGTTGCATTGGGCAGTTGATCGTGGTCATCTTCCTGTCATAGACTTGCTCTATAGCAAGGATGCAGATGTGAATGCTAAGGTAATGTTCCAAATATTGTTCCATTTGCTTCATCCTGTTTTTGTCTGTTTGGGATCCAGTATCTTGATATCTGATCAGCTACTGGTTACATTAATCTTACTATAACTATTAATTGCTATTGCAGGACAATGAAGGACAAACCGCATTGCATTATGCTGTTGTTTGTGATAGAGAAGCTATTGCAGAATACCTTGTGAAGCATAATGCTGATGTTGACATAAAAGATAATGACAGTGCATCCCCAAATGAGCTCTGTGAGAAGAATTGGCCTTGGATGCGAGAAACTGATAAAGTGGTTGAGTAATGGGTTTTTTTGGTTGTCCTGCACTCCCACTACTGCTAATTAATTCGGTTAGGAACTTCCATGTGGATTTGTACATGCTTCGTATTATCAATCATGTTCCTGTTTTGTCTTGAAGATGTGTTGATATAGGTTAATATTGTATGCCGTTTCAAGTGGTAAAATTATTCTTTGTCTGCAATATCTGAAGAAGATTAAACTTTGCATTCGCAAATTTAAATGTCTATAATCTGTTGTAAGTAATTTGGCATTCCTTGTGCTGCTAGGAGATGTTAGCATTCTGAATAATGAACTTGAATCCGTCTAAACCATGTACACAGTTACATCCACCAACCCACCATCATGGACACAAGTTATTGTCATTAAACTCGAGTCCTTCGTTTCTGGCATTCCAACTTAAGTGGAATCCATCCTTTCAATTTATTCAATGAATATGAATTATATAGTACCTATGTTCTAGTAGTAATTCAATACTTGTATATCAAAATAAGGGTATCTCAATTACTCAACTTATTAAATTTGTACTTTTAGCTTCTTTTTTTCTTCATTTCTAAATTTGAGATTAAGGCCCTGTTTGGTTTGATGTAAAAGGTTTTCATGGAAAATGAATTTTCCATTTTTTTTCTCATTTTCCTTTGTTTGGTTTGTTAAGGAGTGGAAAACAATTTTTCAAGGTGGAAAATTCCATGTTTAATGATGGAAAACATTTTCTTTCCAAAAACAAGGGAAACCACATTTTCTTCTCTCCTCACCTCTTTTTTTTACTTCCCTCTCATTCATCCTTACATTTCCACTCTAATTTTTTATTTTTCTTGTATGCAACCAAACAAAGGAAATTAATTTGCAATTGTGTTTTTCTTTGAAAATATGTTTTCTATGAAAACTAATTTACCATTGAAAATGTTTTACATTAAACCAAATGGGGCCTAACTACTTTCATCTATTTACTTTTATTCGTTGTCATTGTCCCTATCATCTGTGGAACTGGTTGATCAAGGACTCATGTCCGTAATAGTCGCTTTAAGAAGTAGATAAAAAAGAAACTTTATGAAATACATTCCTATTTGAAATTGGATATTTATGTTGCATATAGGATTCTTGGAAATGTCAGTGATGAAGGGTTATCATTAGAGTTTCCAGCTGCTATTCCTTGAATCAAGTGAATGGGGAAATTAGAATTACACAATTATTATACGAGTAGAATGCACGAGAGGAATTGGTAACAACGGAGTACTACCTCAGTTCAATGCTTTGTGCTTAGAATCCTATTCTTTAACATGTTAGAATGATAGCAGATAGGTGGTGTGAAGGAAAAAGTCGAAGGTCACTTGTTGAAGAAAATAGGGCACAACTACGCGTGTTTACCTCCTAATTGAACTCACATATAAATATTAATCTCTTTTGAAAAGAGGATATAGAAGACGAGTCAAAAACAGAAGCAATTATAAATTCTTAAGTAAAAATAAAATAAAATACTAATGTTTCAGCTGATAAAACAGTTGAAATATCCTATACATTGTCCCTCAAAAATTGAACTTGGTGAAGGGAAAGAGGAAAACCGAAAATCCAAACGAGTTTCCCATCCCAGTTTTCTTCTAACTCCCGTAAACATTCTACTGCGTCTTTTTTCTTCCAAAAGCTCCCAAAAGGAGACCATTAGTCTAAACCTAATACACCGAACAATTGAATCAGTGATCCACTTATAGCTCATCATGCCCATCCTCAGCATCTTCTGAATCAGCGCTTTCACCTGATGGCCCACCAGATCTCTGGTAAACAGCGGTGATGATTGGGTTGCAGACAGCCTCGACTTCCTTGAGTTTCTCTTCGTAGTCTTCCTTCTCGCCACTCTGGTTGTCATCCAACCACTCAAGGGCCTCCTTAACAGCGGCCTCAATCTTCTCCTTCTCATCAGCCTCTAACTTGTCAGCAAGCTTGTCGGCGTCGCTGACTTGGTTCTTCATGTTGTAGACATAAGTCTCTAAGCTGTTACGGGCGTCAATTCTCTCCTTCACCTTCTTGTCTTCCTCAGCGAACTCCTCAGCTTCCCTAACCATTCTCTCGATTTCTTCTTGGCTGAGACGACCCTTGTCGTTTGTGATTGTGATCTTCTCGGATTTTCCTGAGGCTTTGTCTTCTGCCTTCACATTTAGGATACCGTTGGCATCCACCTCAAAGGTGACTTCAATTTGTGGGGTTCCCCTGTTTCATATCAAAATTTAGATATTAGCAAACCAGACATAAAATAGTTCAAAAAGGAAGGACAGATTATTTTGGCATTCTAACAAACCTTGGAGCTGGTGCGATTCCGGTAAGATCAAATTTCCCCAGAAGTCTGCAGTCCTTGGTGAGACTCCTTTCACCTTCAAATACCTGTTATTATAGCAATAAATGTCATGTTAGAACACAATTTTCAATTGAAGAACTCGAGGTTATCAATGATGAACATGTAAATACCTGAATGGTGACAGTAGTTTGCTGGTCCTGGTAAGTGGTGAAAACCTGAGACTTTTTGGTTGGGATAACGGTGTTCCTTGGAATCAATTTGGTCATAACTCCACCGACGGTCTCAATACCAAGGGTAAGAGGTGCAACATCCAACAGAAGGATTTCTGTGAAAGAACCAAAACTCAACTTTAGTCAGATGTTCAAAAAACTACTTCCACTGCAAGTTACATATTCAAACTTAGTATAGAGGAATAAGAATTGAAGTACCTTTGGTCTCTTCACCACCCTCTCCACTGAGAATGCTTCCCTGAACAGCAGCACCAAAAGCGACAGCCTCATCAGGGTTAACTCCCTTGCTGGGCTCCTTTCCGTTGAAGAATTCCTTCAACAGCTGTTGGACCTTGGGAATCCTGGTACTTCCACCAACAAGAACGATCTCATCAATCTGGTTCTTTTCCAAACCAGCGTCATCCATGGCCTTCTTGACGGGTCCCATGGTCTTCCTGAAAAGATCATTGTTCAACTCCTCAAAACGAGCCCTGGTGAGTGGCTCAGAGAAATCAACACCATCAAAGAGAGACTCAATTTCAACACGGACTTGGTGCTGGCTACTCAAAGCTCTCTTGGCACGTTCACACTCTCTTCTCAATTTTCCAAGAGACCTGTTGTCCTTGCTTATGTCCTTGTTGTGCTTCTTCTTGATCAACTTGATGAAATACTCCATGAGTCTCTGGTCAAAGTCCTCACCTATAGAACAAAAACCAAAGCATGTCAATTTCAAAAGTTCATCTAAGTGATTAATAAGCTCATATCACAAGCAATAAACAAATATATGTCAACAGTCATGATTCTGAGAGGCAATCTTACCTCCCAAGTGAGTGTCTCCGTTAGTTGCAAGAACTTCAAAAACACCATTGTCGATGGTCAAAACACTGACATCGAACGTCCCACCACCAAGGTCAAAGACAAGGATGTTCTTCTCACCACCCCTCTTGTCCAATCCATAAGCAATGGCTGCCGCAGTAGGCTCATTAATAATCCTAGCAACGTTCAAACCAGCGATGACTCCTGCATCCTTGGTAGCTTGCCTCTGGGCATCGTTAAAGTATGCTGCAACATATTCCAAAACAGATATATAAGTAATCACTCAAATTTGTAAAACAACAAAGTCTTAACGGTAATATTGTTATTCAATAGATTATGGTCTCGAGATCTAACCAGGAACAGTGACAACAGCATCCTTGATTTTCTTTCCAAGGAAAGTTTCAGCTGTCTCCTTCATCTTAGTAAGAATCATAGCACTGATTTCCTCAGGGCTGAAAACCTTGGTCTCGCCTTCTTGAACCTTAACTTGGATGTAAGGCTTTCCTTCCTTGTTCACAATCTTGTAAGGCACAAGCTTCATGTCCCTTTGGACCTCCTTGTCCTCGAATCTGTCAAACAAAATATCATCAGATAAGCACAAAATTTGGATAGCTGCATATAATAGTGAAACAGAAGAGTGAGAAACTAACTTTCTTCCAATAAGCCTCTTGACATCAAAAATAGTCCTCTCGGCGTTAGCAGCTGCCTGATTCTTGGCAGCCTCTCCGATCAACCTCTCGTCATTGGTGAAGGCCACCCATGATGGAGTGATACGGTTACCTTGATCATTTGCTATAATTTCAACCTTACCATCTTTGTACACACCAACACATGAGTAGGTGGTACCAAGATCAATTCCAATAACTGTACCGAGCTTAGGAGCTTCATCTTTCGCACTAACGAAAGCAAATAAACTACCTGAATTTCATTTCAAAAGCAAAAGAAATTTATGTTAAATCAATTGCATTTGGGAACATTTACTGTGTAACACTTTATATGTTAAAGTAAATAAACATGCACCCTGTAGCTTCCTTAAAAAACATACTTTGTACATTATTGCAAACTTGATTTAATTGAATTTTAGCACTAATTGTGCACTAATATCCTCTCAAATATCACTTGTGAAGTTTATCATATACGGAGATTGCATATTTCATATTTGCATTGCATTTATTCGAATTAAATAGTTTCATCAACATTATCTTCGATTAATCGGATTGTTAACGTCTGATTGTCAAATCAATAAATTATACTACTATGTAAATAAACAATACATGAAACAATACTAAACTGATTATGATAATCAATCAGCTAATACTGAATTTTATAATTCATGAAAACAACACCAAAATCAATACTTAATTCCTAATATCTTCAATCAATCACGAACTAAAACTGCACAGATTCACTCATCAAACTAATCAAAACACAGATCAATTACAAACATAAACATTATCAGCTACCTTACGTTTGATCTTCACATTACATACATATATCATTCCAAATTGCGTCGAAAAATTTTAGATCCAACCAAACTTCTCGTTGAAACTTACAGATTCAAGCTCATACACTTATTTTTCAGTGAGATCGCAAAATCACTGTTTCATGATAACTAATTACTGAAAACTAACACATCAGATCTGCTTTTAATGCCGCAAATCAAACAATAATGCGATCAATCACTATCACACTCTCACTCTCACTCCTTAATTCAAAACGATCTGAAATCATAAACAAAAAACAACATTCAACAAACAAATCAACATCATTCAAATTCAAATGCAGTTCAAATCTCAACTTCCTAAAACTCAATTACATCAAAAAAAACTACAAAGAACTGGAGAAAGTAAGCTCACCGAATAAGATGATGCCGAATGCAATCGACGATGCGCGTGAATTCCACGCTCCCGCCATTATCTTCGCCTGTGATATAAAACGACGTAGTTTAGTTTTTCCGACGCTTCTTCTTCTTCTTCTCCTTTCTTCAGGTAGTGCTTTGTGTTTCTACTCTTCACAGAAGTTCTGTTCTCTCAGAAAGGAGAGAGAAAGGGTATTTATAGAGTGAAGAGGAGGAGAGAGAGAGTGAAGTTGGGACGTGTCAGAAGTGATGACGTGGACCAATAGGAATGCGAGGATGGTGTTGTTAGCCAATCAGAAAATTTGGGAGAGTTTGTGTGGGAGTTTGATGTTTTTTTCTTTTTTTAGTGGGAATGGAGTTTGATTGAAGAAGGAATTTGAAACGAACAAAGCGTCATATGAAATGACGTGGACCAATGAGGTTGTAAGGATTTGTTACGTGGACCAATAAGTTGAATTGATTGGTTGGGTTGATCGTGGCCGTTGGTTTTTGGATCTGATGGATAGGAGATGCGGTTCTAGTTTGAAGAGTCGAGAATTAAATGGGCCGATTCTCCGTTTCTCTTTTGCTTCACATGACATGTTGGGCTTATGGCTATCGTATTGGGTAAGGATGGCAATCCGGCCCGGATCTGACCCTTCTTCGTCCCGATCCGAGGTAAAAAAAATCCGCTCCGAATTCGAGAAAAAAGTTATCCAAGTTCGACTCTGTTAAAATAATCTGACACCGAGTCGGAGTTGGATCCTACAAAAAATCCGAGAAAAAAAAATCTGAATCCGAGAAATGTCCGACTCCGACTCCAATTGATAGTGGACTTTTGTGTGGGTCATGGTGGCATTGGGTGTGGGATATAAAGGCCCAAATAGCCCAATTTCTCAAAGAATATTGAATAACGAAAAATAAAATAAAATTGGAGCCGGGTCGGATCGAAGTCAGAGGTCGGATATAGAAATCGGAGTTGGAGCCAGATGTTGGACGTCGGAGTCAGATTAAGCCTCCGACTTCCAGTAGGGTCGGAGTCGGATTTCGCATAATCTGCTCCGAGTCTGACCTGTTGCCATCCTTAGTATTGGTTTCATTTTTGAGTCTTGACACTCTTGACAAGGAAGTAATAGTGCAGGTTAGTTATGTATGGGCTAATATCAGGGCTTTTATAGGGAGTATTGTTATGCATCAAAAATTGTATAACGAGGGAAATGGCGTATTACACGTAAATGTATATATATACACTAAATTTAGAGTTGTACTATTGAGTGATCAAATAATACCATTGAATATTTAGTGGTATTATATATGTATGTAGTAGCACTATCTATGCATTCAGTGATTCTAATTATGTGCATATATAGTATCATTAAATAATGAATAATATTATACAAGCTTTTAGTGGTACAATTAAAGTAATCCCATTTACTTATCTCTCTCTTCCTTTCCTCTCTCTTCTGTGTGATTTTTAATATTTTAGTAGTGTTTGTTATGCATTTGTAAACGCATAACAATATTGCATTACTACTTCCTCGAGCTTTGGTTAATACGTAACATTATTAAAATATGTGTTGTAATTAAAGTGCATGGACGATCTCATTTGTGGATTCTTTTATAAAAGTGCATGAAAAAAGGAAAAAAATAAATATTTGGACCCCACCATCACGTGAATATAGAGATTTAATGATGGGACCATACTTTGACTGTTACAACTTGAACCTTTTAAAATAAAATTGGAATTTTATTTAAGTATTGTTGAGAGTTTATTTAATACCACTACAAAGCATGTATATTACCGATGAATATACAATTTTATTATCTAACCACCTGATGAGGACAACAATCTAATTGTATCACTTGAAACTTATAAAATATCATTGGAATTTTATTTAAGTACTAATGAAAATGTATTTAATACTACTACAAGCATATATAGTGCCACTAAATACACACAGGGGTATTATTTAACTACCTAATGATACCACTCTAAATTAATGGGCATGCTATGTAAAGTTTTGTGCCAAATTACTAGAATGCCTTTGGTTATGCATTTGGCCATGTGTAATTGTTATCCCTTTGAAATGCCGATCAATTTGCCATTTTAAGACAATTTCACTACTCGTTGTCACCTTTTTACAATTAAATGTGGTTTTACCGTGAGTATTTTTTAAAAAAAAGGTTTTGGGGAGTATGTATAACAAAAATACTTGTATTTTGGAGTAGGTGAATATCCCGGTAAATGAAATATTTGTTTTGAAGATAGTTTTAAGCTTTTAAAAAATGAAAATAGTTTCTGAGAATGTGTAAATATTTTGGCAAATGGGAATAATTGTATCGAAAGTAGATAATATAAGATCGAGTAAGTAGGAAGCATTAAGGATGGTTTTAAAATGTAACTATAAAAATAATGTGCCCAAAATAGAATATGTAATCATAGAAAAGTGACAAAGGAAGTAATTTAGTTTGGTTTGGGGGGAAGTTGACTTAGGAAGAATTTTAATTACAAGATTAGAAAGCCCAACCCTTTTTCCGAGGTTGGATAAATTTTTCACCAAATATTGCCCCTTATGATCAAGTGTACATCTAGGTCTTTGTTCGAACAAATTTTAACAAAGTTATTGCAGGTATCAAATCAATAACACAATTAACACTAATAAATTGAATACTTAAAAATTTAATTGATGTTAAACAAGCCCTTGATTTAACATGATAATTAAGATTTTGGACCTCAATCTCTTCCATTATTGCCTAATTGGTACATGACTACACAACTTATATTGATCTAGTGATTTGAGCTTAAACAAAACCCTTACCAAGCAAAGATGAACCTAAAACAGTAAAACCTATGGCATGAAAATTCAATTCAAACCAACACAGGTTGTACCTTGTGACAACTTATTTTTAAGCAAGTTGCTTGTATCCATATATAAATCGAATGACTATATAAAACTTAACTCGCAAATCGAATGACTTAGAGCATGTTCTCATTGACTGAACTTAGCTGAACTGAACTGAACTTATTAGAGCTGAATTGATCTGAACATTTTATAAGAGAAGGAAATTAGGAGCTGAATTGAATTGAACTGAATTGAAAATAATCATATGAGAACAAACCCCCTTAATCGAAACTTGCCAAAACACATCATACAAACTGGACTCAAATGCAAAATGATACTTCATTTGATCTCCACCCAAACTAATGTTAGATCAAAATGAATGGATTCACATTAGTCACATACCAAAGGTGATGAAAATCACATCATACTAAACCAAATTGTAAAATCATTTGCTTAAACTTGTAAATGGTATCACACATATTGGGCCAAATTGATATTTTCGAAAATTTTCTATAAAAAAAAACAAGATTTTTGTGTCTAAAAATGTGTTTTTTGAATTATCCAAACTCATACCTCTTCAGACTGAGATGTATCAGGTAGGGCCTTATCTTCAGCATACTTTCATTTCAATTTAGTTCCTAACTAGGTTAGATCCCGTGCAATAATGCACGGTTGTTAAAGTTCCAATATATGTCATATTATTATAAAATAAACTCTTGTTATATTGATTTAGTACAATTAAGGCAATTTACATTTTAGCCAATATTTGGCCATGTTTGGTAATTGGATTTTTAATGGCTTTTTGGTTAGCTTTTGGCTTTTTAGGTGGTCAAATAGCCAAAAAATGTGTTTGGTAATTGGCTTTTTAGTCAGCGAAAAAGCTGGCTTTTAAGCTAAAATAAAAAAAAATGCTTGGAGTAACTTTTTTGTTGGCTTTTGGCTTGTTGCCCCACAAATTATCTAATAAACAGCCAACAACCAACAGTTAATTTACCAAACACTTTTATAAACAACCAGCTTAACACAACCAATTTCAAAAGTCATTATAAACAGCCAAACATTTCAGCTAGTCAAACAATCCAAGTGAACCAGCCAACAGCCAACCGCTAACAGCCATTTGTCAAACAAGACCTTTATTTATCTTATTAAAAATTTAAATTAAATAAATTTTAACCACAAAAAAAAATCAAAACTAAAAGATACCCAAGGAGACGACACGTGTCATTGCTGGTGTGTCTTTTAGCATATAGTTATTGGTGATTATTGATTGATGATTTTTTCAATTTAGTTCAGCTTCAATCAATTCAGTTCAGTAAATCAGATATGCAATTGACCCGACCGGGCAAAGGGCAAACCATATTGTACACCTTCAAGAAGTGTACCGAGGAAGCCAATATACGAAGCAGTCACAATCACCCAAAAAAAAAAAAAAAAACGAATTCTATAATTGGCGCTCATTTTCCTCTGATACAGTACATTTTTCAAACACTCAGTACGCCCCTCACTCATTCCTCCATCTCATGATTCTCATCCGCCATGGATGAACAAACTCAAGCTTCATCTCTCATCTCAAAGCTCGAAACCTACGAATTCGCCGAAATCTACACTCTCTTCTCCGAATTTCTGCAACCATTCTCTCTCCTCAATTCCACCAAACCTCAAAACCCTAGCAAAAAACCCTCTCGCAGCAAAAAACCCTCACAATTTTCTCCTTCTTCGCCAATTAGGTCACTTGCAAAGACATTTCTATCTTTCGTTAGTCAGTCTCTTTCTCTCCTCCCGAAATGCCTCTCCGAATCTCCTAAACACCCGAAAACTCGCGAATTTGTGGCTCAATTGCTCGATTGTTACATATTGTGCTTAGATTGTTTGGATGTTATGTCTTCCGAGCTTTCGGGTAAGCCGTATTGTGTGCATTTGCAGAGAGGTAGGTATGTACATTGTTTGATTAGGTGGGAGAGGTATGAGGATGCTATCAATGAAGGGTTTAGGGTTTTGAAGGACCTTGGAGGGGTTAAGCTTGAAGGGGCTGGATGGAAGGTTTCGATGGGGGAGCTCGTTCCTCGATTAATCGTTGTCGATTTCGATGATAATGGAGGAGTGGAGGTGGAGGAAGATTTTGTGCACCTAATTGTGGATTTGGTTGTTGCTGTTGCACAGTCTGTATCGTTGAGTAAGGTTAAAGATGCTGGGAAGTATACTGGTTTGTTGATCTTGCTCGACGAGGTTCACCCGTGGTTCAGGTGTGTGTGATCTTGTTAATCTTAGAATTGAGTTCAAAGGTTGTTGTTATTAAATCAAGTTTTACTGGAATTATGTTCAACACTTTGTACCATTTTCTCTTCAATTGTTTGTTTATGAATTGAAATGATGTGTGTTGACACCAATTGATAATTCTAATTTAAACTGAATTCACCCAAATTGGATTTGTTGAAACTAATATACATAAGTTGAAGAAAACAAAGCCTATGTTTAAACGTAGACAGCAGAAAGATGGCATACATCTGGATTGGTATGATGCAGCAGTGTGTCCGCATTTCAAAAAATTTGGGGTAGTTTTAACTTTTAAGAGGCTAGAACAACAATACTTGTTAATTGAAGTTTGGTAATGCATTTGACCGGGTTGCATAGTTTGAATATAGTTAAGAGCAAGTTTAGCCTTAAGTCTTAAGACTTGAATGTGACATCATTTTTGGTGGTCCCCATTGAAAATGATGTCATCAAATTCTTGTTAAGACTCACTAAGACTTGCACAAATTTATAACGCACAAATTTATCACTTCAGCCCTAGACTCAAATATATGACATATTATATGTAGAAAAGTGTAAAAAAAAACGACAATAAAAATAAAATTGAGGTGGGTCCCAATCTTAAGTTTTAAGTTGAGTTTTGGAAATTCCAAGACTCAACTTCAGACTTGCTTGGGATTTAAGAAGAAAAATGGAAAAAGTCTTAAACATAAATCTTAAGACTCAAGATGATGATGTCACCCCAAGTCTTAAGACTCCCGACTTGGGGTGACATCATCATCTTGAGTCTTAGAATTTATGTTTAAGACTTTTCCCATTTTTCTTCTTAAATCTCAAGCAAGTCTCAATTTGAGTCTTGAAATTCCAAGACTCAACTTAAAACTTGAGATTGGGATCCACCTCAATTTTATTTTTATTATCCCTTTTTTTAAAAGAAAAACACTTTTCTACATATAAAGAGTTAAAAAAAATTTGTCATATATTTGAGTCTTAGGGCTAAAGTGATAAATTTGGACAAGTCTAAGTGAGTCTTTACAAGAATTTGATGACAACATTTTCAATAAGGACCACCAAAAATGATGTCACATCCAAGTCTTAAGACTTGGGATTTGGGGCTAAACTTGCTCAAAGAAGTTATATGGTGACTCGCCTGTCATTTAGAATAAAACAGTATGGATGGGGTTGCTGGGTCTTGAAAAGAATTCTCTTTCAGATGTTGAAAGAAATTCTCTTCTAGAGTTTTAGATGTTGATGTACATGCTATGGTGTAAATTGATGGTTCTCATAAATAATCCTGCTCTTATTGAAGTATTTGTTGGTGCTTAAGGCATCTGGAAACTAGTGTATGCAGTAAGCTGCAATGGAAGCTATTAGCTCACATGAAGAATGCTGCGCTGTTTTTGGTTAGAGAAGTTACACATTTTAAAGGGGATTTGGTACCTGGTTTCTGTGCTGCTGTATTCAACGAGTATACACAATTATTGAAAGCTCAAAGTATCCAGGTGATCTATCTGGTCTTTACTTTTGTGATCAATTTGGCTATAGAATTGTGAACAATCTTGTGATGCTATATATGCCCTAATACTTGTCAGTAACTACTCATTCCTCCTTCGTTTGCAAGTTAGGTGTATAACATTTTTATTATGTGCCCTACGATCAATAGCAGTTAAGGGATACAACTAAGTAAGAAACTGACAGCAATGTCAATGTACTTTTTAAATTGACCTACAATAACAAGTGTCAACGTAAAATGACTGCTACAGTTACGCAATCGCGCACTCAAAATTAATCTCAAACCAAAATACTTCCTCCGTTCCCATAATATTGCAACATGGATGAAATTACGCATCCCAAAACTTATTTTATATGTTAAATATCTATAACTGTATAAGAGTAAAAGTTATAAAAAGTTGATATTGTGAAAGTATTTTATGAGATGAATCTAATTAGATCTCACATGACTATTTTGTTTAACGTTAAAATCATATTATATGGTCAAACAAAAGTTATAAATAGTGCGAAAGTCCCATTGTTACAATATTATTGGAACGGAGGAAGTAGATTACAAGGGCTTCATTTAAGTCCTAGTCTCCTCAAAGAAAGAGTTAGCTGATGAGAGATTATATCACCTAATTACTGGGATAAATCAAAGTTTTAGCATTATTTTCCTGGATCTAGCTACATGTAATAATAATAAGGTCCGCAGTCTGCTACTCAAGTCCTTTGTCTTATTCACTACTATCCCCTATGCTCCAGTAGATGCTCTACTGGAAGTTTTATGGGAATTGAATATCTCTCTTTTAGCTACTGGCTTAGTGTAATTGGCAGAGCCTCGATTTGCTAACTTTTTCCTCCATATCTGGTCTGCTGCACACAACCTGACCTGCTGCACACAACCTGGATTTCTCTAATGCTCTATTCTATATTACTCTTTTATTACCAAACTATTATGATTGTGATGTAAGAATCTCCAAATTCTTTTTAGGAATATATTTCTTTATAACATTAATAAAGAAAGACACATTAAGTACTCTCAGTAGCTTTAACAACCAGTACTAGTTCACCTTTGTTTTGACAGGAGCACTTTGCTTTCTGTAGTGAGGTGTTGGATATGTTGAAAAAACATCAATAATCTGTATTTGAAGCCTTAAAACGTCAGCTTGCTTGAGTTTAATGACTTAAATTACAAATTGTGAACAATATCATTGTTGTTTTAAGCTATTATACTCTTTTATAGGGGACAACAACGGAGGAACAAGAAGAATTTGTAAAATTTGTATCAAATTGTACATCCAAATGTCGGTCAGCAAGCAAGAATGTCCGGGTCTCCATTGCTATGCATTTGTACAAATCTGCTGACAATTTCTCTCAGGTTCATTGTTTGAAATTCTAATATAAATCTAACATAAATTACATAATAATTTTTTATAAGAATGATGATTCTTATAGCTGAAAATTTGATGTTGCTTGTATTTTTTTTTGTTCTGAGCAGGGTTTTTCATACTTCACACTTATTCAGAGATTTCATGCTTTGGGGCTATACTTCTATGAGTTATGTTTTGAATCAAACAATTGTATGTCTTCGACTTCAGGGAGCTCAACAGGTAGTCATTCTGTGGGATTCTCTCCCAATGATTGGGATCAGCTAAAAGATTTATCTTGTTTGCTGTGTAGTGGCAAGAAATACTACCCTTCTCACCTAGAGGTCTATGTCAACCCACTAAGTCATGATTTCAGGGATTATGTTGAGAAAGCATCTATAAGTTCTAGAGCTGGTTGTAAGATTTCTAAATCCTTTAAGTCAACAAATGGGGAAGAAATTCTATCTTATTATCTGAATGCCTTGAAGTTCCTATGTTGGCCACTTGCTGACTTTGTAACTTCAGAAAGAAAAAGGATAATTGTGGAAGACACAGAGTCCCCCCTAGGAGAAGCATTGAAGCATATCCTGGAGGCATTCCTTGAATACAGCTATCTCTTTTCTCATTGTCAGCAGTAAGTAGCAGCTACTAAGTTGATTGTTCTCTTTATTTCCTCTGACCTACCTGCTTTCTGACATTCTGGTTCTGGAAAGGAGAGTGGTGTTGTAAGTTTTTAAAAGCTGCATTATTTCACACGCTAGTTTATGAAATACTCACTAAAGTTTTGCATGCTCATCCTTATTCTTTATTATTTCTTCTGAATCCAAAAGAGCAGAAAAGTTACTCTAATTTCCTGCTCCAGCAATATATCTCGTTGAACTAGCTGCATTGGCTTTTGCATTGCCTTTTATATATCTTAAATTTGGTTATACACATTGCAGGAATAGCGAATCTCGTGTTGAAATTGACATGATTGTGCTAAACATCTCCGTGGCTTGTTTTACTCTCTCCCTGAAGCTAAATCTCATCACCGAGGTATCTTGATGGCGAGCTGATGTATTACATGCTGATATGCAACTATTTTTTTCTAAAAATAAAATAATGAAGCTCTTTGTTTTTATTGGCTAATTCCCTCTGCTCCTGTAATTTCAGGGAAGTACAAGGCTTGTAAATTATATTCTCTCTGATGAGTGTACTTCATTGTTACGGCCTCACATGCTGAAGTACATCATAGCCATGCTTCACAACAATTTTGTCGAATTCTACAGACATGAACAGTTTAAAGAGGTTTTTATTTTTTTATTTTTTATTTTTCCATTTTATTTTAATTAAAAAACCTATTGATAATTCTGGTACTCTAACTGGTTTTTCCCTTTATTTATTTTAATTTGGTTTTACACTTTAGGGAGTGTCTTAAGAATTTTTGTTCCTATTCAAATCAATGGGATAGTCTTAGTGTGGATCTTAAATTTGTTATGGTAATTGTGCTGCAACTGATAAAATTTCTGAAATCTCATTTAGTAATTGCCTATTAATTAGACGATTATCTTTGTTTTTTTTGTCCTGGTGCTGTTGTTAATGTGCTGGTGAGGATGATGTTATAACTTATAAGCTGATGTGCAGTATGTGTTAAATGACCTACCATATAACCTACCCATATTTCTTTATGTATATTATTATACTTCTCTGAGTTTGTTGTTCCTGGTTATGTCAGGGAGAGTGTAACCTTCTCCTTTCACTTTCATGATGCTGACCTGTTTTCCATGCAGGCCTTTGATGCATTAGAGTTATGTTCTAGAGCATCATGGAATCGCTGTTTACTTTTGTGTGAGATACATGTGGGCAAGCAGAACGGAGTTGATGGAGAGGTATCGGAAACTATGATTGCCGAGTCTGTGAATGAGGCATGCAAAGTTGGTTATCTTCTTATTGACATTGACCATCGTATTGATAGCGGTAAAGTGGAGAAGGCAATAGATAGCGGACTTGTAAAGTGGTGCCTTGCCAAAAATCTTTTAAGGCAGCTCCCTTGTCCTGTGACATTGATAAAGAACTGGACTAAGGTAATTTTAGTGATTTTTATTTTTGCAGTTTTTTTTTTTAGTTGGCGCGCTACTAATCTCATCTTACTTTTGCAGATGCAGTGTAAGTTGTATAAGAATACCGAAGATGATGCTCCAATCTTGGGTTATAATCTCCTCCAATCTCCTTGCTTGGCGAAAAACAATATTTCATCTGAAATTGTTGGGACCATTTTAGAGCAGGTTTGGCTTTTTGTCTTAAATTCTTCCTAGTATTTTCTACTATTTTCTTGCTCATCTCTGTATATTATTTAGATTACTGCTTGAAATTTATGTTTCAGGAACTTTCAGCTTACCAGGAGATGAGCAACTTGTATCCTATATTTTGTCAGAGAATGCAAATGAATTTAATTGACACCCTCTTGAAGAAATTGTATATATCTAGCAAGTGCTTGCAGAGATCGACTATTCTAGTCAAGAAAGGATTGTTATTAAGGACCTTTGGAATTGAAAATCTGGACGATTGTATCCGTTGTTTGTCAAAAGCAATTGAATCAGTTGTGAGTTACATCATTCTGCTCTTTGGTCAATCCATCATTTACCATATTGACTATCTTTTTTTTTTTTTGTTTTGTTTTGTTTTGTTTTGTTTTGTTTTGTTTTGTTGCCTGATATGGATTAATTTATTCAACAGAATGGCTTGTCTGGTGATAAAGTGTATAATCAGTTAGCTGTTGTGTATTGTTTGCGCGCGCTTTCCAGCCATGAAGCTGACCCAACATCAAAGGTCTGTCTTCTACATAAAATTTCACGTTTCTAGACTTGGGCAAAGGTATTTTTTTCAATTGGAAATGTGTCTGGGAACTTTTGTTAATTTCATCTTAATTTGTCCTTTGGGCAGGATATGTTTAGAGATATCCATGAGGCCGTAGACCTATGGTTGACGACTATTGATGTTTTTTGTTGCTCTTCTAGTGGCAATTGTGGGATGGGATGTGAGTCTGTGTTGCAGCTTCTGTATCACATTGCTGATTTATTGTCCATCAAGGTTTGCTGATAAAATATTAACAGAATCTGGCTTTCTTCATTGGTAACTTCATGGTTCCATTAACACTATCTCCTGATTATGATATTTGCTTCATTGCCAGGGCGATGTGACTCTTCATGCAAAAGTACTATCTGTAATCATGAAAGTGTTTAAACAGTTGAATGTCCCACTGGAGAAGTGTCTGTCACTATTGTGGGAGTCGCGAAGGGTTAACCATGCACTATGTGCCGTACCCATTAATGAGGCATTCATTGAGGCTCTTTCAAAACATTATGGTAAAGAGGCGGAGTCTCTTGAATTCTGGATTAGTTGTTTTAAAGATTCCCAGCCGCTACTAGTAGGGCTGCAGCAAAATTTCTCGTTTTTATCCTCTCTTTTTCCCCTTGCTTTCTTTCAACGCAAGCATTCTTTACAGTCCGAGATCTCTGTTGATGAAGTGAAAAAAATTGCATCGAACCTTCTTTCAAATGTAAGGTTCATTGTTAGATTAAACAATTATCTCTGTACAAGTACTATAAATGACTGCCCATTTGTGTTTACTTTTTGCTTAGGTTTCTGTATCTCGTAGCTCAGCTTTTCTAGCTGGATATATATACCATGATTTGAGTGAATGGCTTTGTGCTGGTGGAAGGACTATTGAGGTATGTTTAATACTCGGAATTATCACCCAAATCCCCTATAGTCTGTTGGATATCATCTCTGGTAGGTTTATTTGCTGTTTAGTGTTAAACTTTGTACTCTTCTGGTGACAGGCAGTTTTTGACTGAATTAAAATACTTGATGTTTATGCTTACTATTTGTAATGGATTTTGGTTATCAGCATTATATATGTTAAATTATTAGGACTGTCTCAACTCTCTTTCATGCTTATTTCATTATAATTAAAGATAGCCGAAGGACAAGATTTGTGTCATTGAACTCAAAAATACTATCTTTTCTCTTGATCTAATCAATTTATTATCTCTCTTGTTCTTGTAGGCATTTGTTTATGCAAAAGAAGCTCATCGGTTGCGTGGTAAGCTATTGCAAGAGCATTTTTCTTGCTCAATTCAACAATATGATGAAAACCAAAAACTTGAGGAATCTATAAGGAAATCATCAGCTGTTGTTAGTCAGCTCTCTGTGTTGAATCAAATAGCTATTAGAGCCTGGCCCGTTAATTCTGTTGCACCGTCTTTAGACAGTTCTTCTCTTTCCCCGTGGAATGTGCTTCGCTGTTATCTTGAGAGCACACTGCAGGTTTCCAAATCTTTATTTTGACTGTGTATGTAATAATTGAAGTAGCATTACTAGAATTTTGAATTTTTAATGTTACACCATGTTTTCAATGTTGGTTTATATGTTAGGTTGGTATAATCCATGAAAAGCTTGGAAATGTTGCTGAGGCAGAAGCTCAGTTTATATTAGGCAAGAGTATCTCCTGCTTGCAGTGCCTGCCCCGTTTCATTTTCAGATTTTCCTCTTGTTTAGGTATGTGAATAAACTTTTGTTTTTATTTATTTTTAATTATGTTTTGTTTGAATATTGTTCTTTATTATCGTTGGAGATTTGGTGTGTTGACTGTAGTTCTTAAACATAATACAGGGAAAATATACCACGGTATGGGCCTTTTGGACTTGGCATCCACAGAATCATCAGAGCAAAATTTAGATTTTGAAAGTAACTCTATGACTTGCTCAAGGTGTTTACTCATGTTGGAAAGTGATATTATTGAACTTGGTAATTTGCGTAGAAAAGGTGTTGATTGTGCTCCAGGAAATCCTTATGAATCATCTATTCTAAATCTGTTATCGCTTGAGGAATCCAGAGTATCACACTCTGTGCATGAATGTGATGCTGCTATTTCAGGCATTGACACTATATCAAGGCCTACAAAAGCAAAAGCTATTGTGGAAGCTAAAAGGACCAGGAAGACAAAAAAGGAACTAGAAACTCAGGTAACTGTTAATTCATGTGCAGCTGAGCAGAATAAAAGGGTAACTCGTTCTAGAAAGCTGTCTTCTAATGCCAAAAGCACTGCCTTTGTCAAAGACGGAAAGAATGTTACAACTTGCCAGACCAATGGCCAGCTGGAAACTGAAGAAGCTGTTGTTTCTAAGAAAATTTCATGCCAGAAATGTTTTTCAAGCGAACTTAATTTATTTGGTTCTTTAGCTTGTTTTATTCAAATGAAGTGGGAGTTTGTTCGCCGGCAACAAATATTGAGACTACTCATTGGATTAGGTATAGTTCATTTCTTATTCTTATTGTCTTTATAAATACAGGCCATGATACTGTTTTGCATATCTTACTTTCAATCTATGTTGTTGATTAATACTTTCATATTAATATTGAGAATACTCAGTGACCTAGCTATGATTCATTTTACGTTCTTATAGTCAGTAGAAACCCATGTCAAAAGAATTATTTGTATATGTTACACATAGTCACTTACTAAAGCTGTTGATTTTATTCGTATTGACATGATGATTCCTATGTATTGATATACTGTACATTCAAGCAAAGTATAACAGAGCTTTGGTTCTCCTTCTTTTAAGAGGTCTTGGGTTACTGAATTATTTTGAAACTTGAATTTCAATATTAGGTTTCTGAAGTGAAATATAGTGAGTAATTTTGTTTTACGTCAATATAAATAGGCATAGATGTGTAGAATGGAGCTTAGATTTAAGAAAGTGCGCTTGAGGCGCAAGGCACAGTGAGGCTCAAGAGCTGGCGACTTAGCTCTGTGAAGCTCAAAGTCCTACACGCACTTTTATTTTCAAAGAGGCTTCTTGCGCCTTATGTTATAACTTGTGAGACATCAATAGTTAGTGTGTAAGATACTTTTTTTACAAAAAAACACAAGACTTTGTGACTGGCAGGTTTACTTTAATTCTATATCAGAGCGAATTCTCATTACCCTGAATTCTCATATCCCCCTATTCGATTTGAAGAACCCTAGCTATTAATCCCATGGTCTTTTCAGGCTATCACCTTTTCTTACCATTTCTTCTATAGACTATTTAATAGAAATTATACATTTTTAATATTAATAAAGTACACCTCACCTACAAAGGCCCGCATCTTTGCCTTGCACCTAGGCTCCAAGGATATTTGCGCCTTGGTGCACCCTCTAAAACTAAGGAATGGAATGGACAGGAAACCTTAAAGAAGTCAAATTTTTTTGTAAATGACCTTAGTGGCAGGGGTGAAATAAACAAGAAAGACATGAGTTTTCTGGGTAGAAACTCTTGGGGATGTCGTCTTGGTTCATGTGGTCGACCCCATACTTTTGTGATTATGGCTCTGATGTTTTATTTGTCGTCATACATCAGCATATATATATATATATATATATATATATATATATATATATATTAATGTATATAGATTCACATTCTTTTGTCGATTTCCTTTGGTTGTCATTTGGTCTGTGTAGGTTTGTTTGATGCATAGTGCCGTGCTTATTTATTTTTTGTTCCATTTTTCAAATTAAACATAACAAGTTGTTGTGAATAGAGAATTTGTGGTCCCTTATTATTTTTTTGCATGACATACACTGTAAATGAAAACTGAAAAATCTCTATGTGAATAGATTTTGTATACATTGGTTTCATATTTATTCAACTGGAACTGCCTGGAAAGTTAATTGGGAAAGGATCATGTAAAAGAATTTATGCTTTTCATGGAAAAAGGGGTTGTTTGATTATATTTGGTCTATTACTTTAAAACTAATGCATGTTATCATGCTAGCTACTTGATTAATCCTTCTAGCAAACATCAAGATGATAAGCCATTGCCGTCATGGTGTCGCATAATGTATTAGTATATTACTTCCTCCGTTCACTTTTAGTTGCAAGCTTGCACCATTTTGATTTTCACACTTGCCAATGCATTATTTTAATCCTTCATATCTTTAATTATAGATAAATTTGATATTGTGAAAGAATAAATTGAAACGAATCTAACAGGATCCCATATGATGACTATATTTTGCTTAACATATACCTAAAAAAGGGGATCAAATGAAAGAAGGTGAATGTAAATTTGCAAGTGTTGCAACTAAAAGTGAAAAGAGGAAGTATGAAACATGTTTACAGCTCCTTTATATAGTTTCCATACAAGGAATATCTTGACCTATGCAAGTTTGTGATAATTTGACTAACCCGAATCTCTATATATTTGTTCCTGTTGCTAGGGAAGCATCAGGGAGCTTTGGTTGGAACTCATAGATTGCACACTATATACTCTAAATGCATATTTATATTGCTGGGAGGAAATGATTGTCATTGTTCAAGCTCTACTGTTCTAGATTTTGATTCTATCAGCAAGGAGATTCCTGGGGATATTTTGGTTAGCGAACGTGCAGAAGTGCTGTACAATATTTGTTTTTTTTCCTTGAAAGCTTTGTGTTCTGAGGACATCAGGTATGGTAGATGCTCAATTTTACAATTTACCCTTGCATAGACAGCACATGCATTTGAGCTCGAGTATAACATCTACCATCACTTTGCACATGATAAAAAGAATTTGTGTTGTTGTCTGGGGGACCCATTTCAAGATAAAAAAAGTACAAGAAATGGGTATTAATTTGGAGACTATGATATTTTGTTTGCATCAATTTTATATGTTCATATACATTTTATTTGTGATTAAGGCTTTGTGCTAGTTGTTACTTGAATTTTAAAGAGTTCAGAATTTCAAAGGATTAAGATTTTGGAGATATGATCTTTTGCAGCACTGTTTTGTCATTGGCAGATTAGAGCACTATTGGTCCCATTACTTATGCTTAGATTTCACATGAATTATCTCCTGATTTATTTTGAGGGATCATGTTTGATTTTTCTGTAACATTATTTTTCCAAAGTTTGATGGCTGATGAGTGGATGCAGTGACAGTGATCATCTGTTTCTATTAGTCACAAATATCTAAATCATATACATTATTGTACTTATACATGATTAGCATCGCAAAGCGTCGTATTTCTCCTGTGAGTTTATCTTAGCTTTGCCTAACCTTGTAACTAGGCACTGATGTGATGTGACCATTGATTAGGAATGATTTTTTTGTGGAACATAGTGCTGTATCTAGTCTCTAGATAGAAATCTGGTGATTCCATATACTGTATTTCTATTTCCATATTTAATGTTGGAATCCAAAAGATTAAAGTGCATATTATGGCCCATGAGCACTTGGATGCTTAGGGGATTGACTAGTTTGTGGCATGCCAAAACTTTCTAAGGGTTTTTTTTTTTAATAAAAATTAAATTTAGGTGCAATTTTCAACCAAGTCTCAAGGATTTCGGTTGGAAATTTTGACTTTATGTATTCTAGGGGCTTGTTTGTCAGGCAGAGTTATAGAGAGACACTTTAGGAAGGGAGACTGTAGTGACTGTTCATTTTTGATATTTTTGGCATTTTGCTGTGGTTACTAATTTCATGAAGGATCATTAGCAATGTTTTCCTAGTTAAAATTTTAATGTAGTGAACGTGCCAGCCACTAGTTTGTCAGGTAATCTCTGGGCAATCTGTAGGAAGATTCTAGTCTTGAAGGGATGAACATGCTTGGTGGGAAATTACTTGTACCTTGCTGTTACTGCTGTAGGAACTTGCTGTTTATACTCATTCATTTATCTGCAGAAGAGTGTAATTTAAGGCATTGTATCTATCAATTTTACTAAAGTAACAACCGCTGACATTATTATTTTTTTCAAATTGTACACGTGTCAGCTTCTCATTCATTTTTTTCCCGCCTGAACTTTTTTTTTTTCCTTTCAGGTTTTTTTTTTTTTTAATTTTATTTTATTTTAAAAATCTAAATACTGATTGAAAATTAGTTTGATACAATACATTAAACTTTTTAGTTTTCAATACTTTTTCTTTTAAAAATCTTAAGGGAAACAAATACTACCTCCGTTACAGGTTATGTGCAACGATTTGACATAAAGCAGAGAGGGAAAATGTCTAATCGTTGCACATAACCTGTAACGGAGGTAGTATCAACCTTTTATATATGTGATTACTCCATCTAATTACAAAGTTCACAATATTTTATTGTAGACATGAATTTTCTTTTGTTTATATTAATTTAATTTTTTATAGTTTGGTTTATGTTAATAATATCGCATGTAATACAAAGATTTTACATATTTTGACTGAAATGTCTTTGAAGTTTACATAATTATAAATTTTTTATTATACACGGGAGTTAATCTAGTTAACTATTATATTAATTTCTGGTTATGCACAGGCATTGTATTCAATCAACCTCGTTTGCCACCCATCATGTGTTGTTAGTTAATGGCATGTGCTAATCTATTGCAGGATCTGCATTGCTGTGTGATTAATAAAATTAGATAATGTTAAGAGATTGTGTCTACGGGCTATGTTAGTGTCACACCTAGACTTCATTCAGATTTTCATATTATTATGAGATTACCAAATAACTATTTTTATTTTGGAATATCAATAACTAACTGCAGTCCTATGCAACCTATTTTTTTCTTTTTCTTTTTTTTTTTTTAATAACTAAGTAACTTATTTTTTAATTTAATTTTATTTTTTTATTCCAGGACTACTTGTTTTCCTTTTTGCTGCATCCAAATGTCTCATGTAATATCCTTCCTAAAGCTATCCTTTGTGCTGAGTCGTGAGATTCCTTTGCTCTTTCAGAAGGTTTGTTTCCAAAACATATTTTTTGTACATTTATTTTTACAGTGAAGTAATCATGTTATTTGCCCAAGGGTGGTGGAGAATTGGTGATTTATATTGTCTGATCCTTGTTGCTGGTTTAACATAAAAGCTGTGAATAAATATTGTTGAGCATTGTTCGTAATGATTTAAATCTGTTAAAGTGCAGATTTATAATTTTTTTTTTTATTTGTGTGATATATTTTGGCATCGAAGTAAGTTTACAATATGTCTGAAATAAATTCTAGATTTGCAGTTTTACCATGCTTTTGACAAGAGCTTAGTTGTGTTGGAGGTTGCCATTATGGAATTAAAACTCCATTTGAGATGCCCCTGGCTATATGTGTTAGCTAAATGACTTTCATCATGATCTATTTTGGTGGAGAATCGGTGATTCATATTGTCTGATTATTGATTGTTGAATGGTTGAAGCATGAACTAGGCCTTGTAGTCTGATTTTTGAATGTAGGTGAAAAGGCAGGTTTAAACCTGCTTTAGCTTGCGTGTTTGTTATATGACGCTTCTTCCTTTTTTGGGTGTTAATAATGGTAAATTGACAATGATAGGTGTCGAGACTGCTAGCTTTGGTTTATGTGGTTTCGTCTTCCAAGAAGAACTTCTCTTCTCTTATATCTTGCAAAGTGCTTTCAGAAAGTTATTGGGCCGCTTATTTTCATCAAGCCTCAGTTGGATCTCATCATGATTTGCAGCTACTTTCAGCCATTTCTTTGAAGCATAAATCCCAGTTGGTATCCAAAAATGAGGTATGTTGTGCTGTAGTGACTCTTTAAGGATATTACAAGTGTTCGGCCATTCGGGTGCTGTAAACTGACAAATTATTTTTAATGAATATGATGATAGGTTTAGTGGGTTTACAAGTAATCATTGTTGTAGCTTAAAATGCAGGTTGTAGGCCCTAAACCTAGGTACTTAATTAAAAGGTTAGGTCTTTGTGGATAAAGTAATCTGGTAAGAGTTTCCTTAGGATAAACTTGAAACTCTTTTTTGTGTGCATAATAACAGCTGATTTTGTATTCAACAAGCAATTCTCTTTTGTATTCAGAATACTGGGCGAGTTTCTGCTTTTACCCGTGCGTGCTCCTGTTTCGATACCATTATTCAGCATATTTATTGTTTTTTTAAATAAATTAATTTGGTCTTTTACCAATGCAGGGTTGTGAAGCTGCTGATGCGACAAGCGTAACAGATACATGCAAGTTGCTTAGGTACTATTGACTCTTATATGCATTATTGATCTCATATATCATATTGGGTCCATCTTGACCTTTCTGAAATTGAATCTCACGTGGCAACATTTTATTTCAGGACTGTTCCTGAATCAACAAAAGATATGGAATCATGTGTGGCAAAGTTTTTTGAAAACCTTCCCAGTACCACAATAGTATGTGTGAGCATACTAGGAGCTTCTTATGCGAGCCTTTTAAAAGAATTGATGTGTTGTCCCTCTACTGTTTATGGTTGGATGCTCTTGTCCCATTTTGATGCTGACAGTCAGCCAGCTGTGATAATGTTACCGCTAAGTACTGTTATCCAAGGTAACATCTTTCCTTAAAGGGGAATATTATTTAAAATTTTAGTCAACATAGGGGTATCCTTTTCAGACTGCTAATTATTTGTTTTTGGGTTTAACAATTCAGAAGAAGAACCGAATACAAGCTGCTCAATCTTTGGTGAGAAGAATGTACTAAAGGAATGGTGCTCACCATGGGGCTCCAATGCCCTGGTTGATGATGTAGCTCCTTTGTTTAAATTGATTTTGCGAGGAAATTACTTATCTTGCTCAAGCTTTCCTGAAGAACACACTGAAAAAAGCCGTGAACTATGGTGGACTTTGAGAGATAACCTTGATAAGTGCCTGCATAAGTTACTGTGGTAAGCATTTTTTTAAAATTTTCAAATGGGGGCATGCATAACCCTGCTTAAAGAGCCTGTTGTACAACTTGATTGTAACAAACTAATATATTTGTCTTGGGTATCAATATCTTAGGGATATAGAAGAAAAATGGCTTGGTCAGTGGAAATACTTGCTTCTGGGTCGATGGTTGGACACTGACCCCCTTAAGTGTGCTGTGAAGGAGTTCATGGATAATACCAGAAAAGATGGATGTATATTGGATATAAATGAAAGTATAGTAAAGATAGTTATAGGAGGCATCAAGTCCATTAATATGGAAAAATTGAAAATCCCAAAGTCATTCCTTGAGAAAGGTTGTTTCATTGGAAGCATCATAGATTCTGTTCGAGGACTGGATAAGGAATATGATGGTGTTCATTATGTATCAGATTTACTCATTGCTGCAGCTAACCAGGTTGAGTTAGAATGCTGCAGCCGCAGGGAACCTGTTGTTCTTGTACTAGACAGCGACATTCAGGTTGGTCTGGTTTATCTTGCAATATGTACTGCTTTCTTAATCTTTTGTCTGGTGTTGAAAAGAACAAATATTCCAAATGTGTATATTTTGGCAAGTGGTACCATGTGTCTCGTGGGAGACGCATGGGCATGAGTCAGGTCCTTGGAGTGTTTCTGCCAATGCCAAGATTAGATACCTAATTACCTACTCGCAGCATTCGCAAGGACGGTTCTTGAGTCCTTCCTCCCCCTTCCCCCTCATCGTTACTCTAAAACCCTCCATCCCATGAACAATGTGTCATTAGCACTATCTATCCTTGTTTGTTTACCTTGGGAAGATGTGGCATGTAAAAGGTTGATTTAACCAGTAAAAGTGATCCTGGTAGGAAAACTTTGATATACAATATTGAAGAGTTCATTTTAGGCAAATTTTAATTGCGACATATAATGTCCACGTGAGAATTTACGTAAGAAGACACTATCAGAAAATCTCATTATGACAAAAGATCTTTGTTTGTGATTGATCCTAATTGGAACTTCATCCCTCGATAGCTATTTAATCTCCTTTTGTCATTTGTCCCATGCTTTAGAAGAGATTGAAGGCATTTAGAATCATCCACTTCTTTCTTTGTTTTCACTTTAGGAAGGTTTGTTGTTCACAGACCCTCTTCAATGGTGAGACTCAAGTGAGTATTTTTAGGAGAGAGAGAGTATTTTTTGCAATGTATACCAATAAGTTGGTATCTAAACTTAGCAACTTCAAAGACTCAACTTTGAGTCTCATTTGACAAAAAGTGTGGGCCCTTGTCAATATTCTAATATATTTTGTAATTTATTTAAGTTTTACCTTTTTTTTTTTATAATTATTTTTTAATCTTACAATAATTTATGGGTCATAAATTGAAAGTGACATTTGTATATTTTAGAGAGTCACCATTGGAAAATTAGACTTAACATAATTTGCTAAATTGAGAAGTGGGTATGATCTCACCATTGGAGGTAAAAAACAACTCATTTTGTATTTCAATACTCAAAGTTGAGTCTCACTATTGGAGATGGTCTTATAAGCTCCAACCCTGGATATGAATTACTCCAATGTATGCTATTTTGTAATTAGATAATGGGGTGAAAACTCGAGTATATTTCTTATTTAGTATTTTGTTGTGTGGAAGTTTGTTATTTATCTTGACCATTCTATAGAGTATAGATGTATTAATGAGTGGATTAGATGTGTAAATGATCTGTCATGCCTAACCCATCAGGAATATGATCTTGTTTGTGTTCACCTCTATGTATTGGAAATGATTTGTCCTTAATTTCTGTAATATTGGCAACTATGTTATTGGATGGCGCTTTGGTCATAATTGAGTCAAGTGTTTATTTTTGATATTGTAGACAAAGGTCAAGTGTTTAGGTAGGTATCAGCATCATTGCATATTGGATTCATGTATAACTTTAATCCCCAAATCTCTACCTTTTCGTGCTTTAAGCTCTAGTGATGAATTAATTGATTGGCAAAATGATGTTTCGGTAGTTATTTTCTAATCTTTCTTGGGATGGCATAATGTCATGATAATTTCAGTGTTGAAAATTTTACTCCCCTGCAGTGACACCAAGTCCAAATTGTTGGTCCGTAAATGGTGGTTCTGGGTGTACTTTGGGTTGTAATGTCATGCCCCTTATTTTTACTCATCTTTCCTGTGCTGATTTTATTGTAATTATTTGCAGATGCTTCCTTGGGAGAGCATTCCTATTATGAGGGAGCAAGAGGTGTATCGCATGCCCTCTGTTGCAAGTATCTTCATGGCTTTGCAAAGGAGGTCTGTCTTAGAAGAAGCTGCTAGGCTTGGTACCAAATTTCCATTGATTGATCCACTGGATGCTTTTTATCTCCTGAATCCAAGTGGTGACCTAAGTCGCACACAATCTGAATTTGAGGAGTGGTTTAGATATCAGAACATGCAGGTATGCTCTTGCTGCTTCTGTAGTGGCTTAAAGATGATGAGAAATCACACAAGGCAATGGGGAAAGCAACTGACACAAGTTCTATTAAGTCAAAATTGTTTTCATGCCCTATGATCAAGTCAAGTGCACAAGTACATTAGAATTATTTTTCCATTGAAAAGGCTACTGCTATAAGATCTCAATGCGTAACATGAGTTTATAATTTTCTTCCATTATCTGGCTAATTTTATTATCTTTCTTTCCATTGCTTTCAGGGAAAGGCAGGAGTTGTTCCGTCAACTGAAGAGTTGAGGGCAGCATTGGAGAACCATGATCTATTCCTATATTTTGGCCATGGAAGTGGTGTGTCTGCCATGTTTCGTTACATACTCATATTTTTTAGTCTCGCTTTCCATTCTCTCATGGCATATGCACTTACTATGCTACTCTTTGTGATCATGCAGGTGCACAATATATGCCCAGAGACAAGATCCAAAAACTAGAAAGCTGCTCTGCTATGCTTCTTATGGGATGCAGCAGCGGATCTTTGAACTTAAACGGGTGCTATGCTCCAGTTGGTACTTCACTCTCGTATATGTTAGCTGGCGCTCCTATTGTGGTTGCTAACCTGTGGGAAGTGACAGACTTGGACATTGACCGTTTTGCTAAAGCCGTGCTTAAATATTTCTTTGAAGAAAGATCAATGTCTTCCACAGACTGCATTCAATGCAGTTTATTAGCCGAAGAATTGGAGTCTATGAGCGTAAATGAAAGGAAAAGAAACCCTAAGAAAGGCCGAGGAAAGAAGAAAGCAGTTGATCCTGTGCCTGATGTTTCAGGTGAATATTGCTACAAACATAAGTTAAGAGCTGGATATTTTGTAAGTCAAGCTCGAAAAGCATGTAAACTTCCCTTCTTGATTGGAGCTGCACCTGTTTGTTATGGTGTTCCTACAGGTATAAAGAAAAAGAAAGATATTTAGTCCTCCGCATCTTGTTGATCCCCTTCAAACAAGTGAGGGGTATAGATTTGTTGTACAATTAGTTGATCAGTGTAACACATTATAATCCTAGATTTAGCATGAAAAAAAAAAAAAAGCAAGAAAAGCTGTACAGAAATGAAGAGATCATAAAAATCACAGGTTATTAATTTAAAATTAATTTTACTTGGACCACATTTATAAAAAAAAATTATACATCCTGTAATATCTATCTTTAGTTATAACCTTTTTATTAATGGTCATTTGGCTGCAGATGTTTAACTTTTCTGTTAAAAATACATTCTGACAGGCTGCATTTCGTTACATTAGTACCTAACATTGTCATTGTACTTTGTACCTTCCAAAATCAACGGTTATAAGTAATATAACCACTTTTCCTATCATGTTTAATCATTTTGGGAGGTTTTTTTTTTTCATTATTATGTTCAGATATTGTCTGAAACCAAAAATCTCCTGAAACTTAACAATGTAACAGAGAAAAAATCAACAATTTCCCTCCAATTCCCCTCAATATCTCCCCTCGCTTCGCCTCATCCTGCCTGAAAGGGTGAAACTCTCTTCTACGGACATGGCGAAGGGGGAGGTTGTATACACCATCATGACTGCCACCTTCGTCATCCTAATCCTCCTCCCTCCCTCTAGTATATCCCATAATGGTAACCGCCACATTCGTTTATTTGAATTCACACATTTCGACCCACTTGTCACGGAAATTGAGCACAAGGCCGAAGACAGAAATCTTGATTTTCATCCAAATGATCATAATCATGCATCTTTAGATTACGTCTATAAGGTCATGGAGGCAGGGGTCGAGGTCGAGGCTATAGATAAGGTGTACCTTGGGAAGGATGGGAAGTTGAACTTAACGTTGAGGTTAACGACATTGTTTCCTCTTATAGACATTATGCCAAAGGATGGTTATGTTGAATTTAGGGAGCTTGAGGCTTGGAATATCAAGCAAGCTAAGCAGGGGTTGGAATATTCTACAAGGAAAGAATTTGAGGTTAATGATAAAAATAAGGATGGATTTATTTGTTTTAAAGAAATTTTCCCTAAATTTTCAGATGATGACATAGGTAAGTGTTGTTGCTAACATGTTCGCATTGTTCTTGTATGAAAAAAAAGGAAATTTTACAAAATCTGAAAAAAGGAAGAATAGAATTTTGAGTATGAATAATTTGAGAAGTCGATACATATTAAAATTGGTAAAACGATTTTAAGTATGAATAATTATTCACAAAGTAGTCATTTATAGATTGAGAAGTCGTATGAATAATATGTAAAACGATTTACTTAGTATTGAGTAATAAACCCTACCTACTTTTGAAATTACACCTAGAAGTAGATACATTTGGGTGTATAATAGACAACCTCACAAACTTTGTGAAATACATAAAATGACAACATATTAAAATATGAGTATATGACAAAACTATTAGGATAGAATTAATGAACAAAATGCCTTTTTTTTTGTCAATATATACAATGATAGTCGAATATATATGAGCACACCGCCGAGATTTGTTTGAATTAAAAAAAATAATATTATCTTAAAACTGAAAATTTCCCAAAATTGAGTATATGTTAAGAGTCTTTTGATGCATTGAGCACATAAATTTGTTGTGCGTATTCAGTTTCAGTCCAATAATATTGTATATATTTGCATAATCTAAATTGCAATCATTTCAAATACTTGTTACAGAGAAAAACAAGATGGAGCGTGGGGAAACTGGTTGGTGGATGGAACAATTCACCAATGCTGACGCTGATCATGATGGAAAATTAAGCTTAGAAGAGCTAAATAAGTATACTTCTTTTTTTTTTTTTTCAAAATTTCTACTACTTTTTAATGTTTATTTTATTTACATTTATATTAAATAAATTTTATTTGTATAATATTTGTAGCTTCTTGCATCCGGAAGAGTGCGCTAAAAATACAAAAGTTCAAGAATGGAATATGCGTGAGAAAATAAGGCAAGTGAACCTTGGTATAAAAATATTTGATTATAATTTTATTCAATTCTAGAATTTATTTATTGTTTTAATTTGTCCAAATTAATTGATAAATCCCTTTGAATATTTTGGTGTATACTGATTATATAATAGGAGATTGGATTGGGACAAGGATGGAAATCTTAACTTCCAAGAATTTTGTGACAATGCTTATGATACCTTCAAGAACTATTATCACTTTTTTACCAATGGTTATGTTCCATCACCCGAATTACAGTTTTCTAACCTTGATTTAGACAAAGACAGGTACGTACAATATAATAATTTCTTACTTTTTATTACCTCTTTAATACCTTTTTTGTATTTTTTTTTCTTCTCATTTTCGGCTTTTCATGTATGTAAATATTGCTTAAAACTCTATATATTTAAATTTGAATCATTTTAGTAAAATATTTGACAATTTTTATTCAATTTTAAAAGAGTATACAGATAAAAGACTCTTAATTTTTTAAAAAAACCATAATTTATGCATTATTGTTCTAACAGGCTATTGACGATTCAAGAGTTGAAACCAATTAAACAATACATTTTTCCAGGAGTATTGGATCATGCCTCATATTATACAACTTATTTGATGAATGAGGTAAAATTTAATATTAATACTTTGTATGTGATTAAAGTTAGAGACAAATTAAGTACTTTGGAATTATACTATTATCTTTTTTTTTTCTTTTTCTTTTTCTTGTAGGTTGATGATAACCATGACAACAAGTTAACCATTGATGAAATCTTAAAACATGAAGATAAATTTTACAAAAGTGTTTATGTGGGGGAAGAAGATGATGATGATTGTGATCATCATGATGAGTTTTGAGGGTAAATATTTGCATGTACATGCATTTTGTCACGTTACTTATTATGTAGTGCTATTAATGTAAATGATTTTTGATTCGTCTAGAGTTCGAGCTGAGCTTCAATATGATCACATGCTCCGATCCTTGAAGTTGTGAAGATGCAGCAACTTTTTCACTTCTATATGTTATTATTGCATGAACTCTTTTGAATGAAGATTACATGAGGAGTTGGACTTTTCGATCGAGGAGATTCGTTAATAATACTTCGTGCTCCATGCTTTACATTATCGGATAAAAATATTACAGAGTAATATCTTTAAATATATATTAATTTCAGGCAGTTTGGGATCACAAGAAAAGTAATGTTTACATTTTAATTTCAAAATAAAATTTACTTGTACTAAATAATAGAGAGAAGTCTAAATCTTAATTGTCTTAGATTTCTAGGTTAGGTTTTTGTTTGTAGGTGCACCACTAGCATTAGGACTAATTAATAACAACAAGAGACTAATTTAAAGCTGTAAGTTATTAAGTATTTTTATTTAATGACCATAAATTGTGGGATTTCTAGCCTAATTTGACTCAAATTAAATTCAAAAGCAAAGTCATCTATCTCAACCGTTATAATTAATAGTATGTAGGCGGTGTATGGTGCAATCATTCTATTTTGTTATTGTAGATATTATAATTAATGCATTAATTACATATTATAATAATGTTTTTATGGAGTAGCTAGCGGCATTTTTTTGTTATGACACTAATCACACTATTCACAAACTCCACTTTGATCATATTTTCAATAAATGAACTTTTCTTTTTATTCTATAAATACAAAATTAGAGGTATATACATTCAAAGTTTCACATTCACAAAAAAAAAATGCCAAATGCTAAGTTTCAATTGAATGCTTAATACGCTTCATGAGCAAATTTGCAAATAACACAATTTTAAAAAGGAAAATAAAAGGAGTGAGGGAACATTCTATGAGTTTTGTTAAACCTCACTTTTATTTTTTAAAATTAATTATTAAAGAAATGGAGCAAGTGTTGTGTAAGAAACAAAAAAAGAAACAGAAGAGAGTATATAATTGTAACATTAATTAGTGCTGAGGGATAGAGTATGTATGAATGAATTTTATACGGAATACGCAATATATTTCTTTGATTATTGTTACAATATAATACGGTCACACTGTCACTACACACTGGTCTTAGTTTTACTATTAAATTAAAGATCGGCAAATGGTAAAATAGCTTACAAACTATTAATACGTATGTAGTATTAATAATTTAGGGCTTCAATTTAGATAAGTAAATAACATGTAACTACAATGCAAACAAGAAAGTATTCATTATACATAGACTGAGAGAATAAATCATCAATTCTTGAGTTTTGCTCAAAATAAGTTAATACAAAGATTAGATCAAATAATTATTTTGGGCTATAAATGAATTGAATATGTATGACCAATAGTTCCATATATATGTTCTCACATTCAATTAGGTTTATGCAAAAGTTACATACTAAAGTGACATTTTTAATTCCTTAAAATTATTCAAAAGAAAACATTTTTGAAGTAAATGAACTTCATTCAAAAGCAAGTTTATAAAAAATTATCAAAAATTGTGGGTTGAAGCATGATAAGATACAACCGTTGGTAGATGGAATATAAGGACAGACTAATATGAACTCACGAAATATTTGTATATGATTCTTCTATGTCATGAGAGAACACAAGTTTGTCAAGAAACTATTGTCCCAAAAGTTGACCAAATAACTTTAAATCAATCAATTTTTAAAAGGTAAATAAAATAAAAATTTATCAACCTTAAATTAAAATCTTTTAAAATCAATATCCCATTTTCCCATTATATATAAACACAATGAATCAAATTACAACCTTCTTTCATAATTTATAATTTTTTTTTCAAGTTTTCAATTCGGACAGCCACTATAATAATTAGAATAATGTGCAAAAGTATAAAATTCAATTAAAATACAAAACTTACATCATATAGTATGGCAGGAAAATAAAATTATTGAATTTGATAGCAAAAGCACAACCTCAATTCAACCAACCAAAGCATATTACAAGATATTGCTTATCTGTCTCCAATTATTAAACACCTTTACTTTTTGTAATTTTCCACATTACTATTTTTATTATTAGCATTATCACCATTATTACACCTTTTTCTTTTTATAAAACCTATTTCTTTTTATAAATGTATTACTTGTATTATTATTATTATTACACTTATAAAAAAACTTCAAGAATTAAAAAAATACTGGCGGGACCCGTTCGCCACAAACCAACCGTCCAGATCTTCTCAATCAGATCTACTAATAATACCGTACTTGTACTACCCAATATTGGACTTACAAATATAATTCCAAATTCCCACTAAAAATTGGAAATTTATTAAACTTGATTAATTAACGTTAATCAGCAATTTGTTGGATTATTATTTGCGTGTTTTATGTAAAAATTATTCTTTTAGTCTCCATCTTTTTTTCACAACCGCGTCTCTCTTCTTTCTCTCTCTCTTTTTTTTTTTCTCTCTCTAGTTTTGTTTCTCTCTCCTAGGGTTTCGAAGCCGCCGTTTTTGGGGGTTTCCTCTGTCTTTCGATCGGTGACTGATTACTCTCTGTCACTTTCTCTCTCCTCAATTTTCTTGCAATCTCTGGTAATTTGCACACTTAATTTCATTTCGTAATTTTTAGTTTGATTTTCTGCATTTTGGTCCATTTTTTGATTGATCGGTTTCATTTTTGAATTTCATTTTTGCTTGTATAATTGATCGGATTGGATTGTTGTTTACTTCGATCGATCGATTTTTTGTTTAATGCTGCGATCTATGATTTTTGATTTTATTTTACAGTTTTTGTTAATTAGGGGATTGATGATTGTCATTAGTTAGATTTAAATGTTGTGAGTGATTCGGTTTTTTTTCAAGAATTAGTTGAAGTAGTGTAATTGTTAGGTTGATTTCGGTTCAAATGCGATTGTTTTATATGCTTATTATATGATTAATTTGTACTATCTGTGAAATTTGGTGTTTAATTTGATAATTAGCTGTTTATATTGTTAGATCTAGCTGCAATTGAATATTTGCAGTTGAATTGACCTAATTCGTTTTTCCATTTTATTTGTTACTAAATTCCTCTGCGTTGTATGGCAATTGCTGTGCTTTTAATCAATTGAGTGACCGACTATTATGCACCGGGAAGCCGTTCCTAGATTTTGAAAAGATTGATTGCTTTCTGCAGTAACTACAGAGTACTTTACAAGTAATTTTGACTGTTTAGGGTGATGATTTTTTTACATCAGTTTTGTTTATCAGACACTTAGGAATTTTCGGAATAGAGATAGGGATTTTGTTTAACCTTTGAAGTTACATTCTTTCTAGAACGATGCGAGCATGTATATAATATTCAAGGATGGTTGTTGACCTCTTCCTTAGGTTTTCCTTTCTAAGCATGTTTTTTTGTTTACCCTTAATAAATTACACACATTCTCCTTTGAGTTGTTGAATCTAAAATAATCGTTGCTCTTTGAGATTATCAGTCATTGATTTATAGGCCATTATATTCAAATTTTTGTTAATAGTTATTCACTGCTCGTTTCGGCAAATTGGTTCTCTCTTCTTTCAAGCTTTCTCCAGTTGAATGTACAGTCTATCTGGACCTGTCAATCGATTGAATATGCATGCATTGTGTTTCTTTTTTACTTTCAGTTGATCTTTTTTGGGATGTAGTACATACTGGTAGCGCTGTTAGAAATTTACAAAAATAAAGTTCCAGTGCCTTTTGTGGTAAAGATTATGATTCCTACTTGATTGAGTTTTGACATGTGCTTTTATGCAGATATATTATGGTGATGGAAATCACCCAATTACTTTTGAATGCTCAATCAGTTGACGGGCAAGTCCGGAAGCTTGCTGAAGATAACCTTAAACAATTTCAGGATCAGAACCTCCCAAGTTTTCTGCTTTCGCTTGCTGGAGAGCTAGCCAATGAAGAGAAGCCAGCTGACTCGCGAAAATTAGCAGGTCTTATTCTTAAAAATGAATTAGACGCTAAGGAACAACCTAGAAAGTTTGAGCTTGTACAGAAATGGGTGTCTTTAGATGTGGGATTGAAGAACCAAATTAAGGCATTCTTGTTACAGTCCTTGTCTTCTCCTGTTCATGATGCCCGCTCAACTGCATCTCAGGTTGTTGCTAAGGTTGCTGGTATTGAGTTGCCCCAAAAACAATGGCCAGAGCTGATAGGAGCACTGTTAGGAAACATTCACCAACTTCCACCTCATGTCAAACAAGCAACTTTGGAGACCCTTGGGTATTTGTGTGAGGAGGTCTCTCCTGATGTGGTAGAGCAGGATCATGTGAATAAAATCCTCACAGCCGTTGTTCAAGGTATGAATGCAAATGAAACAAACAATGAAGTTAGGCTTGCTGCTACGCATGCATTATATAATGCTTTGGGCTTTGCTCAGGCTAATTTTAATAATGATATGGAGAGAGATTATATCATGAGAGTTGTCTGTGAGGCGACATTGTCACCTGATGTGAAGATTCGACAGGCAGCTTTTGAATGTTTGGTTGCTATTTCTTCCACATATTATGAGAAGCTGGCTCCTTACATTCAAGACATATTTAATATTACAGCAAAGGCAGTGAGGGAAGATGAAGAGCCAGTTGCTCTTCAAGCTGTTGAGTTTTGGAGTTCTATATGTGATGAGGAAATTGATATTCTTGAAGAATATGGAGGTGATTTCACGGGTGACTCTGAAATTCCTTGCTTTTATTTTATCAAGCAGGCTCTCCCTGCTTTGGTCCCCATGTTGCTGGAGACACTTCTCAAGCAAGAAGATGAGCAAGATCAAGATGAGGGAGCTTGGAATATTGCTATGGCTGGGGGAACTTGCCTTGGGCTTGTTGCAAGAACAGTTGGAGATGATATCGTGCCTCTTGTGATGCCGTTTATTGAGGAGAACATCACGAAGCCTGATTGGAGGCAACGAGAGGCTGCCACCTATGCCTTTGGATCAATTTTGGAGGGTCCATCCCCTGACAAGTTGACTGCAATTGTCAATGTTGCTTTGAACTTCATGCTCACTGCATTGACAAAAGATCCTAACAGCCATGTTAAGGACACAACAGCGTGGACTCTTGGACGTATTTTTGAATTTCTTCATGGATCAGCGGTGGAAACTCCAATTATCACGCATGCAAATTGCCAGCAGATTCTTACGGTTTTATTGCAAGCCATGAAGGACACTCCTAATGTTGCTGAAAAAGCCTGTGGTGCTCTCTATTTCTTGGCCCAAGGTTATGAGGATATTGGTTCGTCTTCACCCTTGACTCCTTACTTCCAGGAGATTGTTCAGTCCCTTCTTACTGTTACCCACAGAGAAGATGCAGGGGAAGCACGATTGCGGACTGCTGCTTATGAAACTCTAAACGAAGTAGTAAGGTGCTCAACTGACGAAACTGCTCCCTTGGTTTCGCAACTAGTTCCTGTAATTATGATGGAGCTTCATAAAACACTTGAATCACACAACCTTTCACCTGATGGGAAACAGGGAGAACTGCAAGGTCTTTTGTGCGGTTGTCTTCAGGTTATTATTCAGAAGCTTGGGGCAGCAGAACAAACAAGAGCTATGCTTTTGCCGTACGCTGATCAAATCATGCAACTATTCTTAGGAGTGTTTGCTTGTAGAAGTGCCACAGTACATGAAGAGGCCATGCTAGGAATTGGTGCTCTTGCCTATGCCACGGGTCCTGAATTTGCCAAATACATGAATCAGTTCTACAAGTACTTGGAAATGGGTCTTCAAAACTTTGAAGAATACCAAGTTTGTGCTGTCACTGTTGGTGTGGTGGGAGATTTATGCAGGGCGATGGAAGATAAGATTCTGCCTTATTGTGATGGGATTATGACACAACTCCTTAAGGACTTGTCAAGCAATCAACTTCATCGCTCAGTGAAGCCTCCTATTTTCTCATGCTTTGGGGACATAGCTCTTGCAATAGGAGAGAATTTTGAGAAATATTTGATGTATGCCATGCCAATGCTTCAGAGTGCAGCAGACTTGTCTGCTCACACAGCTGGTGCTGATGATGAGATGCTCGAGTACACTAATCTTTTGCGGAATGGAATTTTGGAAGCTTATTCTGGAATCCTTCAAGGATTTAAAAACACTTTGAGAACCCAACTTCTGCTACCTCATGCACGTCATATTCTTTCCTTCATAGATAGCATATACCAGGAGAAAGATATGTAAGTTATTCGTATATTTAGGTGTGTTGGTTTACACACTTTAATACTTGTTTGATAGCTAATTTCAAAACTTTATATTTGTAGGGATGATGCTGTTATGAAGACTGCCATCGGAGTGCTTGGTGACCTTGCAGACACACTTGCAACTAGTGCAGGCCCCTTAATCCAGCAGTTTCCATCATGCAGGGACTTGCTTAATGAATGTTTGTCGTCTGATGATCATTCAATTAAGCAATCTGCTGAATGGGCCAAGTTGGCTGTTAGTCGAGTGATATCCATTTGAGGCTTGGTCTCCTGTTTGGTATATTCTTTTACTTTTAGAAGTCCCTGCATGCATTGGGTGTGTCGAGTTGGGTCCGGGGGTTCGGGGTTGCATACACAAGTGTCGGGTCGTCACCAGTCAGACAACTGAAGCTGTCAGCCTTCATGTTGTCGCTAACTCTTGCATCAGCATCATGGGTCGGTCAGGTCATTTTGCTCTGGTCATTAAGGAGGTGGTGGATAGTCGGAAACATTTCAGGGGCCTCCGCTTGAAAGTTTTAACCAATCAAGCTTAGTGCCGAAGGATGAATTTGGGAGAGACAGGTATGTCTTTTGAGTCTGAAATGTCAAAACTGATCAAAAATCATGCCGAAAGGGTGGTTGCCTGATTTCCGGTCCATGGTCCCCTCTACTAATTTTGAAAAGGGATATTCCCTTGTTTGCCCTGGTGGTTCCTATCGTCTCCAAATGGTACAATGTTAATCTGGAAGTCGATGATGATTACAGCAGAGGGTCAATGCAGGTTCAAATGACCACCAGTGGTTTAACAATAGAATTTCCTCCCCCCTTCACCAAGTATTATTTTATTATAATTTTTTTCCTTCCCCCCCATTTTTCATTTTCTTCATATTTGGTCTTTTAATTTTTGGTTTCCCCCCCTTTTCGAGTCCTGCATTGTTTGTAGTCCATCAGTTCAGCCAACAGTTGTGTTGCATTTGCGTCTCATCATATTTTGCCCTTTTTTTTGTATACTCTTCATGTGGTCTTTTTGATCACCCACATACGATGAAAGCATCACATTATTATTATTATTATTATTATTATTATTATTATTATTATTATTATTATTATTATTATTATTATTATTATTATTATTATTATTATTATTATTATTATTATTATTATTATTATTATTATTATTATTATTATTATTATTATTATTATTATTATTATTATTATTTCAATGATATTTTGGGTTTAAGCACTGCTGCTTGATCAAACTCGTTTTGATCGATTGTTCTCATTCATGATCAAGCATGTCTGTTACTTGGAATCTTGGATTTTGCAGTGGAGTACAGGAATTTTTAGTTGCGTAAATTATTTTCAAATTTTGTTGTCTTTAAAGGCGAAACGTGTAACTTGTGGACTTCCTATAGTTATCATGTTATAAGCATATTATGGAAACTGGGTCTTTAAGGACCCCGAATTTTTCTCTCCAAGTTGTATGATGTTTAAATACTTGTGAGATTGAACAAAGAAGTCTGGAATTTTTTAAATTTAATTTATGCTATAATTTTATCATGTAAATGTAATTGTGGTAGTATAATTTTATCTATTTTTGCATAAGTTTAATAGTGTGATTTGTTTTTTCATCCAAAATTAATGGTTCATGTTGTTTAACTAATACAAATTTGTATAGTATTAATATTTTGTGTTGTAATATTCATCATCATAATGCCAACACATTAAAGTTTTTTTCTTTTAATAAATACAATATTGAAGAATTTAGTAATTAAAGAAGACACTTTTGATGTCTAATTAATTATTTTTTCTTGCACCAAAGCTAAAGAAAATGGAAATGATGACGTAAAAAATATATATAAAAGGTGAGAATTCAAGTGTTTAGAATATTTTGGGTTTGGATAATATCTTTATTTCGTGTATATTCACATCAAGAATTCGGCCAGATAATAGATGATGAGGCAATATGTGTTGAAAATTGTAAGAAGTGATGATTATGTGAAGTTGCTATATATCACTTGACCCTTTCACTCTTTGAAAAGTTGGTATTTTCAGGTTTACATCTTTGCCTTACCTGACTTCCAAATTCCAAGAGGTTTTTTTATTTAGTTGGAGTCAATAGTCTGTCCATTTCATGCTAAAGTGATAGGCAACATTCGATATCACTATATCATGTTTTCGTTATCACTCCTTTAAACTTTAGTTACGGACTACTTACATGAATTGGACACCAAAAAAGTAGATGGTTTATATAAGTGGATCAACCATTTTTATATTGCTTCATAAAAGGCTAGTTTAGACTCTTTAGGGTGAGGATTTTAACTAGAAAATTTAATATTATTTTGAATTAATACTTCTGTAATACAAAGTATGAGTTACAATGAAGCATAATTTAAATAACAAATTAAGCACACGAAATTAATCAATTATCATTAGTTTCTTGATATAAATTAAAGCGATTGGAAATAGAGACTAGAGAGTGTTGAAGTGTTATGAAATATTTTGTTTACACCTGGGTGTATCGTGCACCCAACTAACTTAAAGTTAGTTTTTGCTCTTCATTTGATGGTCAAATAAAAAACAATTATTAAAATGGGAACAAAATGCTAATGGATGTACCATGTACCTGAGTGTATATAACAGTTTTCAAAGTGTTGAGTGGATTTAAGAAAAAAATTATAAAGTGAATAAAATAAGAAATACTACGTAGAAATAAAAAAAAAACGTACAAGGTGGGTGGGTGAGAAAAAGTTTTGCCTTGTTTTAGTTTACTTCATCAATTTATCTTCTAAAGTTCACAAAAAGTTTTTTTTTTTTTTTTTTTAAAATTTTATTTTATTTTTTTTATTTATTTATTTTTTTGTTTTAGGGATTAACCAAAAAGGTTAAGATATTATGTGTTGCATTAGTATTAAATAATTATATTAACTAGTTGCTTATTCCATGATAAAAATTTAAGACTCCGTAATACATCATTGATGTTGCATTGCTTTTATAAGAAGTAAAATGGATTAATATGAGAACAAAAAAAAGTTAGTTATTGCAATTGCAGAACACAAAAAGAATAGACAAAATATTTGTAATTCTTATAAGAACGAAAATGTTATATTGGCCATTAAAATCATGAAATTCTACATGAGTTATTGGAGCTTTGGTTCAACTTATGGTGAAGAAACACACTATGTTTGTATGCTTTATGATTCACGCACACTAATTTACCATCCATATAGTTTTCACAAAATGCAAGAAAAGAAATTGTCAATTTTAGTAAACCCTTCAAATATGACATTCCTTCTTGTGAGTCATACATTGATTATGTTCTATTACAAGGTCAAAAAATTTGTGGTGCCATTTTTGCACAAACAAATTCTAGAAAAAACAATAATAATTCTATACGTCTGATGTACATATAGACTAGCTTAGAAAGGAAAACTTCTTTATATTATTATATTTATGTATAATTTAAAAAAAATTGTGTTTTTTATACTCGTAAATTACAAGTTGAGATACATCTTTTTCTCTCTTTTTAAAGGATAAGACACTTGGAATATTATAACATTACAACACGGGTATTAATCGGAATCATGATATGAATTGGAATATGTTACAATTTGTAACAAAATGTTACTTAATATGCTAAAGTAAGTGGGAATAATGGCATAGTTAATCTATAGTTAGCTCTTGTTGATACCCTTAAGACCAAGCAATCGAGACTTACCGTCTTTAACTTTAGTTTATATCGTGCCATGTATAGTGGAAAGCCAACTTATGTGTTGGGTATCTATCTTTGACAATAAGAAAGCGATCTCTTGATTGAATCAGTAAAATGTTAAGTCGATTATCTATTCTCAATCAATAATACTAATATTTCAACATTTTATTTACAAAAATATATCATATCAACGGATTTGTAACAACTACCCATTCTATTATTATACAATCGTACGTCTAAACATTATGGTGAAGACCGGTAACCTAGCTAAACTCTTAGATAAGATTTGGTGCTTAAATTGAAAAGAAAAGGGTTAGTGATTTGCTCAAGGCAATAGACTAGTACGATGAGATTTGGCTGTTCAAGAGCCACACAATGTGAAGGGAAGAAGAGATTGACTTGTAATTAAGAAAGAATGATGAAATTTGAAAGGTGCCTTGAACATATTGTAAAATCACTATCACAATTCACATGTTATAAAGTCAGTATTCTGCACAGTTCACACCACCTCAACAAAAATAGTGCTCCTTTTGCTGCACTTCTTTTAGTGATGATCTTGCACCAGTTCTCCTCAACCCTTCCACAAAGTCACCACATCATGTTGTTTTCGTGTTTTGTGTAAAGAGTATATAGACAACGGAAAAAATATTATTTGATCTCATGTTTTGAGTATCATATCCCGATATATAGTTTACAGTGGCTCCTCGGATTACTTTTGATCTCATGTTTTGAATATCATATCCCGATGTATAGATTACAGTGGCTCCTCGGATTACTTGACATCTGGCTGGTCCTCAACCCTTCCACAAAGTCACCACATCAAGTTGTTTTTATTGAACAATTGTACCTCTTTTAACTTCACATCTACAAGATACATAACTTCATCAACCATTAAGTATATATATAGATATCAATCAATAATTATTTAGAAAGTAATATCTTGAAAAAAATATATTAGGACGTTTATAACCAGATAAACATGAAATTAAAATATGTTCTCATACGAAGAATTACGTTTTTTTGCTTCCTTCTTATTTCAAAAAAAAAATTGTTTGAGATGGATTAATTGGCGTGAGAGATCATTTGTTAGGAATTGTTACAAATCTCACTTTTGTTATTATGAATTTCTTTTATTATTTTTTATTTTATTTTGTATTTACATTTAATTTTACATTCATGCAACTCCTTTTCCCCACTACCTTTGTGGTGCAATGTTATAATTGATACTGATGTTTTATGTATAGAAGCTATTACTTATCTTACTATATGGGTGTGAAGTGTGGTGGTCTCTTTGAAGTTAAAGTTTGTGGTCTCTTTGAAGTGTGGTCTTTTATTTCATGTGAAGTGTGGTCTTTTATTTCATGTGAAGTGTGGTCTTTTATTTCATGTGAAGTGTTTGTAGATTATATTTTGTTTCCCAATTAATAATTAACTATCAATATAATCATATAAACAAGAAAAGATAAAAGGAGAGCGTGATAAAAATTGCATTCTTTTTTTTCGGAATTAATAGTCACATTGTCTCAACTCTCAAACCATCTCGTCCGAAGGATTACAGCATGATCACTTGAGACAAAATATTAAATTTGAGCACTAGGTAACAACTTCATGCACTAGCTCAAGATTGTGCTAAAGTTTGTAAAACTGTGGAGTTCTCAGGAAAAATGAAATTTCAACTGTGGAACACTAACATAATATATAGGGCACGCACTATAGACTAGTTGAAATCTCATCATAAAATAATAAAATATACTATAGAAGGTCATTTTCATATTAAACAAATGTTAGACCATGTTTTTGGTTACAATTTGACTTTTTGTTAGGTTTGATTTTTCAATTAAACTCAATCACCTTGATGATCACCCTTTAAACACCATCATTAGAGACAGCAGACTTTTTAAATCATGATTACCCATGAACTTTATACCCTAATTAATATATTCAATTCATGATATGTACAGTAATGGATTGTCTTATAAATGTTGGACTGCCTACCTTCTTGTTTGCTAATACGGATCACTAACTTTGTTTATCTAAGGGTGTGTTCGATTTACCATTTTACTTCTATTAATTAAAATTTATTTACGCCTAGTCTTGAATTTAACTCATCTGTATTGATTAATTTAGAACTTAACTTATTCAAACTTAAATCTTTTGAAATAAGTTTAAAAAAATGAATAAATTAAAACCTAAATCAAATTCAAAACAATGTGCTACAAAAAGTAAACCAAAAGAATGAAGAAATTGTTGGTTAGTTTTTGCTGGTGGCACTTTATCACTTACCATAATTGTAGTATAGGTCTGAACTATGACATTAAGTTATTTTTTAAGAGTTTATTTATTAAGTTGCAAATTAATGTTGAAGTTATTGATTTGAATTGAACTTATTTTTTCTAATATTAATATTAACGGAGATATACACACTATAAAATTTCAAAGGTTGGTCTCATAATTCATAAAAGGTGCTTATGTAGCGATAATGGAAAAAAATACGTTATTGAGACAAATTCAATAATATTGTACAAGATAATATGCTATATATGAATTATGTACTATAATTTCAATATATCATTAAAATGACTTTGTTGCAAATAATAAAATGGATGCAGTGTATTTTTATAAATAAATTGATTTTGGTGGAAGTCTACTGAAAATCAAAGTGATTTATGCCTAAAAAGAAAAAAAAAGGTTAATTAAGCATGTCACATCTAAAAATAGCAAAAAATTAGAGCCATGCAGCAAAAAAGAGTACTTAATACTAGTACTACAACCATGATATATATTCTGTCCATATGCATAGAATTGATCATGTTTTCTAATTTCTACACAAAGTGCTCTTTAGTTGACTTATTGTTTTCATGATATTTTGTTTTTATTTATTTATTTATTTATTTATTTAGTGGCATATTATTGCATTTCATCATAATTTTATTTCTTCTTTTAGTGGGTGTTACATGACACCATCCTATGCACCCATTACTCAATTACCTTTCTGAATTTTATGTGTGTCTTTCTTTCTTTTTCTTTTGCCTACCCTATCTATCTATCTATTTTTCATTTGTACTATTAGAGTACTACATACTACTATATATATGGACCTTCCCTCATTTCATTTACATACAACATTACCATGGCTCATCCCAAGTTACTACTATCCCTCTCATTCCTCCTCTTCCTCGTCGTCTTCTCTTCATCGTCGTGTGATGGTGCACTCGATGAGCCTCTCTCAACCGCGACTCCATTCTCTGTCTTTGAATCCGTGGACCGGCTACATTTTCTCCATCAGGTTAGTATTTATCTACCATGTAACATGTTTTTGTTTTTAGTGAAGGTTACTGTACTTACGTTAATTTTCTAGTTGACTTGTTTTGACCTCGCCTTTTTGACATTATTATTATAATTTGTATTTTTGTAGGATGGGGTGTCAAGGAAATCAAGGAAGTTACTAGAAGGTGGTGATGATTTAGTGCAGCTGGATTATGACTATGCAGGACCAAATCCTAGGCATGAACCTAGGAGGGGTAGAGGTGGTGGCAGGAACCCTTAAATGCTTGCTTAATCTTAATTACTAATATATCTTTACTTAGATATATTTAATTACTAATATAATTAGCAATAATTAATTATATTTCTCTTTCTCTTCAATCAGATGGGGAAAGAATTTTGATCTAGAATATAGTACTTGTACTATATATTAAGAGGAAATTAAGTGATGCTGTTGTTATATCATTTGTACTGTTTAGCATTTGTTTAGCATTCATATTAATTTCATATTTACTAGTTCCCAAAGAATAATGTAAGTGGTCTTATTTGTGACCAAAGTATATGTAAATAAATTGGGATTATATTTATATTATTATTATTGCTACTACTGCCTATTTTCATTTCTGAGTCCTAATAATGCTTGGTAATTATAATGTTCATATTAATGTTTTTACATTTTCTACATTGTATATGGCGTTATTATATTGTACATTATGCCCCTGAGCTTCAGGAATTTACGCGCACAGTCCCTGTCGTTAATTAGATGTTAAACCTAGCTAACTGGCTTACTCATATTTTTGAAGAGGGTTTCGTGCATGTGACTTAAGCATAAGCCTTGGTGAGAGGCTACTCTAAGGAAGCAACATATTTTATTTGATGACTAGAAAAATGAAACAAATTTATTAAACTGTCATAAGTCAAGAGTCAAGACAATGCCAAATATCTGCTGTTTCTGAGAGTTTCCTAAATTTGTTTTCTGATCCAACCTGAAGTGTACATCCTGGTGCCTAGCAGATGCGCCTAAGGACTAGACCGGAGTTAGCTGTAGGTTCGTGTGAATGGACTTTGAAATGGGATCCATTGATTACATTGCGGATCACCCCTGATACAAATCAGGATCACGTACGAGTGATAACTATGGAGAGAATTAATTTGAGTAGGTTGTGAATCACCTCACTAGTTTCCTGAGGAGGGAAAAAACAGGGGATTTTGGGTAGTTTGCTTTATACATACCATTACTTACATGTTACTTGTACGTATAATTTAAATGTAAGGATTGTGGTTTTGCTTCTGGTTATGAATACATTAGTGGACACAACACGTTACTAGTTTTAAGTACATAATCAACGTGACAATAAATTCTGGAAGGGATTGACTTAAGGCGGAGTTTGAGATAATTTGTGTACAAAAAGCTTTTCAATGTTCCATGCATCACTGCTGTCTGCAGCAGTACAGAACCAGTTCAGACTGTTATCAAGGTTTGAGTTAAACACAGATTTGTTATGCTTCTGAAACTAATTAGTTGATTTATTCGAAAAGAAGACAGGTTTAAAAGGTTATGTTTAGTCGGTCACGAGAAGCAAAGCTGTATCATTCTCACTGTGAATTTGATTTCATGTGTAATCAGAGATTTGAAAGCAAAAAATGTGTACAAATATTATGCTTCATAGTATGATTCCTATAGACTGAGTATTGGACTTATATACAATGCAATTAAACTACCAATTTACAAAATCAGATGTGAAGACAACCATATTCCAAGAGAAACAACACCGAGCGTGACAAAGGCTTGGCCGAACTCATACATAACGTTCTCTTTATCTGCAGGCAAATTCTGCCAATCCGTTTTCCTGCAAGAGAACAGCAAGAAAGGGTTATGCATAAACTAAAGGATGGTTGCTATAGGATGCTTCACCTAACTCTATATACTAATAGAAGAATGCTATACAGAAATGGTATAAATATGTTTTACACAAAAGGGTAACGAAATAGACTTACAAGAGGTCACGATTAAATAGTAATAATGATTGCTATGTTTAGGCTGAATATCTCAATTAAGAAAAGAACTTCACAAATATCAATGGTAAAAAGAGCTAGCATACCCTAAATCTGCAATAATTATGCTAATATTATCCTGTGATCGCCGATCCTGCAACAAGAAGGATGAAATTATATTATTAGGATGCCTAGAGCTCAAAGTAACTAAGATTGTGTGAGGTACAGGAACTTAATTTTGGGGGAGATCATTACCAAAGCTGCGTTTGCCAATGATTCACAAGCTTGCTAAAACAAAAACATGAAAACAAAGCCATAAGCTTAAGACACAAAGATATAACCCTTCAATTAAATCTCATTTTTGACATGTATAACTAAAGTAGGCTGTTGGCTTTACCTGAACATTTCCATGCTGCCGCAGCTCATCTCTGACAAAAGACACTGCCTCTGAGCTGTAATTAGTACAGAAATTCGGTGAATTTTAAGATTTTATATCGTTATTTTAGAAGGAAGAATAATCAATGCATGACACAAACCTGTTAATATAATCCCATAAGCCATCAGAGGCTAAAACAACCAATTCTGCATCTGAACCAAGTACTGCTTGGATTATATCAGGACGAGCAACAACTAAGTCCCCATTAAATTTCACCCTGAAAACCAAAATTGTGTCATATTTAACTCGTATTCATACTAAAATTAATGTATTAAACTCAACCAGTCAAGCTAGTTACCTATTTTTCTTATGTTTATATGCCAGTTACTCTAATTTGTAGCTAAGCTATGCAACCTAATTTCAAACTGATAATTATCGCGAGTCACATATATAAAGGCAAACATATTGGAGACCAACTTTGTTTTTTTAAACCAAAATAAGTTCAGAAATGGTAAAAATTATTAAGATAAGAGTAATAATTCGAGGATAGAGGCTTTTACCTAGAAGCAAACTTCTGTGACCATCTCCCTTCCTTGACTCCTCCTTCCACCATCCTTTTCCAAACATATGACAAGCACTTGTCAAGATATGTACATACAGAAAAGAAGTTCAAGAAATGAAGCAGTTTGAAATTAGATCATTAGGAATGACACTCATTTGTCCAGGTTAAGTAGAGGGACCAAACATACTCATTCTTCTTTGTCTTAAACCGAATGTCACCAAAAGCACGAGATATAGCAATATCTCCACATATCCTCCCATTGTTAATCTGCAGATCAGAAAGATGGTATTATAAAAAGTCATTCCTACTGCTCTACACATAACAATGTCGGGTTACAAAATCAACGCGGTGAAGTTAAGGAATAAAACAGAATTAAATTTTAAGAACAGGAAGACACACCCATCCACCTGCTTCATTGATTCTTCTAATTTCCTGAAGTGATGCCTTGTTGCTTCCATAGGGTCTATGGGGATCAGTCAAGACTTCTGCTTTCCCGGAGCGTGAGATTACCTGAATCACTTAGGAAGTCAAGATATTTAGAAGTAGAAACTTACAAAAAGCATTCACCAACTATATGATTTCCTTGACTTTATGCAGCATATAAATTCATGAATACGCCATTTGTTTGTCAATTCTACCGATGCAATCTGTTATTGAGCATCTGCTAATGCTATATGTCAGTCAAATTGGTGATATGTCTTCATAACCCTTAGACATAAATAGCAGTTCATGCAGTTTGCTTCAACTCTTACAATCAAGGTAACTAGTAACTCAAAACTACTGCTACATTGCTTATTCTATCAGTAATTCAAATTTTTTGTATCAAGGAAACTAGTTATTTGCTCCCTATCTTGTCTATCATGTTTCCTAGCTTAGTATAAGTAGGTTTCTTGTGATTTTCTTACGATCCAAGGCTCAATCAAGTATGTACTGTAACTTTTTCTGCAAAGTAGTACAAGACCATCTTGACATATTTCCCTAAATTTATTAGTCTGGTACTAATCACTGCTAAATTGCCACTTGCACAAGAAGGTTAAGCAATTTAAGAAGGGCTGGCTTGAACCATACCGCAGAGGAGTCACCAAGATGTGCAATGTATAACCTATCATTCCCAACCAACATGACTGTAGCCGTTGCCCCAGACTCATCCTCCTCCTCTTTATTCTCCAGCCTATATTGGTTGAAATCAGAAAACTTAATGTTCTCTTGCAAGAGATTGAATGTATGATCATAACAAATTCAATTAAGGATATATGTCAGGTGAGATGTGCTTGCTTACCATTTTGATAATCTCAAGTCCACATTTTCAAAAGCCTCAGTTATCGCGCTCTTAATTGTATCAAAATCTTTACCACTCAACAGCAACTCACCTTTAAGAGCCTGAGCACACTCTTTATATAGCTCCTCCCTGCTTTGCATGAAAACCATGTCATAATCTGCATATTTACTCAGCTGAGAACATGACTGCTAAGAAGTGAAATAAAGGCAAATATATGACCAAAATTATTCAATGTATCAATGCATTAGTCCTGGAAATCAACTGAGACAAATTTATCGAATGTATTCAATTCAAGAATATTGTTCATTCTCAATATAGTTGATTAGAGAAAACTTTTTCACTACTTAAGATAACAGATTAAAAAAAAAAAAAAAACACCTAGGAATGTCAGCTTTTAAAAAACATCAAAAAGAAGAATCTGAACTTTGGTCATCTTCTAACATTAATCCCATCTTTCAATTAACTTGATCAATACAAACACAACTTTAAGGTTTGTATTCTCTAAACAATTTCAAGTGATCCGAGACTTACAAATTTAGGTACTTTCAAGTTTCAAGGGCTAATTTAAGCATTCAAAGATTCAAACTTTAATAATAATACTATGAGAGCATGACTCTAAAATTGGGATTATTTTGAGTTGATTCAATAGTGGGCTTAATAAATAATAAAAGGCGATCAAAAGTCCGGATTATCTATACTAAATCTTCCAAAACATAACAGCATCAAGTTCTGATGTACTGTAAGACATACCTTAGAAATGTAACAGAAGAAGAACCACCATGTCCATCAAAAACAGCAGCAAAATAAAAACCTTCAAGTGTATCAGGCTGAACAATAACAGCATCATCTTCCATTTCGTCTCGAGCGCCTTGTAATTTGGTTAAACCCCATCTGATTCCTGCAACACCAGCTAAGGAAGATGGTGCCTCAATAGCAATAGCAGAACATTTGAATGATGATCTCTTTGTTTGTCTTAGAATTATGGGATTTTTCTTATTAGTCTTAAAAGCAGAATTAGAATTGTTTAATCTGGTTAGCAGAAATTTCTGCAACTGTTGGTTAAGTAAAGCCATTAATAGCAGATTTTTTGTAAAGATTCAGGCAGAAGTTTGAGTGGCTAGTTTTATAGTGAGGATAAGAGTTTGAAGCAAAGAACTTTTAACTGATTTAACGGCTAAGATTTTATGTCAGAAATTAATCTATTGGCTTCATATGAATACTGTACAGTTGGTTGGTCAGGATTTTCTTTCTTTCTTTCTTTTGTGGTTCTGGTTGAGTGTACTTTCTCATTGAAACTATAGTTTAGATTAGAGACCAAAATATCTCTAAGTCTCTATAAACATAGTGAATATTGCTGATAAAGTATCTTAGGGCTAAAACATTTCAAAATTGTTTGGTTGACGCTTAGGGTTACTAATTACTCCGTAATAATATATTTGTGTTCAATAGCATATTGAAATGGTCCAACACGAAGAGCTATATTTTTCCTAACTTTCAACACTATTTAGAATGAGTAGGTTTTAAGTGAAAGCACTAAAAGCTATTGTCGAACACGCCCTTGTCACAAGTGTTTCAATTACCTTGTTTTGCTAGCATTAGGTTACACATTAGGTAGACTATCAGTCTGTCACCATCACATACAATCCCAACCACTAATAGGAGCACATGTAAGATACTCCGTTTCTATCAAGGTTGATATTATGGATTACATTTTACTTAATTTCATTTATTGTAATTACACTTTTTTTGGCCAAACTATAGTTGGCATAATCGCCCATTAACATTTTCCTGTCAATCAGAAACTCAGAATGTTTGATAGCATCTTGGATAAGAAGCTCAAATTAAGCATAGTGAGGTGAATTTCAAACCTCACCTACCAAAGGCGTCAAGTTTTTGTCATTAGGCCAAACAATAATCAATTATAACAGCTAATGCAATCTATATAACTCAGCATTAATCGAGGTTGTTCGGCTTGTTCCATCTAATACATTTATTCATATAATTAAATTCAGACAGCTAAAAATGATACAATCTAATCTTTTAAGAGTACTATGAACTAATCCTTAATAAAAGCTGACAAACCAAAATACTGCCTTAATAAAAGTTTTCCTTAAGGTAAGTAGGACCGGGGCTGAATGGGTCGGTCTCCAAGTAAGCTTCAGGACGAACAAATCCAGCATCATTCATACGGTTACTCAGCACATGAAGGATGGCCTTTTTGTCCCCATACTCATCTCGGTTGTTTTCTACATATGCTGTGGCCTCAGCTGCTATTTCGTTCACAAATGCAAAGCGGTTGTCCTCTGACTTCAGTAGCCGATCTATATCCCCTGCCAAGACCCCTCCACCTTCATTGACCTTTCTTATTTGCTCCTCAAGGAAAGGGACCCTTTCCAGTTTGGCTTCCATAAACTCATCTTTCTTTGTCTTTAGAAAAGGAACCAACAACAATGTCATCAACATGCAGACCACCACTTTAAGAATGAGCTATGTTTATATCTAGAATTAGCACCCGGAACTGTAAAACCTAGCTTGTAAATACAAGTATACTACTACCATGCTTAGACTTACTAGTCCTATAATTGCAATAACAGAAAAGAAAAATCATACAGGAGTTTGACATTAACTGCCGATTGCAGTATGCTCATCAAACTCACATCATTTCCTGAGATGACACGCAGAAACATGCATTATTCATCCAGTTATAGCAGTTGTAATCTAGTCTGGCAGGTGATAACTATAAGATCAATGCCCTGTAAATAAGGATATACAATTTAACTTTAGGGTATATAAATCTGGGTCGGGTAATCCTAAATTCCTAACTACGACTACATCTTTGACTATTCTCAGAATTTTGGAATAACTACATAAACATAACCCCAATCATCACTAACACAGACAAAATAAGCATATTATTCCACAATGCTAAATTACAGATAATTTTGTAATTTCCTTAACATTCACTTCAACCTTATCCAGACCAAATTCTTCCATTAATATTTCCAAATGTTTAGTCTCCATTCTCCAATGGAAGCTTTATTTTCTAACCCTTCTTTTACTTCATTCTCAAATAAATGATAAACAGAATCTTCTTAAAAGAAAAGGCTTTATAAAGAGTAAAACTTGGATTATTTGGTCAAGTTAGATTCTCAATCGAAACCAAGCCTCGATCAACCTATCAAGTTTCGACACAAACATGCCATTTCTTTTCTCTAAAAACCCATTTCAAGATTTTCAACAGCTAAACATCATTTTTTGTTGAAGAGGAAGATAAGGAACGTGATGAAATTTTGGCAGTCTAACATCAGCTAAGGAAACCTTTACACCCTTGAATTTTTGGAACCAACAATATAATTAGGCTTTCCCCCAAAACATACACAGACTTCAAACACTTTAGAACAGGATATAAGAAGTTAACCCTGTTATATTGTACGAAGGAATGATCCTTGATTAATCAAAACCAACTAGGTGATATCAGCAGAATTATGAGGTCACACAATAAGATAACAAACCATGAAAGCTAAACCATACAAACAGATATGACCAAGTAAAGCAGTAAACATTGACAACGCTCAATTGCTTCCTCCTATCGGATTTAATAGTCACGTCGATAGTATAATCCTATCTGTATAAAGAATGTGACAACTAAATCGGGACCAAGTAGTTCAAACTGGATTGAATGTGATCACTATTACAAGCTTAAACATTGGTGCAAACAATGATGATCTAGCAATATCTCAAGCAGCCAAACATAATTAAATGTCACACTTCTATATACAGTACTAATTAAAATATTATTATAAAAACCCAAATTATTCCAAATCACAATTGTTTTCTTCAGTTTCAGGTGCCCACAAATTAAGCATAAATTTCATGAAATTAAAATTGTAAAAATTACTCCGTACACAACATACCAATTTTCTACGGCGCCAAACTTGCCTGCCACTTTGTTTACGACTTCGGGGTTTCGATTGGGCCTACAATTTGTATAAAAACCCAATTAAATTTGACAAACAATAAGAAAACCTAGTTCATCAAAATCCCTCTTTTTTTTTTTTTAGGAAATTAAGGATTTTTACTTACTTGACAACTGATAGAAGACCTTAAAGACCACGAATTTACTGGTCCAACATCAATTTTCTACACAATTAAGCATAATTAGAATATTAAGACAGTTGGGTTCATCATAATTTTCAATTTCTTGCTGGCATAATACAGTATTTATTGAATGAACAGAAATGGTGAATAAAAAACCAGAAAATTAAGCAAAAAAATGGTGAAATAAGACAGAAAGTTAAGCAACATTGAGGAGAGAGAGGACCTTACAGGGGAAGAAGATAATGGGAGTAATGAATTGAAAGGGAGAGATGAGAAAGATAAAGACATGGCTATGGTGCAGTTCTTCCTTTCTAACGTCTCCTATCTACACGATTAGCGGTATTTGGGCGATTAGCTTTGCGCAGTCCGCAGTTGCACACTTGCACGGCTGTCACCCAGAGGTGTCGGGTTAAGTGAGGTCGGATCGGTCTATTTCAAAATTAAGTTAAGCTAAATTAGTATGTTCATATAAGTCGAAATCTGAATCGAATAAGTTTTGGATTTTTTTTTGAAACCAGAATAAGTTTTGGATTAGCTAGGATAGAGTCGGTTGGATTCATTTTTGTTGGTTTAATGCACTCAATAAAGTATTGCTTGTGTTACTCTGGCATTTTTTTTATGCACACTCTGTCATGTTTTTATAATAGAACGAAAATATTGCTTGGAGTAATGGTTGAGGATTCATAAGACGATATCTTTTAGAAAAATAAAAAGCTAAAATTGGAAAAAACAAAGCTAAATAAAACATTAATTACACCGGTTTCACGCACAATTATGTCATTTATTTGGAAATCGGTTAATGCATGATTTTGTCATATAATTATATCTTGATATAATTGTGTATTAAATGATTATTTACAATTCTATGTTTGCATTTATATAAATTAAACTCACAATATCAACAACAAAAACAAGAATAAATTAAAGAGAAATCATTTGAATAATATTTGAATTTTTAATAATTTTGCTACATTGAATCAAGAAAACTCGATTACTCGTCATTATAAACCCTAAAAAGAACGAGTGAAAGGAGAGAAGAGGCGGCGAGAAAGTATCAATTAATATTAAAACATATAAGAAATAAATCATAATTCATAGCTCTCCTATTAAATCCTCCCAAACTTGATTAAAATCAGCAAAGATAACAATGATTTCTTCCATCTTTCCGGTCCATGATAAATCCTCCAAAATCAAATTAAAATCAGCAAATATAACAATGATTTCTTCTATTTTACCTATTTTGTAATAAATCCTCTAAAATCAAAATAAAATCAGCAAAGATAACAATGATTTGTTACTCCAATTAATGCAAATCCTCCCAAACAATGATTTCTTCAAATCCTATTGTTAACTCCCTAAGAATAAGAGATTAAGAGAGCCCCCAAATTTAAAACATTACAACAATTATAATGACCAAATTATCCTTCCAATACCAAAAACGGCACCGTTTTACACTCCCAAATGATTTTTTTTTGGTAAAAATTTATAATTTATTTTTGTACACTCACCAAAATTACAGTTGAAAAAAAACATTTGCACGAGCCCCTTGACTGCAAATCGTGACACACAATCACCCCCACTAAAGCCATGTACTACACTCTCTCTAATCTTGGTACTAGAAGTAGATTTTAAAGGGTACTCACTACTTTCTCTCTCTTCTACTTTCTCTCTCTAACTCTAGGGTTTCTACTCTTCAAAATCAACATTCCACCAAAACCCCCATTTTCCTCTCAGATTCAGATTGTTCTTAGAAAGAGAGAAAAAGGGTTTTTGTTTACTTTGTTGTTGTTCATCGAAGATTCAAACTTTATGCAAATCTAGCTGAAGAAGAAGCAGCAGCAGCAAAAACCCAGAAAAGTAACAGCTAAGGAAGCAAAAGGGTTTATTGAGATTTCATTTGATTTTGATTAATCAAATTTGAGTGATTTTTATTGACACAAATGCCTGAAGCAAATTTGGGAAATTAGCAAATTTCTGGGATCTGATTTGTTTGTTGTTTAATAGAGAACTGAGGATTGAGAAAAACCTCAACATTTTGCCAAAACTCAGTTTTATTTACTTGACAGTTAGTTGATATCTTTGTTTTTCTGGACCAAAGAAATTAAGGAACTTACCCACAAAATTTGAGGATGGACAGATCAAGATCTAAGAGGAGCTACTACTATGACCACCAAGACTATGACCCAGAACCATTTTCTAGGACAAGACCAAGGTACAACAACAACAGCAACAACTCTGCTCCTAGCCAACACCATTACCCCAGTAGTCGCCATCGAGGCGGCGGAGGAGGGGGTGGGTTTGGTGGGGGTGGAGGAGGAGGTGGGGGTGCTGGTGGAGGTGGTGGGAGAATGGGAGGAAAAGGCGGTTCGGATTCATCAATGGTGACCACTAGTTATAGGATACTATGCCAGGATATGAAGGCTGGAGGAGTGATTGGGAAATCAGGAAGTATAATTAAGGCAATTAGGCAGCATACTGGGGCATGGATCAATGTTCATGAGCTAATGCCTGGTGATGAGGAGAGGATTATTGAGATATCTGATACTAGGAGGAGAGACCCTGATGGGAGAATGCCGGCATTTTCGCCGGCTCAAGAGGCTTTGTTTTTGATTCATGAGAGGATTCTAGAGAGTGAAGGGTTTGTGGATGGAGAGGGTGATTATGGTGGTCCTGGGAGAGGTGGAATGGCTGGTGGTGCTGGGAGTAACAATGGGAGGGTGGTAACAAGGTTGGTGGTATCAAGGCTGCATGTGGGAAGTTTGTTGGGGAAAGGAGGGAAGATTATTGAGCAAATGAGGGTTGAGACAAAGACCCAGATTAGAATACTCCCTCGCGATCATACCTTGCCTCGTTGTGTTTCAATGGGAGAGGAGATTGTTCAGGTTTAATCTTTGTATTCCTAATCATATCACTCATGTTGTTTTAAGTGCATTTTGGACTGCCTGGATTTGAGTGTGGTTTTTGACTGGCATTCCTCAATTCTTAACCTATATCAGATGAATGGTGCTGTTACTTGCTTTTGGACATTTAACTTGGATATTAACTTGATATTTTTGGCCCTTGACATAGCATGGGACAAGCAGAACAATTTTCGTTCAGTGGTGAAAACCTTGCTTAATAGCAATATATATTGTTCCTGAACCAACCATGATTTGCTCAATGCATTTTAGCCTCATCAGTATTTGATTGGTATGCCTTTTTCTTGAACATGTGCATTGACTGGGAATTGTTGAAGCAATTAGAATTGATTGCAACTGCATGGGATCTGATGATGTTTCATAGGGTTTGTTGATAAATGTCATAGTGTCACTGAATATAGCCACTTTATGTGCTAGTTGTTGGGCTTCTTGCATCATTGAGCTCTCCAACTTTTGCTCTCTGTTTCTCTGCTTTATGAACTCTGGACAGTTGCTGTTCTTTTTGTTATTGGAAATAACATTTTATTACATGTCTACTCTTGAATGTTCTCTTTGGATTTGGATTTTGAACGGACCAAAGTGCTATTTTGTATTGTTTCTTTTAGGGTAATTTCACACAATGAATCGACAAAGTGATGGGAAATTTTTTTAGTTATCTCTGTTAGTTTGTTCTTTGTAGGACCAGATACTACATACTCCGTATTCAATAACAATTTAACCTAATGATGCCATCATGTAAATTGACAAAGTGTTTGCTTCTCACATATTTGAGCCATGAAGTCTTTGCTTTTGTGATTAGATATCGTTTTCAGATCAGTGCTTAGAGAAATCTTCATATTATATTGCTTTCCAGTTCAAACTCCTGTTGAAGGACTTCCTATGGCCAAATTCTAGAAACAAAATGTGTTTCATTTCGCTGTGTTGTTATATATTAATTTTTACGTAACTATATCATGTTCAACGTATGCAAAATCACTCACTACTGTGTTGCCGTAGGTTGTTGGTGATACAAATGCTGTAAAGAGTGCCATATCTATAATTTCATCACGTTTAAGAGAGAGCCAGCACCGTGATCGCACTCAATACCAGGGGCGACATAACAACTCAGAGGAACGCTTTGTTGAAGAAGACTTCAATCCACACATGAATCGCAGATCTTCTATGGATGGTGCTCCTTATAGTTCTCGATTAAATTCTTCTAATAACAGGGGCAATAACTACTCATCTCGATCCGGTGGTTATATGTATGAGTCTGAAGGTGGTAACCGTACTGAGAACTTTCAGCCCTCTTTTGAAGACCTTGTGTTTCGAATACTTTGCCCAAATGACAGGGTTGATAGTGTAGTAGGGGATTCCAGTGGGATCATGGATATTCTTCAAAATGAAATTGGTGTGGAAGTTAAGGTTTCTGAACCGTCGGATGATTCAGATGAGCGCATTATTATGATATCATCTGATGAGGTATTTATACTGATAGTTGTAGTTTCTCTTTGTCTTTCTATTCAGCTGTCTCGAAGCTTCTGTTTTGATAGATGGGCTAACATATTCCCATAATAAGTTACTGATGGTTTTCTCCTCGTTGTGACTTGCCTAGGGGCCCGATGATGAACTGTTTCCAGCTCAGGAAGCGTTGCTGCATATACAGACTCGAATTGTAGATTTAGTTCCAGACAAGGATAATATTGTCACTACAAGGCTGCTTATCGCATGTAATGATATCGGATGCTTAGAAGAAGGAGATGGATTTTTATCTGAGCTGAAAAAATTAACTGGTGCAGATGTAGAAGTCCTTCCGAGGGAGAAAGTTCCAGCATACATATCAGGCTCTGATGAGCTTGTCCAGGTATATATATAAGTGTGACTGTAGATGTCTCAAAATTGTTGATTTTTGTGTGTGAGTTTTGCTGTTCTTTATGCTTTACAATGTATTGTGAGAGGCGCTTGTTGCATGCATACTCCATCACTTTTGCTCTAATGGCACCATGAGTCCATTACAGATGATATGTGACCAATCCTGATATTGATCATATTAGAGCCCTCAACACTTGGGAAAATTTCTATAATGAACTACCACAATGTTACTTCTTTGGAAAATAACGCACTTTATTGATAATAAATTTGCTCACAAGCAATAGGTTACAGTTAGCCCTGTATGCTGATATACTGGAATGTGATCTTGGCCATTGGTTTTTTAAATTATTCTTGTCATTGGCTCATTGCTAGTGCTTTTCATGTAGAGGTATGATAATGTCATGCTAAGTTTAGTACTCTGTTTTCTACAACTGTTCAAACTTCCAGCTAAAGATTCTTTTCTTTGGAATATCACCCAGGCATATATGCTCAGGATCAACTCTGAGATCTAGTATGTACAATCTTTTCTCAGTAGCTTGTGTCATTTGCAGATTGTTGGGGAGATTAAAGCAGCTCGTGAAGCTCTTGTTGAGGTGACTGCTAGACTGAGGAGCTATCTATATAAAGAATTTTTCCAGAGGGATATGCTTCCACCACCTGATCAAGCTCCAGGCTCTTTTGGAAATGGGCCTTCTGGCCCAGAATCAGCAAACAATTCTGCTCCAGCTTATGAATCATTGGGTAATGAGGCTGTAATTTCTCAAAATGTGCAAACTACTGCTGCTGGACAACCAAATAAGGTACGTGAGATTCTCCCCATAATACAAACTCAGAACTCCCCCCCCCCCCCCCTCCTTTTCCTGAAGAGGGAGGTTGAGGGAACAAGAAATTTGTTTGTTTTATTAGCACCTATAATGTCTGAAAAAGGCACTACCCTTTGGAATGAATTAAAAAGCAGATTTTGTTGCGGTGAAATGTGTGTATTGTATGTCTTTCAATAGTAGTATGCCCTTAGTTTTATAGTCTTTTGAAAGTTGTGCTTTATCCAAGGAATAGCATGCATTGATTCTGACTGATTTCATTTTTCCATAGCCCAGTGATATACACATAATCATCAATTTTTTGCCAGTGTAATAAAATATTGGGACTAAGGCTTTGTTGCTGTTGTTGTTCTTGAGAGAGACTATATATAGCTGCTGATGCTATTGATATATGAAATTGTTTTCAATATATGTCAATTCCATGTGTATGGAACTATCAATTATGGCTCCTTGATCAACCCAAGTATCTGTGGGTCAACTTGTTTCTTTGTATGGAAATTTATTTTTCTTTTTATGCAAGCTATAAATTCTAGTGCTAGTTGAGGAAATACTCTGTTGTCTCTAGTAGAAAATAAAAATTTCTGTTGTCTTATTTGCCAAGTTTTAAATCCTAAAACTACAAGCTTTTAGAGTTAGATACTCTCTCTCTCTTTTTTTTCCCCCAGTAATACTGTTTGTACATGTGGATAGTCTTTAATAGCATGCAGGACCAAGAATTCTGATGTAACTGTCTTGTAAAACAGATTGTTTACTCTGATTTTTCAGCTTAAACACTTAACCTTTATCTAGAAATGATCTTCAAGCTTCCTCTATCACAACAGTATCGATTCTGATGTAAAACAGATTGTTTACAAGTTTCAGCTTAAACACTTTACCTTCATCTTCTAGCTTCTTCTATCACAACAGTATCAATTCTCATGTGTCTGGTTTGAGAGTGCATAGAAATATGAACACGATTTGAGCAGCAGATTAGTTTTCAGAGAGGGGCCTTGTTACTGATTGTAGCTTGTTTTTAGAAAATTCAACTTCTGACTGTTTCATTATATGAATTTTGGATCTTCTTGAAGGATGCTGGATTGTCAAGCAGCGAAACATCAAGACATAATGAAGGTGACCGTCGTGAAGATAGTGCCAGCAGTCGCCGTGAAGATACACCAACTAGCTTGAACAGGTTCAGATCTCAGATTGCTTATATGAATTTAAAAACTCAAGGGAAAAAGGGCTTTCAAGTAATTCTTAGAAGGATTTTAATAATTATTCAAGGGAAAAAGGGATTTCAAGTAATCCTTATAAGTTTTAAAATATTTTATTCTATTATATGAACTATTCATGGACGTTTAATTGCTATGCACATGTGCATCGTGTTGTTTTTCAGCGGCAGGATCCAGCTACCTATGGTCACTAGGAGCACTCTGGAAGTTGTCATACCAGAATATGCAGTTACGAGGCTTCTAGGGAAATCCAAAAACAAACTGGCTCAAATTAGTGAGGTGATATTACATCTAGCAATTACTTTGCTCCCTTATATCCATTTATTTTAACAAGACAATCAAACTCCTTATGTATGCTTGTGCAGTTATCTGGTGCCAATGTTTCTCTGATAAATGATGAACCTGAGCTGACTGAAAAAGTCATCAGGATAAGGGGAACTCCAGAGCAGGCTGAGCGAGCCCAGAGCTTGCTCCAGGGTTTTTTCTTGAGCAGTGAGTCCTCACTCCCTTGACCTTGTCAATGCACTTACATGTGACTGGTATTCTCTTCTATTTTATGGGCAGGAAATGATATGATTTCATGATTTAAGATAACCACACCTTATCATCTGTAAAATCTACTCTATGCTCAAAGCATTAATCTTGTACCCTATGATAAGTATTCCGGATTAAGTTTTTTTATGGGGCTGATTTGTTTGTATATCCTTGCAGTTCAAGAAGACGCCCCATGAGGTAGGTGAAGTTGATAACCTATCCAGCGAAATGAGGAGCTCTTTCAACTTCCCGTCTGTTGTTGTTTTCAGCATCTTTTTGGTTAGGCCTCTGAACATCTTTTCTCAAATCCTTAGATCTTCCACATAAAGACTAAGTAGGTGTTTTGAGTTTTCGGAAGCGAGGAAATCAGAGGGTCTTTTTTGTTTGTAAATATGTACCAGAATGCTCTCAGGCTTACCTTTGGATTTTCTAGATGTTGTACCAAGTCGAATTTGTCAATGTATTAGTACTGTTAGTAGGCAGTAGACTCGGTACCTCTCTAGTCTAGTTGAATGTATCATTTTGTTTTCATGGATGATGTTTTATCATTTCCCCCTGAAAAAGGATGCCTGATGATGCAATATGTCCTCGATACATACTGTTACTTCACTTGGATTTGGATGAAGATTCATGTACTCCACAATTTTGTAGTAATTTGGAGGACAATAGCAGGCAGAAGCAGAGAATGTTAGTGTATTTGAACTGCTTGAGTTACATTTCAACTCAAATTACTTTTGTCTTAGCTGCTGGTGTGATTTTGGGAGTATCTTAGCCCTTGTATTTTTTTTTTTTTTTTACTAGAGCTAGTATGTAAATACTAGTAGTAGGAACATCTTAATTCTTAAGGCAGTTACATTTTGTTGTAATTCAGGTGGGCAAAAGAAAGTTATACTTCCTATAGACTTGCTCTGTGGCCTTGGTGGATTTCGGGTGCGTGGAGCGATGATTCTTTTGGTGTTTGGCTCCGTTGTCTCACCAATAAAAAAGAAATCTAGACATACCCGAGTGTGTACATGTCATATAGAAGCATATGGTATTAATAAAAGGAGAATGAAATTTCAAATATTATTATATATGGAGTGTGAAGATAAAACTATCCAATTATATATAACTAAACTAACTTAAAAACAGAACAGGTAACAGTAATAATTCAATAAACATATGACTTATACATTCAAGAAAAAAAAAAAAGAAAGAAATTAGTTCAAAATTTGTGGAAGGCTTATTCTACACAAATCACTTTCTATACTTTATTCTTAATAATTGATGATACTTTGTTGTTCTATGTAATCTTCAACATAATCTCACCACACAATCATTCATCTCCTAAAAAAGAAGGCAAGAAGAAGTCCTTTTATATTTTATTTGTTTTTTTTTAACTATAATATTATGTTGACAAGGCATGAATCATTATGTTCTTTCCAATTACTCCAAATATGTTGTCTACAAAAACTCAACATCTTCAAACTCAAAAACAAGATACTTAAACATGGAAAGTACCAACTCTTCTTCATCAATATCTCTTCTATCATTACCTTGCAACTCAACCTCTGATCTTCATTTCAACACCCTGTTCTCTAACCTTAACACCACCCTCATCTTCTCGAAAACCCGAAAATCCACCAATAATGTCCCTCTCCCTCATTTCCTCTGTACCTCCATGTCCATGCAACTCAAACTCCAACCACCGACACCAAAAAAGCCACCACCTACTTCTCATATAACACTAAAATCCTCCATGAATAACCTATCGGTTTTTGAACGCGCTTTCATTGGCACGTTAGCAGGAGCATCTGCCGGTGCATTCACTTACTTCTGCCTACACCCACTAGACACCATCAAAACAAAGCTTCAGACTAAAGGGGCTAGCCAAATTTACAAAAATACCCTCGACGCGATCATTAAGACCTTCCAAACTAAAGGGATATCAGGGTTTTACAGTGGCATATCTGCTGTAATAGTTGGTTCAACATTCTCATCTGCTTTATTATTTGGAACTTGTGAGTTTAGCAAATCATGCTTGTCGAAATTCGATGAATTCCCCTCTTTGTTAGTCCCTCCTACAGCTAGTTTAATGGGCAGTATTGTGTCTTCTGCAGTAATGGTACCTAAAGAGTTAATAACACAAAGAATGCAAGCTGGTGCAAAGGGAAAATCATGGGAAATATTAGCCCAAATTTTGAGAAAAGGCGGTATATTAGGGTTGTACACTGGTTACTCTGCCACATTACTAAGAAATTTACCTGCAGGGGTTCTGAGTTATTCATCTTTCGAGTGGCTTAAAATCGCGGTACTAAAGAAGGGAAACAAGGAGAAGCTGACACCATTGGAGAGTGTTTGTTGTGGTGCATTAGCCGGGGCGATTTCAGCCTCACTGACAACACCCCTAGATGTTGTTAAGACAAGGATGATGACTCAATTTCAAGGGGTGGTTGTTAATGATGGTGTTAGTGGAATAATTAAGCAAATTTTGATGGAAGAAGGTTGGGTTGGTTTAACAAGAGGAATGGGTGCAAGAGTTGTTCATAGTGCTTGTTTTTCTGCTATTGGTTATTTTGCATTTGAGACTGCTAGACTTGCTATTTTGGATCAATATCTTAAGCATAAAAATCAGTCTAAGGAAATCATGGCTTTAGAACCTTCATTAAATGGGTAGTTTGCACTTTTTTTATGAATGAAATTACTCTGTTTTCTTAATAAATTTTACAATGCTCTTTTTTATGGATGTCAAAAATAAGTGTTTTAATTCGTATATTCTACCTTTTTTTTTTCCACACCAATAATAAAGATAGGAACTAGTTAACGAGTACGGTACTTTTAGCCAAAGGCCCGTACATGGTACTTGGTACATACTTATAAAGAAATTAAAGCAATCAACCAATTGTTTATAAACCACAATATGTGTTTACATCCTAAACAAATTGACTTATTTTGAAGTTTCTAAAGTCGAGTTGAGAATTAATTATTTAACTAATCTATTCAAGATTTCAAGTAGGAACTTTGTTCGAATGGATCTTGATTGTTGGCCAACTCGTGCGTATTAGGTGTATCGTGTATGCCATCTTATCAACCAATACCTAACATGCTACGAGCACCAATATTATTCATATACTACCATGGAGTATGATGCATGATTATTAAAATTTTGGGATTCAAAATAAATACAAATATTATTTGACAAATACAATTCAATTAATTAAGTAAATTAACCTTTTGAGGCCAAAACTTCATGAATAATATTATTTATTTTATTTTATCTTATCTTATTTTAGGATATATGTTATTAGTTTTCTTTCTTAAAAAAAAAAAAAAAGGATATATGTTAGTTTTCCTAATCTTATTTTCGTATCCACTAGGATCTTTGGCTTGCTTTGCAAGGCCTTATAGGCAGGCTCATGTATAAATATATGATTTTTTTTTTTCATTGAGCCATTGCCCTAATTTTGTGAATATTGTTGATCAATTCAATTCTGATATTAAATTTATGACTTAGGAATAAAAATTTTGTGAGTGATGAGTGCAACAGGCAAGCTAAAGAATGTGGTGGCTGCGGCGGTGGTTCGAGGAGTAACGGAAGCAAGAGCACAAATATTTGGGCACGTACTTAATCCTACGTCCAAAAGGTCCGCTCATAAGGTACTAAGGAAGAAGCTAATAGGTGACAAAGTTGCTGAGTGGTATCCTTATGACTTGAAGCATACTATACCAAAACAATTGGTAGAAGTAGAAGAGAAGGAAAACCAAGATAATCAAAAGAAAAAGTTTAGGGTTAAAAAGGCTGAGTGTTGGTCAGCGCCCAAGTATTTTAGTCAAACTACTGGATTTTGGTCGGCGACTTCTTACAACGATAATAAGAAGAAACAACAAGCAATGGAGAAAAAGAAAGAATTAAGGATTAAACGGAAGAACAAGTAGATTAACTCTATCATGTCTTTCACGATTTATGAATGTTTAGCTTGTAATTAGTTGTTTATTTCACTTTATAAATCTCTTTTGTGATAAGCTTAATAGCTAGAGTAATAAAATTATTAATATATTGATGATATAACCTATGGTCTAACGCGTAATTTAAGCTGTCAAAAGTTGACCCGACCCGAAATACCGACTCAAATCCGATTATTAAACGACCCATTTGAACTCGAAAAAATGGTGACCCAAACCCGACCTGAAACCAACCCTAGACCCGAGTATGTGAGACCTGAACGTGAACTGACCTGGAGATGACCCGACCCGAATGTAACCCTTTTTTTATTGACCTGAACCGAACCCAACTTGAACCGAAATTGACCAAAACCCGTTTTAACCCGTCAAAACCCGAATTTAACTCGACTTGTTACTAATCTGACCTGAATTCAACCCGACCCGGTCCTAACACGACCCGAATTTAACCCAACATGTTACAAACCCGACCTGAAATCAACCCGACTTGTTATTGACCTGACCCAAATTACACCCGACTTGTTATTGGCCCGAAGTTTACCAGACCTATTACTGACCCAACTAAAAAATTCAACCCGATCTGTTACTAACCTGACTCGAAATCAACACGACTTGTTATTGACCCGACCTAAATTCAACCCAAATTGTTCCTGACCCGATTTCAAATCACTTTAAATGCAATTTATACCACCTTATTATTGTAGAGACCAAGTCGGTCCAAGCCAGCAAAAGAAAGGAGCATCATCCTCAAATTTAAGAGTTAAAAGCCAGCAAAAGAAAGGAGTATCATCCTCAAATTTAAGAGTTAAATACAGTATATATTTGTTGTATGGTCAAAGGAGATAATTATCTTCCTAAATTATAAACTATAGTTCCCTAGTATATTGCCATATATATTATAGTGAAAGGAAATAATTAGTTTGATAAAAATGATAATTATCTATTTATAGTTAGTTGAACCCGAATATGACCTGACTTGGAAATGACCCGACCTAATTGTACCTTGCAAATTATTGACTTGAACATAACTCGACTTGACTCCGAGAATGATCCGACTTGGAAATGACCCAACCTGATTATAACCCGCTAATTATTGACTTGAACCCGAGAATGACCCGACTTAAAAATGACCCGACCTGCTTATAACACGCAAATTATTGACTTGAGCCGATCCCGTCTCAAACCGAGAATGACCCGACCTGATTCTAACCCGCAAATTATTGACTTGAACCGAACCCGACTCAAACCCGAAAATTACCCTAACGCATTTTAGCCCGTGAAAACCCGAGTTAAACCCGACCTATTGTTCACCCAACCCGAATGTAATCCGACCTATTATTAACCCGACCCAAACCTGATAAGAAGTATGACCCGACGTGACCCGACTCCAGCATTACCCAATACAAACCCGACCCGCATAGGTTATGGAATTAATCCGAATTGAACCGACCCACTCTTACCGATCCAAACCCGACCCGTTTACCCGAATTGACAGTTGTACCTGAAACCTAAAAAATTTCTCAAAAAGTGTGGATATTAGCCTTTAATTTTGGAATTTTTTTACTTTTTTCACCTGGAAATAAAAATTGCCGAAATGTTTACCATGTTCCCTTATAATCTCCGGGAGTCCAATTGGTTGGGTGGAACCATCCAATTTGCCTTTAAACGACCAATTTACCGGTTTACAACTTGCACCGATTTCATTAACTCAAGCTTACCACGAACATTTATGACAACATATATGGATCCAAGCGGCATTATATGACCTCAAGATGTATCCCATAAAATTTCAATGCTTTTCGACACCTGCCCCAAAACATTCGAAATTTCTCAAAAAGCATGGATATTAGCCTTCAATTTTGGAATTTTTTGACTTTTTTCGCCCGGATATAAAAATTGCCAAAATATTTACCATTATCCCAAATATCCTCCGAGAGTCCAATTGGGTGGGTGGAACCATCCAATTTGCCTTTAAACAACCAATTTACCGGTTTACAACTTACACTGATTTCATTAATTCAAGCCTTCCACGAACATTTATGACAACAAATAATGATCATATATGATTCCAAACGACATTATATGACCTCGAGATGTTTCCCCTAAAATATTAATACTATTCTACACCGGGCCTCCAAAATTTCTAAAAAGCATGGATATTAGCCTTCAATTTTGAAATTTTTTTATTTTTTTCGCCCGAAAATAAAAATTGTCGAAATGTTTATCATTGTCCATAATACTCTCCCGGAGTCCAATTGGGTAGGTGGGATCATCCAATTCGCCTTTAAACGACCAATTTACCGGTTTACAACTTGTATCGATTTCATTGATTCAAGCCTGCCACGAACATTTGTGACAACATATAATGATCATATATGGTTTCAAACGGAATTATATGACTCGAGATTTATCCCCTAAAATCTCAAGAATTTTCGATATATACCTGGGCTCGAAACGTCCAAAATTTCTCAAAAAACGTGGACATTAGCCTTAAATTTTGGAATTTTTTTACACTTTTTTGCCTGTAAATAAAAATTGCCGAAATGTTTACCATGGTCCCTAATACAATCCGGGAGTCCCATTGGGTGGGTGAAACCATCCAATTTTTCTTTAAACGACTAATTTACCGGTTTACAACTTGCACCGATTTCATTAATTCAAGCCTACCACGAACATTTATGACAACAAATAATGCTCATATATATGGTTCCAAACAGCATTATATGACCCCGAGATATATCCCCTAAAATTTCAAGACTTTTCGACACCGGGCCCCGAAACCTCCAAAATTTCTCAAAAAGCGTGGATATTAGTCTTCAATTTTGGAATTTTTTGACTTTTTTTGCCCTGAAATAAAAATTTCCGAAATGTTTACCATTGTCGCTAATACCCTCCAGGAGTCCAATTGGGTTGGTGGAACCATCCAATTTGCCTTTAAACGACCAATTTAATTACCGATTTACAACTTGCACCGACACTACTAGAAAACACCTTAATTGCGACGGAAAAATTTCGTCGTAAACTATGTAAATTCCGTCGTAAAGTTGGTTTACGACGGAATTCCGTCGTAAATGGTTGTCGGAAAACCCTTTGTAGGAAAATGGCCATTTTACGACGGAAATTCCGTTGTAAACCAACTTTACGAAGGAATTTACGACGGAAATAATATCGTCGGACTTGGAATTGGCCTTTGAAGAAGTTCCGTCGCAAAAGTTCCGTCGCAAAGCTACATTACGACGGAATTTTCCGTCGCAAAATATAATTTTCGACGGAAAATTCCGTCGCAATGTATATTTGTACGATGGAAAATTCCGTCGTAAATCATATTTTGCGAAAGAAAATTCCGTCGCAAATTATATTTTGCGAGGGAAAATTCCGTCGTAATGTAGCTTTACGAGGGAAAATTCCGTCGCAAATATGTAAATTACGACGAAATATTCCGTCGCAAATTGTATTTCCAGCCCAAAACAAATTTTTGTAATTTTCTGCATTTTCAAACCTGAATTTTTTAATGATAAATCGACAAAAAAAAAAAAAAAAAAAAAAAACTAAATATTGAGTCCTAAAATTGTTGTTTTAAAAAAATTAATTACCGACCTACGAAATTGGGGTTATGTACATATATATATATAATAATTATGTCCTAGTACAAAAGATAGTCCACATTTTGGTATCTATACCAAACAAAAGCTAGGTTAGAGTGATTCTATGCTAGACTGAAGCTAAGCTACGCAATCGCCTGGAAACCCTGGCCTGCTCCACCACCACCCGGGTCGTTCCTAGGGTCTCGATGCCGAGGATGAATGGTGGAACATGAGTCGTTGTTGTTGAGACGACTCATCATCTCATCAAAACTCTCCATGTATCTCCTCTCCATTTCAGCCATTCGGGCTTCCATTTGAGTTTGGAGAGTTTGCACCCTGTGTTCCATCTGGTCTTGCATTTGAGAAATGACAGACGACGTGTATTGCTGTGAAGAACGGGAACCTCGACCTTGTTTGCCATAGTAGAGCTCTGCACTTTGGCCAAGTCCCTTCACACGCCCCTTCTTATTGCGCCCACCCACCGACTCCCAGTACAACTCATTGGGACTCTTCTGAATCCCCTGACTCATTGTTTCTTCGAGCTTCTTCTGGTAGGTGTCCTACAAAATATTGAAGATAAAATAAAATATTGTTAAAAAAACAACCAACAATATGGAGTTATATTGCATACTTTTAGGTGCCTAAGGATAGAAATTAAGAAAATTAAGCACATAAGTCAATTTTCAACCCTCACTCATCCAAAATCATCCAAATTTGGGCTATATCGCTAAAACCATGCCTATTTTCTAAGTTTTCAAGCAAATGGACTCGTTCTTTCTTCTAACATTCCAATTTCAATTGCTTTTAAGTGCCTAGGATAGAAATTAAGAGAAATAAGCACATATGTCAATTTTCAACCCTCACTCCTCCAAAATCATCCAAATTTGGCCTATATGGCTAAAACCATGCCTATTTTCTATGTTTTCAAGCAAATGTAAGGTTTCTTTCTTCTAACATTCCAATATCAATTGCTTTTAAGTGCCTAAGGATAGAAATTAAGAGAAATAAGCACATATGTCAATTTTCAACCCTCACTCCTCCAAATTCATCCAAATTTGGCCTATATGGCTAAAACCATGCCTATTTTCTAAGTTTTCAAGCAAATGGACTCGTTCTTTCTTCTAACATTCCAATATCAATTGCTTTTAAGTGCCTAAGGATAGAAATTAAGAAAATTAAGCACATATGTCAATTTTCAACCCTCACTCCTCCAAAATCATCCAAATTTGGCCTATATGGCTAAAACCATGCCTATTTTCTAAGTTTTCAAGCAAAAGTAAGGTTTCTTTCTTCTAACATTACAATATCAATTTCTTTTAAGTGCCTAAGGATAGAAATTAAGAGAAATAATCACATATGTCAATTTTCAACCCTCACTCCTCCAAAATCATCCAAATTTGGCCTATATGGCTAAAACCATGCCTATTTTCTAAGTTTTCAAGAAAATGTAAGGTTTCTTTCTTCTAAAATTTCAATATCAATTGCTTTTAAGTTCCTAAGGATAGAAATTAAGAAAATTAAGCACATATGTCAATTTTCAACCCTCACTCCTCCAAAATCATCCAAATTTGGCCTATATGGCTAAAACCATGCCTATTTTCTAAGTTTTCAAGCAAATGTAAGGTTTCTTTCTTCTAACATTCCAATATCAATTGCTTTTAAGTGCTAAGGATAGAAATTAAGAGAAATAAGCACATATGTCAATGTTCGACCCTAACTCATCCAAATTCATCCAAAATAAGCATATATTGAGTTCTACTTTGCTAATTTGCCATATTTCAACTCATATAATAAGTGTTTACCGCAATCCTTTTTGCTTTGTTGTTGGCAGCCACTTGGCCTTTACCAGGCACTTCCTTGAAGTGTGTCTTCAAGAAAAGATCATGGGCATTTGGTAATTGGCCTTGGTTTTTTGCAGCCTTTATATGTACATGCAGAAAATCAATGAAAACATGTTAGCCCACCAAAATTCATTAATAGACAAATGACGTAATTGTTACTGGACATATTGTAGGAACCTTACCATCTTTTTAGCATGTTTTACAGATGACATTGAACCTTGAAAGTGGGTCGGTTCAACGACATTTTCCATGGATCCGCCTCTTCGGTTCTTCTTGTTTTGTTCCGACCGCTTCTGATATTTTGGATCGGTGGCAACAATTTTCATCATGCCTTCGTGGAAATCCTTATTAAGCCATCTTGGTTTGCGACCATTCAGCCTGTGTGTGATGTTGTAGAACGTGTCACGTAGGCGATTTGCAAACTTTTCTTCGAAAGTGTCCTTCACTTGGTTGTTTAACTCAGGTTCCCACTTGAATTTTTTCTGCAAATCAAGAAAATGTCTTTATTACAAAATTCAACTCCATCAATATAATTTATAAAACATGTATTATGTTAGGTTAAAGTTATCATACGTTGAACAAGTTCCAAAAGTGCTCTTTCGAATCTTCATCAACCTCTCCATAATTCCTCCAAGGCTGAACATAGTAGCCGGTTAGCGAGTCGGAGAGCACATTCTTCACCGGCCTATCATCAAACCTATAATAAAGGATAGCCATTCATGTAAGTAGATAATCAACAAAAAGTGAACAAAACATGGTTAAAGTAATACAAATTCACTTTATCAAAGTAAATACGAATTTAAGGATATTGACGAGGGTTAAATCGGTCGCTACAATCTAACTCTCAATCAAACAATACTTATACGAACACCCTATAACCAAGTACAATGGCAAATAAAGGTTCGGTCCACGAGGAACGAGAGTAATTGCAAATCAATCTTAAACCTAAGCTAGTTCGAAATCAATGGAAAATGGTGTTCTAAAATACTACTAATAAGATGGAATAAATCAATAAACTAAGACACTAGGGAGAACGGGAATTCACCAAACCATCGGTAACTACGCAACAAGGAATCACAGAGACAAACGGGATATGCAAAGACTATATGTCTGATCAATATCATGTGATAGGAAGACAACGGGCAATACTAAGCTTGGATTTCTCATGCACTTAACATTACTCGATACATAATCAAACCACATTCAATAATGAAATACTCAATTCACAATCTCTTGTTCAAATCAAGGATATCATGCAATCAAATTCAAGATTCTAGGTTAGCTACTCCTATTATAATGAATTAACATGCAATCGCATATAATCAATTTAATCACAATCCGTTTATCAAAATCAATCCTCAATTACATAGATTACCTAGGCCGGGTTTCATCCCGAAACCCTAGCTAGGAGACTACTCACACATATTCATAATCAAAGCAATAATGAATTCCAAAAGCATAATAGATATAAACATGAATTCTGATTAAGGAATAATAAAGCTTGATTAATAAACAAGAATGAATAATACCAATTGTATTGATGCGAATCAATGGAAAAGTTCAGAACTTTGATATCTGTCGTCAATGAATAATACAAAGAATCTTTGCAAATCTTGCTTCAAATCAATCCAAGAAAACTAAAATCTCTAGAAATATCTCTAAGAAAACTAATGAATCTCTAATACTAAGAACGTTCTCCAATAACTCTCTACAAAGGCTCTCAAAACTATCTCTAAAACTGTCCCTTAACCCTTACAATCGGGCTATATATATATGTTTTAAATCGGAAAGTAAATCGCAGGCTGCCCTTCGTGAATCGGCACGGCCGTGCTGGAAGTGGCACGGCCGTGCAAGCATGGCAGTAGCTGATCCGCAATATCTTCAATTATGGCACGGTCGTGCTGAATTTGGCACGGCCGTGCTAATGCCTGGCACGACCGTGCTGAATCTGGCACGGCCGTGCTAATGCCTGGCACGGCCGTGCTGAATCTGGCACAGCCGTGCTGAAAATTGGCTTGGCACGGCCGTGCTAATGGCTGGAAGGTTGCAGGCACTTTGGTCTTCTTAAAACAGTCACAACTTCTTATCCAGAGCTTCGTTTGAGGCGTGCAATATATCGTTGGAAAGCTCTTCAAGTCTACTTTCCAATGAAATTGGAATCACTCCATTATCATTTGTATACCGAAATTTGTAAGCAAAATAGTGAATAGGTGTCATATTTGTGAACTGTTCTGCCTTGCCTGCTACTTAACTTGCCTTTCAAGGCCTTGAGAACCGCAGCAAAGCCTTAGCTTGGTGGACTAGGATCGATAATAGCCTGATTAAGCACCAATGGTTCAGGACTCGACATAACTTGGTCAACTATACCTGTTAACACACCAAAAACAGACCGAAACCCGTGAAGCACGTAATATGAAGGAAACGAGTGTAACAAGGCAATAAACGACCAAAACGGGCCTAAATACATCCAAAATCACCCATTTATATGCCTTAAAGCGCGCCCTAATGTGCGCTTGTCAGATATTTCATTATACAAATACATACGCACCAAAGTGTGGAAGGGTCCAACTCTAGCAAGTCATTAGGATGCGGGTCCTGTAGCTCCTGTTCCTGAAGCTGTTGTTGCTCCTGTTGCCCTTGTACATTTCTGACGATTTCTTGAGAGGCCCCCAAATCATGTGCCTCCGCTTCCTCCATTGACTCATCCTCGTCAACACGTACAACCGGAGATTTCCCCTTAGACTTTCTCCTCTTGGACGTTTCTCCTTTATTTCCTCCTCCCATGATGACCACCTGAAAAGTTATTAGTACCATAATCGCACATTGTAAATTCATAAATTAGATCCATAAGACATTAAAATAATAAAATGAGACCAAAAATGTAATGCAATATTACAAATCCGAGTAGTCTTTAAAAACTAAATATTCGAAGACAATAGTAAAAGGAGTAACTACATATTCTCCTCTTCATTACTCTTATCACTACTACCACTATCATTATCACTGTCATTATTACTATCACTAGTATCATCTAAAAATACATCGATGTCCTCTTCTTCGTCACTGTCACTGGAGCCAATGCTTTCTTCTTCTTCTTCATCGCTTGAGATAATAAAGCCATCGTCATCATCATCATCACTATCAAGTTCATAGTCTGGAATGTCATTTGGTGGACAAAGCGTTGCATGTACTTGTGGGGAAGGACCCTGCAAAAACTCTAAATCCACCGGAGCATCAATCACCGACCTTGCTTGAGTTCTAAATACAGCCCACCATTGAACCCGATCACGTTTAAGGCTAGGGTAAGATGCATAATAGTCTTGTACTCTTTTTCGAGACCGGTGTAGACAAGTTCAATTATGTCGTTTAAAAGGCCAAAGTACTCTCCACCGTCCTCACTTGAGACACACACCCCGTAATTCATCGTAGATTTGTGTTTGCCATAGGATTGTGTGTGGAAATTAAAGCCACCGACAAATATCTGGTTCCAAGTTCGAACACGCTTGAAAGGCCTCATAGACAATGCTCGCAACACATCGGAACTTGGTTTTTGTTCTCTCACCTATAACCGTTACGAATACAAGCGTCACACTAATTAAAATGAAATATATTATATTATATTATATTATCACAAATTAATCGAGATGCAATGTTCGAAAGGTATTATCACCTTGTGATGAAACCAATAAGGGAATTCACTTTTGCATTTCTCCATGACATCTTCTCGATGCAAATAAGTTCGAGTACTAAGAATGTAGTCCTCAAACTGCCTAATAGATTAATGACACATGGTTAATCATTGCAGCAATTATATTAAATTTAAGGGATTTTCAAAAGTTTATCGTAAACATATATACCTTTCGTATTCACCAAGAATGCCGGTATTTCTTAAAACGAACAAATGAGCACGTTCGAGTTCCTTGTCATCTAAATACCGAGTTTTACCCAAATTTGACACACGACCCTTATCCACCGTGAACAACTCAGGGATTTCATCGTTGTCAGCCGGGGATTCCACATCAGCATTCACATTTCGACCTAGATCTCGTGTTTTTGTGTCAATTGAGGGCTGAAAGTAATTGGAGCAGAAGTTTGATATCTCTTCAGTGAGATAAGCGTTGCATATGGAACCTTCAACACGAGCCTTATTACCAATTTTTTGTTTCAGGTGATTAAGGAACCTGCAATTATGTTTATGTAGCCGTAGAAGTATAAGTAACGGAAATCAATGAAAGAGATGAAAGTAAGAGTTGAGAAAGGACCTTTGATTTACCTTTCGAAAGGATACATCCACCGATATTGAACAGGTCCACATAACTTGCCCTCATATGGCAAATGAATTGGTAAATGCTCCATGGAGTTGAAGAAAGATGGGGGGGAAACCTTCTCTGCTTCTCAAGCTTGCACAGGATCTCAGCTATGTTTTTTTCCAATCGCTCCATGTCGCTAACTGTAATTGTGTAGCAACATAAATCGCGAAAGAATTGGCTTATCTCTGTAATTGCATTCCATATATGGGTAGGGAGCAATTCTCTCAAAGCAGTGGGCAACGACCTCTCCATGAACACGTGACAATCATGACTTTTCATTCCATGTAACTTACCTGATTGCAAATCAACGCATCGGCTCAAATTGGAAGCGTAACCATCAGGAAACCACAGCTGATTGACCCACTCACACAAAACCTTTCTCTGAGCCTTGTCAAGAGCAAATGGAGCCTTTGGCATGAATTCTTTTCCTCTATCATCCTCTTGAAGATGTAGCTGGGGCCATTTACAGTATTTAACAATGTCATTCCGAGCTGATAGGGTGTCATAAGATTGCTTTTTCACGTCCATTATAGGGTGAATCAACTGATCAAAAAAGTTTTTTTCAACGTGCATGACATCTAAGTTGTGACAAACAAGCAGATGTTTCCAATATGGAAGGTCCCATAGAGTGCTTTGCTTGAACCACCCTTTTTTTGCATTCTTGACACGTTTCAGTGCCTCGGGGCCATCTGTTGCTTTCGGGAGGTTTTTTACACATTCCCAAAGTTCCTCTCCTGACATGATGTGAGGTGGTGAACCTTTTTCGACTTTGTTTTTACAAAATGCATTTTTACTATTTCGAAAAGGATGATTTGTCGGAAGGAATTGACGATGGCAGTCAAACCAAGAAACCTTACCATAATTTTCGAGCCAAAATGCTTTGCTTTTCTCCATGCAATATGGACAAGCCTTCTTACCGGCTGTGGTCCAACCAGATAACATACCATAAGCCGGGAAGTCACTAACGGTCCATAGGATGGCTGCTCGAAGATTGAAATTTTGTTTTCTCGAAATATCGTAAGTATTTGCCCCAACTTCCCACAACTGTTTCAACTCGTGTATGAGCGGCTGCATGTAAACATCCAAGTTGCCCTTAGGGTTTTTAGGACCAGGAACGAGTAACGAAAGAAACATGAACTGTCTTTTCATACATATTGACGGAGGCAAGTTATAAGGGGTCAAAATGACAGGCCAACATGAATATTGTCCCCCAAACTGACCATGTGGAGCAAATCCATCCGTACATAGGCCAAGTCGAACATTACGAGGTTCAGAGGCAAACTCAGGAAAGCAACTATCTAGGTGTTTCCACGCTTCACTATCGCTAGGGTGTGCCATTGTGCCTTGAACTCGAGGATTTTTAGCATGCCATGTCATTTCCTCAGAAATGTTTTTAGTTGCAAAAAGCCTTTGCAACCTAGGTGTGATAGGGAAATAAAATAGAACATTCAAAGGCACTAAGCTACCTTTAGAAGTCTTCTTGTATAGGTCGTTGCCACACACCCTACATGTAGATAATTGAGCATCATCTTTCCAAAACAACATACATCCTTTCGGGCATGCATGAATCTTTTCATGGGGCAGCTCTAACCCCTTAATAATTTTCTTGACCTCATAGAATGTCTCGGCCATGTGGTTGTTGTTAGGAATCGCTTCATTAACCAAAGAAGAAAATCCATCAACACATCTGTACGGCAAATTATACTCACACTTTAGGCTAGTGATTCTAGAAGCCATCTCTAACACAGACAATGAACTCCCTTCGTACAACGGTTGTTCAGAAGCCCTTAACAAATCAAAAAATGGCTTGGCTTGTGCATTAGGCTCCTCCTCTAATGAAACAGGTGGCTCTTCGGAATGGCCTTGATCTTGAGACTGACCAAAGGCATCCAAAACCATTTCACGATATTCATTTGACTCCCTTCTACGAGTTCTTGGAAACCCTTCCCCATGACACATCCACTCGTAGTAATTAGGTAAAAAACCGCTGCGATACAGATGAAGTTTGACCGTATCTGGATCCCAGAGACGTTTGTTTTTGCATTTAATAAAACATGGACACCTAACTTCATTCGGGTTGCTACTCTCGGGATGATCTTCCACATATTTAAGGAATTCATCTACCCCCTTCAAGAACTCAGGATTAATAGAATTCCCAACCTTCCTTTCGTACATCCAGCTACGTTCTTTTCGTTTCATGATTACAAATTCTACACAACTAACACATATGCCATTAATCACATTAGTCATAAAGCACAATATATATTCATTGTAGATCAAACTGTTATGGAAATGCAAATGAGAAGAGAAATGATTTCCAAGGGTCCTTATCACTCCAACCTAACCCATCCTTGTACGTTCAATCTCACTAGTGAATGTATGCCAGAATTTCAATTCTATGGAAAATCCGGCAGCATCTCCCTACAGTTCCCCGAGTACACAATATAGGCGATTAGAAACACCTATATATGTACCTAGAGAACATTGTAGAGAAATGACAAGCAAGGATCTTCCTTAGAATTAAAACAAAGGAATACATTCACCACCTAAGTGAGAATAAACGTACAAGGACAGTCCCAACCGGGGACTATTCAAGACATACTCCTAATGTGTATGCCTTGAACGGGTATCTAGACATATGATTATGCAAATGATTTTTCAAAAAAATATATATACTTAACTAACATACATATTATTAAACAAATATATCAAGATTAAACTAAACAAGAGAAACATATCATTACACCATACTATTAATATAAACCAAATCAAACCAAACCAAAGTAAACTAATATATTATATTAAACTAAACCAAACCAAACTACCATTTTATGTATTAAATTAATCTAACATATTTCTAAAAAAAACTAAACTACAATAAGGTACTTTATATTAAAATAAATTAAACTAAAACACATTATATTAACATAAACTTAACTAAACTACATTATGTTAAACTAAACTAAACCAAACTAACATTATATTGTTTTTTTTAAAGAGAAGGGAGCAATTAATTACTTATAAGAGATCACCAATGTCACTAAATTAACCAAACTAAAAGTTATTGAATATGTAACAACCAAAGTAAGATACACATATACATTATATTAGGGTTTGTAATGTAACTAACCTTTAGATCTGCACTTCGTTTTAACAATTAAACCAACAAAATTGTACAAATCCTACAACAAAATTAAAAAAAAAAAAATAATAATTAAGGGTTTATAAGTAAACAAAATTAAATTGAAAAAAAAGGGGGAAAGCAAAGGCAACTTACTGTCAGGCGGAGGTGGGGCGTCGCCGGAAACAACCAAGGGTCGGTGGGTTCAGTCACGGCTAGGGGACGGAGGTGCGGCTGCGTTGTGGGTTCAGCAAATTTTACCATGTTATTCCGGTAGTTTTTTTGCAAAAAAAAAAAAAAATAATTGACAATTGCACACACTTACCTAGACGCGGCGGCTCGCCGGAAACCACCAGGGCTCGAAAGATCGCCGGAAACCTTCCTCCCTTCCTCCTTATCTTTCTCTTTCCCTTTCTCTTTCTCCTCTCTCTTTCTTTCCCGTTCTTTTTCTCCTCTCTATTTCCCGTTCTCTTTCTCGGCGGCTGATGTGCAGGCGTCGCCGACGTAAACAAATCACCACCGCCGCCGCGACTTTCTCCTATCTCCTTCTCTCTCTCCTTCTCTTTCTCTCTCTCCTCGCGCTGCTTCACTTCTCTCTCTAATTTTCAATTATTTCCCCCTTTTTTTTAGGGCAAGGTCGCAATTTCAATTTTGAAAAAATGACAGTAGAATTTACGACGGAATTTATTTCCGTCGTAAATTTTACGAGGGAAAAAGCGTCTAATCGAAATTTTCCGTCGCTAAATTGCGACGAAATATTTTCCGTCGCAAATATCCACCTTTACGACGAAAAATCATATCCGTCGTAAGAATTCCGTCGCAATTTAGCCTATTTCTAGTAGTGCGATTTCATTAACTCGAGTTTACCACGAACCTTTATGACAACATATAATGATCATATATGGATCCAAACGACATTATATGAACCCGAGATGTATCCCCTAAATATTAATACTATTCTACATCGGGCCTTGAAACCTCCAAAATTTCTCAAAAAGCGTGGATAGTAGCCTTTAATTTTGAAATTTTTTGATTTTTTTTCGCCTGAAAATAAAAATTGCCGAAATGTTTACCATGGTCCCTAATACCCTCCAGTAGTCCAATTGGGTGGGTTGAACCATCCAATTTGCCTTTAAACGACCAATTTACCAGTTTACAACTTGAAACGATTTCATTAATTCAAGCCTATCACGAATATCTAAGACAAAAAATAATGATCATATATGGTTCCAAACGGCATTATATGACCCCGAGATGTATCCCAGAGAATTTCAAGACTTTTCAACACCGGGCCCCAAAACCTCCAAAATTTCTCAAAAAGCGTGGATATTAGCCTTCAATTTTGGAATTTTCGACTTTTTTCGCCCAAAAATAAAAATTGCCGAAATGTTTACCAAGGTCCCTAATATTCTACGGGACTCCAATTGGGTGTGTGGATCCATTTAATTTGCTTTTAAACGGCCTATTTATTGGTTTACAACTTGTACCGATTTACCAGTTTACAATTGCCAGTGTAATTAATTTGCACTGAATCCAACTTGAACCAAAATTGACCCAAACCCATTTTAACCCGTCAAAACCCAAAATTTAACCTGATTTGTTACTAATTAACCTGACCTGAATTCAACCCGACTCTTTCCTAACCCGACCTGAATTTAACCCAACCTGCTACAAACCCAATCCGAAATCAACTCGACTTATTATTGACCTGACCCAAATTCAACCTGACTTGTTATTGACCCGCCCCGAATTTTACCATACCTATTTCTTACCCAACCCAAAAATTTCAACCCGATATATTACTAACCCGACTCGAAATTAACACGACTTGTTATTGATCCAACCTAAATTCAACCCAAATTGTTCCTGACCTGATTTCAAATCACCTTAAATGAAATTTAGACCACCTTAGCTTATTATTGTTGATCAAAGCATTTTGTATAGGGAGACCAAGTCGGTCCAGGCCAGCAAAAGAAAGGAGCATCATCCTCAAATTTAAGAGTTAAATATAGTATATATTTGTTGTATGGTCAAAGGAGATAATTATCTTCCTAAATTATAGACTATAGTTCCCTAGTATATTGTCATATATATTATAGTCAAAGGAAATAATTAGCTTGATAAAAATGATGATTATCTATTTTTAGTTAGTTGAACCCGTTGAAAATGACTCGACCTGATTGTAACCTGCAAATTATTGACTTGATCATAACCCGACTTGAATCCGAGAATGACCCGACTTGGAAATGACCCAACCTGATTATAACCCGCAAATTATCGACTTGAACCGAACCCGACTTGAACTCGAGAATGACCTGACTTGAAAATGACCCGACCTGATTATAATCCGCAAATTATTGACTTGAACCAAACCCGACTCAAACCCGAGAATGACCCGACCTGATTCTAACCCGCAAATTATTGACTTGAATCGAACCTGAGAATTACCCTAACCTGTTTTAACCCGTGAAAACCCGAATTAAACCCGACCAATTATTTACCCGACCCGAATGTAATCCGACATGTTATTAACCCGACCTAAACTCGGCCCAAACCCAATAAGAAGTATGACCTGACGTGACCCGATTCAAGCAGGATCCGACCCGTATAGGTTATGGAATTAATCTGAATTAACCTGACCCACTCTTATCCGACCCATTTACTCGATTTACAGCTCTACGCGTAATCATATTTAATGTTTTCGCACATCTATACTGTATATTAAAAATTTAAAACATGTCAGTTAAAAAATATTATTTGAACTCGGGTCCATTAGAAAATAAATAAGAAGTCATATAACCTTGATAACTATAATTTGAAGTAAAGAATATTAAACGTATAGATCCGGGACATCGCCTGAGCTAAACACTGATATTGTGGCTTTTCCTTTCTTAAATTCTTAATCCGATTAGTTGTTCAAATGAGTAATAGAATAGTTTAAGAAAAATAAATTTAAAGCATACTCACAAACTTCTAGAGTCGTATAGTGACACTCAGTTACTCAACTCATATAATTTTTGAACTCAGTAGTTCATGAGCCAATGAGTTTCGCCAACATCTAATAGTAGTCAAAATAAGGTCATGCTTAGTTTACCTAATTTTTACTTATATAGTCTGATTTGATCAAACTTTGACCTAATATGCAATAATTTATACGAAAAATATATATCAAATGAGGTCTAATTAGATTCATTTGACCGTAATATGCAATAATTTATACGAAAAAAATACTAAAATATATTAAATGAGGTCTAATTAGATTCATAATAATGTGTACTAATTTTTTTTATCAGTAAATTAAAGATATCTAACGATAAAAAATCACATGTGAAGAAAAATTGTAGAGAATAAATTTGCGGCCCACCAAATTCATTCTTGAAGATTGTGTTTATGTCACTATTCATTTAACCATCGCTCTCTCTTTCTCTCTCTCTCTCTCTTTATCTCTCATCCTGAGTTGCTGTGCTTCACTGCTCCAATGGCAACTGCGCTTCTTCCCTCTCCCTCTTTTACTGACAGGTATCTCTCTCTTTCATTCTTGGGGTTTTTTTCTTCTTCAATTTGTGAGTTTCAAAGGTAGAAGCTTTTTCGAATTTGTTGAGTTGAAAGTATGAATATTGTTCTGGTTGTATTTTATTAGTTGTCAATGTGAATGGGTCAAGTTTAAAATTTGTTTACTTAAATGGGTTCTCTCTTGTTCTGTTCCCAAAACCTCACATAGAAAGAACAAATTATGTAATTCATTTGAAGTAAAATTGAATTTCTCCAGAATGATTTATATTTTATGTTTAATCAATTTCATAAATCCCTGTTCAATTTTATAGAAACATTAAAAAAAACTGAGTTAGATGGATATACAAACTAAATTTTTGTAATTATAATATTAGAGGATGATTAAGGAATGACATAATTAATTTGTTTACAATTATGTGTTTTCATTTCCTGTTGCTAGTTATAGTGAGAATTTGCTTATCAGTACTTGCTGCGTGTCCTATTTGTTGAAATTAATGCTATGTTAGTTTTGCAGGATGAATTATGCTTGCTTTCATTCCAATTTGAACTCTATGGCATGCTTCCCTATCCATTTTGAGCATCCAAAATGTGATGTTAAGCTTTATGTGGTCCCTTGTCTAAGCATTGCACGTCCACATTCTTCGAGGGTGTGTGTGTGTTCTAAGATTGTATCACCAATAATGTGCAATGGAGCTGAACTGAAAAACGGGCGTGGTTCTATTGTTCCACACTTCCAAAGGTAGGGGCCTTAATATAGTTTTGTTCTTGGTTAATTGTGATAGTTTCTTTCTTGTAGAAGTTTCAATTTCCACATTATATTGAGTGAACTGTAGTGTAATATGGTTATGGATTGTGTATAGCATGTTTGTGAATTAAGTGTGTGGCTGTATATTATGGGGGCATTCCATAATTAAATAGTCTGAATTTATTGTTTTGATATCATACTTGTTGGTGGATATGTCTATATGATGTGTAAGTTGTAACCTCAACAATTCCATAGTAAAGTGTTTATGAAAGGAGTGTTGCTCTGGCTTAAGTGTCCTGATATCATACTTGTGGCTAGAGAGACACCATTGAATGTCACTATATGATGTGTTAGCTGTAGTCTCAACGATTACATAGTAGAGTGTTTACAAAAAGAGTGTTGCTTTGGCTTAAGCATTTTATGTCAGTCATTTTGCTGATATATGTGTAGTAAACCCATTGACACCACTTTCTGAACCCTAAAAGGCTGGAAGATACAGAATGACATATATAAACCTCGTTGCTTCTGTATGAAGCCTCAGCCTTTCAATGCCCCACCATCTCCAACTTTTTGGCTTGTGAGTTGCAACCCATGGTAGAATCCTACTATTTTCCATCAAACAGGTAGACAACAGCTGATGAGAGCAGGTGGTTTACACATTAGCCATTTTGATAGGTGGACCTTTCACATGAGAGATGACACTAAATAATGGTCGCAGAACAGCGAGAATCCACCCTCTTTGGTCCCTCTGCCTCTTCTTTGGATGTCTTCTGTTAGTCTAACTTTGTTATTTCCAAAGAAGTGTCACGAATCCTTTGCTAATTAGTGGCGCTAGGTCATATAACATGTAATGAAGGAATGGCATTTACAGTTGGCATAATCATTTTTTAAATATGTATTTTTGACAGGTCTGACACTTTGCTTGATAGCTCAAGCCACCCCTTGAACACTGCAAATGATTTTGAGAAGCATCTCCAAGAGTTATTTGACGAAGTCAAAACTTTGATTTCAACAGGGAAGAGAAGTGATGCCATAGATTTACTTCAAGCAAATTATCAAGCAGTAGAAGAACAGTTGGATGCAGGATATTTAGGGATTGAAGAAGTTGCTATTCTTGATATTATTGCTTTGGGATATATAGCTCTTGGCAACTCAAAGATGGTTGAATCACTATTAGACACGGTAATCTCTTGGTTACCCTCTTTTGTAATGTTTGAGATGAACCTTTTAGTTTTCTTTTTTGACTAGGATATTTTCATAACAATATTTTGCTTGGTAAATAGATTTCATATTTGAAGACAATGATGCTTGCAACAAAATTGTACAGTCAACCATTCTTTGTATTTGAATAGTTGTATTTTGGTTCGCTCTACTACTTTTTGTATCTCCATTATCAAGAAATCTTCACTTGTACATTTGCATGGACTATGGTTTGTGGGGGCTGGAGTTGATTGTGTGTTAATCGTGCTGTGTAGGTCTATCAACACTAAAGACTGTCCTTCATATCCAATCTTGTAACATATTTTGAAAAGTCACCACTAATCTTTTACATTTCTTGTATAACAATAGGAGTTGTAGGACAGATTCAGGCCATTCATCTATGCTTTATTTTAACCCATAGAGCTTCAGTATTTCAGCCTCCAAGCACCAACTTACTGATAGAGCTTATAGTGCTCTTATGTTACATGAACCCTTGAAGTTCTTTATGTCTTAAGGTGTAATTTGTGTTGGAGAAATATGTTTTACATCGTGTTTCTAATATGTTTAATTACTTGATTGGGCAGATGAACAAGATTGTTGATTGTTTGAAAGATGATGAAATGTTATTGGATTCAGTACTTATACACATGGGAAGTATGTATTCATCATTGGAGAAATCAGAGAAATCAATGCTTATGTATCAAAGGGCTCTAAAAATATTGGAGAACTTACATGGTGGGTCTGATACTTAACTTCTTCTACTTGATGCTTAAGGCCAGTCATTGATCCTAGTAATCTAGTTTACTTTTTTAAAGTCATGTTATAACCAGCTCATCTTGTGTGCATCAGGTGCATAATTACAGTTAAGAGTTTTTAAGTGATTATTATAAGTGACCATGTTAAAGCATTAAACTGACTTCAACAACAAATTATGTAACTTTGTAAATTGAGCTGCTTTGGCTTCTCGAGCATTTCTTGGCCTCATTTACTGTCCTAATGATACTATAGAATAACAAATGAATGAAAAATAGTATGTTTTAGGCTTTAAGATATTGTTCTGCTGTGCCCTTCCTCTCGTGCTCTTTGGATAGTCATGATAAGCCTAAAATGCCATGAATTCGCAAGTTTGTATCTCTTTGTTCTCTTTTCTGGGTGGTCCTAGACCAATTTGTTTATCTATAAATCAGCTTTTCTATTATATTTTTCATGTAATAACCATCTTGTGTATTGCAATATCCTTGAGACTTCTAAAATGTACAGACAAAATGGAAGTAAGGTACTCTGCATATTATTATATTAACTTTGATGACTTTCTTGCTGATGTGGGGTGATGAAATTAACTTTTCACTTTAAATAAACCTTAAAAGTAAGACCAACTTGATATGCTGACAAATGAAAACAGCTAATGTTATGTTTGAATGTCTTTGATAGGCAAGCACAGTATATTTCTTGTCACGCCACTGTTGGGATTGGCTAAACATCTTGGTTCAGTTGGAAGAGCTGCAGAAGCTGTAGAAATCTACGAACGTGTAATTACCATCGTGGAGTCAAGTCATGGTGCTGATAGCCTTGACCTTGTGTTACCTTTATCTGGCTTTGGCAATCTCCTCCTAAGGCAAGGGAAGCCTAATGATGCAGAAATTCCGTTTACCAGGTTTTATTATGTCTTGCATTGTGTTTGTAGAGGTGTTTGAAGGTTTTGATTCAGATAATTAACTCACTTATATTTGGCTTCAATGTTACTAAAAATTTGCAGGATTTTGAATCTGTATTCAAGGCTACATGGAGAAACTGATGGAAGGACTGGCATGGCTCTTTGCTCCCTTGCCCATGTAAAATTTGCTCAGGGTTAGTACACTACTACACTGGACTATTTTATGGCTTATTATTTATCCTGTACTAGAAAATGTAACACACACACACACACAAAAAAAAAAAAAAAAAAAAAAAAAAAAAAAAAAAAATCCAACCTATCATTTACAACATTGTCATTTGTAATGAAAGTTAATGTAGACTCTTCCAAATTTCAAATATGTATCATATTACCATGTGACCCTGCATGTCACTGCTCCTCCTGATGCCACATAAAATCTACTGTATGATGGGAGATTTGCTGAATACAGTGTGTTTTGTCTGACAGGGGATGCTGAGGAAGCCATTCACCTATACAGAAAAGCTCTTCAGGTCATTCGGGATTCAGGATATGTAGCATTAGATGACAACATTATGGAGAAGATGAGATTAGATTTAGCTGAATTACTTCATATAGTCGGAAGGTATAGTTTGATTTACAAATCAAGAAGCTATCTACCATAGTTGCTGGGATAAAGTATAAATTGGCTTCCCTATTTTTTAGATGAAATGGAAAATGAAACTTCTAGTACATAGTATAATTGTATAAATGGTTTAGAACTTCGATCTTGTTTGAGTATATGATGTCAGGATCACCCTAATTTAATAATGGAAGGATTTAAGTCAAATTTTTTTGAAGTGATTAGGAAGAATCACCAAAATTAGACTATTTTTAGCATTGTCTTTGCTATTTTGAAAGTTACAAACTTGCAATGAATACCTATTCATTCAAAAATGGTACTCCGCACTAGTAAAAATTAATAAGCTTATAAATAGGGACTCTTTCCCGATATCTTTATCGCCTATGAGGCTTTGATTTCAAGCTGCATTTGTTGAATTATTTTTGTGCGATTTTCAGAGGTAATGAAGGCCGAGAACTGTTGGAAGAGTGCTTGGTGATTACCGAGAAGTTTAAAGGAAAAGATCATCCTAGCTTGGCCACCCACTTCATAAATCTTGCAACTTCTTATTCTTTCTCAAAGAACTATGTCGAAGCAGAACGCTTGCTCAGGATGTCTTTGCGGGTCATGATGAAGTCTGTTGGCCCTGATGATCCGTCCATCACCTTTCCTATGCTACATCTTGCAGTTACCCTCTTTAACTTACGACGTGATAAAGAAGCTGAAAGGCTTGCCATTGAAGTTTTGCGCATCCGTGAGACAGCTTTTGGAAAAGAGTCCCTTCCAGTTGGTAAGTTTTTTTTTTTTTTTTTCAACTTAGTTCATTATTGGCTTTTCACTTGAAAATTGATTCACTTCTAAAGTTCTGAAGTTATAGGTCTGAGAAACCATTTATCTGTAATACTTCCTGCAATTACAATTTTGTTTGCCATATAGAGCTGATACTTGAATTGTCTGTTATTTTCTGCACACGTAATCTCCAACATGTCAGTTTATAATTAGTTTGTTTTTCTGTCCATTGGCCGATTAATATTAATCTCTTTAAATTTCTGGTACTGTAGGGGAAGCTCTTGACTGCCTAGTGTCAATACAGACCAGATTAGGAGAGGATGACGACGAGTTACTGGAGCTGCTGAAGAGGGTGCTCAGAATTCAAGAGAAAGAATTTGGTTATGAGAGTGAAGAAGTAATGATAACCTTGAAGAAAGTTTTATTCTACCTGGATAAATTGGGGAAAAAGCAAGAAAAGTTCCCTGTCCAGAGAAGATTATCTGTTTTAAGAGACAAATACAAGCACAGAGTTCAATATTAGCTGTACTTTTCTCTGTGAAAATATATTTGTGCAATTGTATCATGTGTAGATCATGTTTATAGGAGAGTAGATCATCTGTTTAGATTATGGGAAAGAATGTTCCCGATAGTAAATCGAACATATTCCATGAACTGGATTCAGGGCAGAGAAAGCAGGATCGTCCCGGTCAGTTGTTAGAACTTTCTCTGAACAAGGAATCTGCATAGAGCTTCCTGTAAGTTGTGCACTAATTTTTTTCAAATTAATATTGATGCCCACCATACATTTTGATTAAGGAATAATGGCTTTATCAACCAACTTTCCCCCCTTCCCAATAAAAAAATTAAAAAAAATAAAAATATCTAGCCTAGTTGTCCAAGATGCTTGAATTGTTTTTCAAGGTAAGATGAACATTATTATTTTTATTCCTTTCCATATTGTCATTACCAGTCCTAACTAGTACCAGTATATGTATGCATTAAACTCTTACTCAATTATTAATCGATTCAATACTACAATCACGTAATAAAAGGTGCAGAACGAAGAACATCGATGAATATGATTCGGAGAAACAGAGTTTTGCTGCCTATGGCTGTCCTTCTTCTGGGAGTTTTTGCAGTAATTTTCAGTTTTATTGCTTATGCCACAAGGGTTCAGGTAAAAATGTTACCCCAACCTCAAAGATGTTTTTTTTTTTTCTTTTTTTTCTTGGCAAAAAGACTTAATTCGGTCAATTTACGCAGGATAAAGATGTTACCAAATCAAAAGGGGTATGTAGATATCCAAGCAGTCCGGCAGATGCTCTTGGTATAATAGCAGCACTATTTATACTAGCTCAGCAAATCGTGTTACGTCTTGCAACTAAATGTTTCTGCTGCTGTGGACAACGCTTTTATAAACGTTGTTCTTATATAACCTCGCTATTCTTCTATATTTGTTCTTGGTATGTCATTTTTTTCCTAAATTTGTCCCCTTTTCTCATTTTTTATTTTTTTCGTTTTTGGTCATGTGTGATTCAATGTGACAATGTAAATACGGCCACAAGTTAACCCTAAACTTTCTACTTTGTGAATGTAGGTTAACCTTTGTGGTTGCGTTCATTGGATTGATATATACAGCAATGCTCAACAACAGCCATTATTTAGCAAAGACCTATCCTGGAACAAATGGCGACGATTGTAACGTGGGCAATGAGAAATATTACATTGGTGATGCACTTTGGTGCATAATTAGCACTATTTTAGGTCTAACCTCTTACGCTTTCTGGGTGAAAGGTACTGCTAAAACAAGCGATAATTCCCAAGTAAGTAGTTGATAATCAACGACAGAAAACTAACAAGAAACTGCTGATAGTCATGATCCAGCAAGGTGTTGTAAAGGGAGATCCTTAAATGCATCAAACAAATGAACAAAGTTATTGATGTGAATTGAAGCTGGATTTGATGTAGTATATACCAATATCAACCTGATGTCGAAAGGGGTGCAAGTAGATGTGCGTGTGTGTTCTTGGTAATCTTCAATCGGTACACTAATCACTGTCTTGTAACGAGCTTAAAGATTGCTTCATTTTTTGTACTTTATTTGTAACAATGTAATTGATCAATTGAAATAATTTCCTATCTTTCATATGATTGGTTCATTAGTAAGTAATAACATAATTACATTATTCCAAGGATTTTTTTTTTTTTTCCATAAAGGATATATTTGCACCAAATGTAACTATTTAATAGTTAAAGGTTTTAGTTACCAATCTTAAAATGCAAAATAACAGAAGTAATTAGTAGGATAATAAATTTTCTAGCATTACACTTAAAAGAGAATGAAGAAAGTACAAATACTTTGTACGAAGTATATAAAGCAGGACTGAGGAAATACAAGTATCTCAACATGAGATACTTGTTATGTACCTCAAAGGGGTACATTCGTCATTTCTAGTGCATAATTTGGGTTAATTTTGTAATTTTTAAAAGGATAATTTGCTAATTACTACCGCACGTTAATACCACTTTGTAAATTACTACCGCAAATTTAAAAAGTTGTGAATTACTACCACAAAAAAATTTAAGATGTTGGGATTACTACCAAACCCCCATTAAACCCAACTATGACGTCATTATATCCCTTTAAACATGTTTGACCATGGTTAAGGGCTTTAACCAGCCCCCCCCCCCCCAAAAAAAAGAAAATGGCTTAGGGATATAATGACGTTACGGTTAAGGGCTTTAATCCATGTTTGACCATGGTTAAGAGCTTTAACCATGGGTTAAAGTGATATAATGACGTCATAGTTGGGTTTAATGGGGGTTTGGTAGTAATCGCAACATCTTAAAAAATTTTGCGGTAGTAATTCACAACTTTTTTAATTTGCGGTAGTAATTTACAAAGTAGTATTAATTTGCGGTAGTAATTGACAAATTTTCCTTTTTAAAATTAAATCTATATTTTCAAGCTATAATAGAAGGCAGCGTTGAAGAACTTCAATCGAAAATGGAAGAACTTAAATAGAGAAATAAAAGGCTTCAAGGGATTTTAATAGAGGACGACCTAAACCTTCCCCGTTAAGGGTTAACCTTGCCCTTCTTTTCTCCCTTTATAGTTTGGATCTTCGTTTCATTATGTTGAGATACTAGGGCTAGCTCAACACGACTTGGGTAAGATTGGCTTGCAAACCACTGATGGTATAAAAAGAGTAGAATTGGACAGAGCTTTCAAAACAAGTTGCATGAGAGTTCAAATTGTGCAACTATTGGTGGCTCATGTCATGGCTAGCTATTCCTTAGAGAGGGATTGAAAAAGATTGACACTGATGTCCACCACTCCACCATATGTACTATACTAATTTAAGCCCAATAGTCCAATATGTATAGTTGTATACTCTAATTGCTTTCCAACCTAATATTTTCATTTCATACTTTGGCCATTTTAAGCCAAGTTGATAAATGTCTAGACTCATTCATTGCTATCATTACTCTCGTACATTTCCACATTGTCATTCAACCAATGACTTATTATTATCTCCATTCTTTTAGTTTGTCCTTAAAACATTGTCTCATGTCATAAAAGCTTCATAATTGAGTATTTTTCTTAATGTAGGTCATTTAGTTTTTGATATCATAGATATTGATGTTTGTAATACCTCTAGTTTGTTACTTGTAATATTCTTGCTAATACATGCGATATTCCCCTCGTGTATTCTAATACGTAATAATTATTTTTCTTATTTCTTACTACCTATTTAAAAAAAAAAAATAGCGCCTTGAAGCAACTCTAATAGTAAGCAAATTGTCAAATTAGCTTGCCATGTCACATAAACTTTAAAGCTACGAGTAATTATCATTTTAAGTACTTTAAGCTAGCTTACTATGAAAATTAACCCTACTTCTTTAATTAACATATGCTCTCTTCTTCTCTTTGTTTTTGCTCCATTACTATTTTTTGGGTCAAACTTTGATTATAAATCACTGTTAATCTATAAAAAAAATAATATAGTCATGAGTAATCTTGTTAAATTCGTCTCATCATATATTTTATTTATATCACATTTTTTTTATAATTTTTACATAAATAAATAAAGATATACTTCCTCCGTTCTTTTTTACTTGACCCGCTTTGACTTTTACACTATTCATCACTCCTCCTTTGACCGTGTTTTGTGAATAATATGTAAGGAAAAACATATTTATGTTAGATCATTTTGAATTCGTCTCAATATATACTATGATAATATATAACTTTTATATTTTTAATTATAGAGAATTAAAGTTATTCACTGTTAAAGTTTTACATTAGCAAGCGTGATAAAAGAAACAGATCAAGTAAAAAGAACAGAAAAGTACTTAATAAATGTTTTAAGACATCTCTTGAAGAGCGTACACAGTCAAAATAGTACTTTTAGATCTTGAAAATCGAAAACATTTCTAAAACATTCCACAATGGCACAATCTCTCTTCCCACGTTGACTATTTTGAAAAAAAAAAAAAAACTTACCAGACCCCCTTTTATCTCATCTCCACGCATCTTCCAAAAGTTCTCCAAAGACAGTTTTGGTTCCTCATTTCTCTCTCCCTCACTTATTCACTCCTATTTTGAAGTTTCCTGCTCTTTTCCTCTCTCCTCAACACCCATTCATACTACAAATTGCCAATTATTACAACTTACTCTTACAACTATTTTTCTTACTCACTTCAATCTTATTCTTTTAAACCCAGAAAAATTGATTGATTGAAATTTGTAGACTAAAATAATGATGGCAAGACATAATTTTTTGGTGCCTTTTATTGCCCTTCTTCTTGGTGCTCTTGCTATGACTTTCAGTCTCATTGCTTTTGCCAAAAGGATTAAGGTATTTTTTACCTTTCAACTTACTTTTATTTACACTAAATTTTTATACTTGTAATTTGTTTTGGTTTTTTACCTATTTTGTGAAGAAATCAAACATTCTTTAATTAATACTTATGTAGTATGATTTGGTCATGATATTCAATATATTTTCAACTATTGTTGATTAATGATTACTATTGTGTTTAGTTTATTGTTTAAGATAGTCTGTTAAGCCGATAAATTGATATGGATGGAGTAATACATAAGTAAATTTAGACAAGATTCATGTGTTCGTAATTTTTGTAAATAATTGATTTGATAAGGAAAAAGATAGTTAGAAATTTTGTATGGACTAAAATATAATTAATGTGAGCTTCCCTTGTTTAAGGGGAAGACATACGTCGAAACGATGTCGTTTAGTTGATTTCCTTTGTGGGTTGATTTCATCAATCAAAGAAGACATTATTACGAAGTAATCCGTAGATGATATAGTGGGGCCCTTGTCTAAGTGCCTAAATGCCTAATTAGTGACTAATTACTCATAACTAAGAGGAACATCCCCATTTCCACCTGTTTCGGGTGAAAATAATGGGACCTTGCCGAAGGTCCGCTGAAACGGAGAAGGCTGGATTCGGTCCAAGTTATGTTGGGCCGAAGGTTTCCTGCACAGTAAACACACGTAAACTAGCCTCGGGGGTGTTGCCGAGGAAGGCCCCTCCGATGCTAAAGTCAGTACAATATGTAAGAAGAGGACACTATGCAAGAGAGTTTGTTGCTTGAGGCTTTAATGGAATATATCAGAATATATCAATGAACATATGAATGAACATATGAATGAACCTATGAATGAACATATGAATGTATCAATATTGATGGCTTTTATACCTCATCATACATGGAGAGGTTGGGCCTTAGCCCAATTGGCTTGCTTTGTGGGCTGACCTTTGACTTTAGCACAATTGGAGAGTTGAACCTTGACCTTGGGCTTTTAATTGGATCATTTAATATCTAGGCCCAATTAGACTAAATTGGACCCAAACAACTTGCCCCCCAGACCCGATTTGAAAGGATGACGGGTCGGGTTTGATTTAATTCAGAAAAGGAGGGAAGTAAATGATTTAATTAATCCAAAAATTTGAATTTAAACCGTAATTAATGAGATAACAACGGTTAAGGCGGATGATTGTGGAAGTTGGACGGATAATGGGCAGTTTAATCACAAGATCATGTGTTTAACGGTTACTTAGTGGAGTATTTAAGAGAAATTAAAACGCAGACTCCTCGTATCCCATTCCTGGAGATATAAACAGAGGCGCGCCATCTCTCCTCACTTATTCACCAACACAAACCCAGAATTCTCGAGAGAGAAACCAAGAACCCGCATCAAAACTTCGCAAATTCCCCGAGCATTAAGCTTAGAAACTGAGACTTGCCACTACGAACTCGTAAATCGGCAACTTTCGCTTCAGATTAAGGTAAATTCCTTTGATTTCAGTTTATTTTTCTTCGAATTCGAACTCCTTCCCCTTTTCTTTCGACTTTTTTCTTCGAAATAATCAATGGCAAGAGGAGTTAGAGGTAGAGCCCGTGCTCCAAGAAGAGCAAGGCCGATTCCCGATCCTAGGAACAGGATTGGGACCTGGAATGGACAAAGGCCAGAGTCTGACCCTGCTGAAGGGATTAGGGCGACTCCCCTTTCCTCGGCTCCTCCTCAGAGAACGGAGGAGCCGAGCGCTTCTGGACGGGATGATGAAGTTCCCGCTGTCCTTTGGGATATCCTCCCCGGGTTTTCAGAATGGGAGAATGCCGAAGTTGCTTCGGCCATGATAAAGAACCGCCCCTACCCATGGTGGGTGGAGAATGCCGATCAATATCAATTTGCCGAGCAAATTGAGTTGCATTACGGCATTTTTGAAGCTGATGGGTATTGGTGTCGAATGCCCTCGGCATCCGATAGAATCCATCGTCCACCCCCGGAGTATGTGGGGGTGTACACAAGACAGCTTCAGTACGGGCTGAGGTTCCCTTTGGACGTATTCGTCCGAGACTTGCTGATCCATTACAACATCTCTCTATGTCAGTTAACTCCCACCAGCATCCGAAGGGTGATGACATACTTATGGGTCTGCAAGTTCTTCAAGTATGTGCCGAACCTGCACTGCTTCAAAAAGCTCCATCGGCTAGTGCCAAATATTCAAAGTGGGCACGGAAGCCATGGTTCTGGGTGGTACCGGATTGAGTCCCGACCCCAATACATAACCATGTGGCCAAACGACTCTTCAGACAAGGACTGGAGAGGTCAATGGATTTGGGTTAGGGCACCCACAGATCCGGGCCACCCTTGCGTCTTCAGCGCTCCCCGGTACCTCGCTGAGCCTGATCCCGAAATGGGAAGTCTAGGTCCCCCCCGCAGATAACGGGGCGGATCCGAACCTTGATCAGCAACATATCTTCGGCAAGCTGCCGAACCGGGGGGGCAGTGGCCGAATGCAGCATATCCCGGAGACTTGGCTCCCCGATACGCATTACGTTTTCCGAGAGAACATGCTAGCAGCTGTTGGCCTCAGCCGAAAGTTTAAGGATGGTAAGCTTCTTCGGCTGGGGCCGAGGCTTTTTAACTCTCTTTTTCTTCTCTCGCTTCGCTTTTTTATGCTGTGCCAACCTATTTGAACTAACCTTTCCCCTTTCCTTTTTCAGAGCGGGACGAGACCAACGTTGGCATTAACTACGCTCGTCTTGGTGTCAACCGAGAACGAGTTGTAACTGAACGGGCCCCGTCTATCACTGAGCCGAGGCATAGGGAAGTTCATCTAGACTCTTCCCACTTTCAAATTGAGGCTGTTGCTCTGTATCAGAGGCAGAAGCCTTGGTGGAAGAAGAGAGACCCCTGGTTTCAGCTGCTGGACGAAGAAGCTGAAGCTGCCCGTACAGCCGAAGAGGTTGCACGGGTTCTCGAAGCTTGCGAAGGAGGAGAAGGGTCCTCCAGAGCTGCTGAAGCAGAAGCTGCAGCTAGAGCAGCTGAAGAAGACGAGGCTTTGCTGAAGACCTCGGTGAGCTTTCAGACTTAACTTTGTCTTTCTTTTTTCTTTTTTTTTTTTTTTTTTTTTTTTTACTCACATTCTTTCTCCCCCCTGTCTGTTACAGTCTGAAGAGAGTAACAGACATAGAGAAGGGAAAGCTCCTGTTCGTCCCGAAGACCAAATACAAGGAGAGTCTTCAGACTCAGATATGGACGAGCAGCCCCTTCAGAAAAGGCGCCGAAGGATGGCCATCATCGACCCTCATGACTTTCAGCGGAGGCCGATGACCATCGGCGTTGCAATAAGGGAACCCGAGGAAGGCAATGGATCGCCGAGGGTTCCCCAGCCACCACCCCAATCACCTCAAAAGACCCCTCCGCCACCTCCTGAGATGGAGGTGGATCAGAGAACTCCCGAATCTAAGGGAGCGGTCCAAGAAGAAATTAAGGAGAGTGCTGCTGAGCACGAAAACAAGGATGCCGTGATGTCCAGTGCTGAGGGCTGCACGGCAGACATCGCAAGAGAGGTTGAGGCTTTCGTCCTCACCCCTGAAGAAGAGGAGGTCATAGTAATTGACTCCTCTGAGAAGGATGATGCTGAGCCATCCAAAGCTAATCAAGCTCCATCGTCATCCTTCCCTTCCTTCCAGACTCTGCAATCTGGAGAAATGGGTTTCTCGGCCCCCCGAATTCCAATCCCAGACCACATCTGGGACCTCATATGGGGTCAGAACCGAGAAGGAGCTGCAGCCTACTTCGGCGATTTTGCTGGCATGTCCGAAGTAGATAGGGCAAGGATCTGGTCGCTGAAGGCCACTGCTGGGATGGGCGAATCCAGCAGATCAGTTCCTGACCCAGCCAGGTCTAACCAACTGCTGATGATGCAGGTAATTTTCCTTGTCTTCATTTCCTCTGAAATTCAGCTCTATTTTTATTATTATAAATATATATATTTTTTTTATTTATTATTATTTTTTTGTCTTCCTGTTTTCAGTTCGTGCACAATCAGACTCTCACTGTAGAGCTGATAGATACCCTACAAGATAGGGTAGACGCTGCTGTGCACGACAAGAAGGTAGCTGAAGAGGAATTAAAGCTTGCTAAGCTGAAGCAAGCAGCAGCTGAAGAGAAGCAGCAGAAGGGTGAGGAGTACGAGAAAAGAGCTGCTGAAGCCCTCAAAACCTTCTGCGACGCTATGGAGAAGGAAGTTTTTCCCCCACTGATGGAAGGGGAAAAATTCCTCCAGGAGCATATGGGAGTGGACGTCTCCAAATTCAAGGCTGCTGTTGAGAGCCGTATTCAGGAAGGAGCTGCTGCACAAGCTGAAGTGCAGCAACGTGTAGAAGCTCTTGAAGCCAGCCGAATGGCTGCTGAAGAGCTGCTCCAGGCCAAAGATGTCCAACTCTCAGAGGCTGCTGCTGCTGCCGAAGCTCAGAGAGCTAAACTCCATGAGGCTGAGGATCAACTGATGACCAAAAAAGTTGAAGTGGCCCAGGCTCAGACAAAGGCTTCCCAAGTTCAGCAGGAGCTGAATGAGCTGAAAGGTTCCTCCTCCAAGCTCGCCGATGAGCTGAAGAAATCCAAAGAAGACTTGGAGGAGACCCAGAAGAAGCTGGCTGATGCTGAGGCTCTACTCAAAGTCCGTGTCTATACCCAGGAAGAATATGAAATGGGTTTCAGAAACGGGTTCAGAGTATGCCGAAGAGTCTGCCTTCATGCTGAGCCGAAGCTGGACTGGTCCAAATGTGCTGAATGGGTCCAGAATCCCGAAGACCCTCATATGAAGTATGCAACTCCAGTCGAAGCTGAAATTCTTAAGGCTGAGGAAGCCGAAGAGGAAGCTGAGAGAATGGAGTTGGAAGCTGAACAGAGGGAAAGGGAGGCTCGGCAGAGTGCAAAGCCCGCTTCTTCTGCTGCTGGGGCTGAGGCCACCATGGGGCTCAACGCTGATCAGTCTGATCCTCAGGCTGAAGCATAGGAACTCGGGCAGTCGTCTTCAGAAT